AGGTATGCAGCTAAGAGACACGTGTAACGACGAATAGAGATGATCGTTTGAATCATTGGTTAACCTAATGGTCTCCCAAGTATTCAAAGGATATAGTGATGAATGCGAGCGGTATGCGAGAGTCGGAGTCTCCTATAGTTCAAACCTAATGTCACAACCCAAATAACGAATAAACGCTTGGGCAGAGACTAGGACTCAAACAAAGGTTATCGGACGAGAGGAACGATGAGCAAGTACGTCTTGGATTGCTACAATGTAGATACAAGAGGTTTGAACTAGAGAACTATCGACCAAGACGTGCTAACTATATACAACTATTGAAACGGAGATTGAAGCTGAGTTACAACTACTAGCCAATCATAAAAAGAGAAAGGGAATCGTACCATAGAACATCGTAGAATATTAAGGAAGCATCACGTGACCGTATCTTATCTTATCGTATCTTATCTAATCTAATCACAATCAAAGAACTCGTCTTCTTCATCAGTCACATCGAAGACACGTGTCGTGGGCGCTAAGGGAATCTCTGAACTGGTAGACGCTTTCAGGGTAGGATTAGGGTTTGTCTTAGGTGCTGTGTATTGGCGCTTAGGAAGATTCAAGAAAGAATAGTGATTTGTTAAAGGTACTCGTGACACACATGCGACTTATAGATAGCTCCGCAGCCGCACGATCGTGCCCCTGCGCGTTTCACTTCTTATTTCGACCTTTGACTCACTTTCTTATCTAGCACATTCTGCCTCGCCCGTGTCTCGACATGAACGTGCTTTCCTTTTATGGTTATGCCCTTTACCGATTGCTTCTCTTGGTAGTACGAGTTATCACCCACTAATACGTCTCCTGTCCTCTATATAAACTCGCTACCATGTACCATATTCCCTAACTTGAATCTACTTGGTTCTTGACCTCCTACTCTCACCAGAGTGATCCTTCTGCCTCGCCAGCAGTCTATATTCTATCTTCTTATCTGCTCTTCGCGGATAAGCCTATAGTCTCGACCTTTACCCATCGACTTCGTCGACGAGCAAAGCCCCTGTTAACTAGTCGGACTTCTGTCCTTCTAATTAACGACGATCTTACGATTAACCTTCAGGTGTCGTAAGCCTAGGCCGATTTAGCTTATCATCTCACACCCGCGTGACATAAGCTACCCGATTTGGACATAGGCGTCAAATCTTACTTGCCGAAGCCTCGCCAAGTAAGACCCCTAACCTTGGGCTAGCCCAAGGACGTCCTCGACCGTTGACGACACACGCTCTGTTTGAGCGTCGCCAACAGATACCATCCAAGTCGTAACACTTAGTACAGAAACCCTTTAGGGTCGAACACTGTCTTCTAGACAACGTAGCTAGGCAGCAAGACCCAACATTGTTCAGACTAACCATCTGAATTGTTGAACCTTCAGCGTGATTATGACAAACTCACACATTGTTCTTCTGTTGGCATCTCTGAGTCGAGTTTTTTTTTTTGCTTCAGCGTGATAAAACAGACTCACATTTTGAGGGAAACCATGTCTTTATTCAGGAATCTGATGACGTGCTTGACCCACTCTCTCTGTTCCAGCGCTATCTCTTGGCTCGTGATGCTCGTTTTCCACTGCACCCTTGCTTTGGTTGCACATGAAAAGACAATTCTGGGAGAGATATCCTTTATGGTTCCGCATGAATGGCTGGTCCTCAATGGTGGTGAATGTGCGGATGTGAGAACCATCAACAGCACCAAGGCACTGATCAAAAAATCGGACATGCGCATCATCTAAGATTGTGGGAGAGATGGGAGTGTTGTGTTTAGGAAATTGAACCTGTGAGGAGTAAAACGGAGGTGTTGAAAAGAACAGTAACATGCACTTGAAGTACCTAGGGTCATAAGTTTGATCTTAGACGAATTATAATACAATATTGATTCTCTACTTACCGTGAGACTGTATCCAATGAACATTGGAACCTTTCTCTGATATGGCGGGTCAAGAACCCTGTGACACAGGTGTACAGAAATATTGCAAGCTGTTCCTCCACAGAAACTCCATTGCGGGACCTTACAAACCCATTGGCTTGTAGGACTTCCAACAAACCATTGAAAACATTGAGGTTCAAACTGAGATTGTGTTTGATGCGATCAGGGTGACCGACCATGAGTTCCAACACCCACGCTTCGCCTGTTAAAGCAGATGTGTGATAGGGTATGCACACATGGCAGGTTAGGAAGTGTGTCTGATAGTCTATGAGGGCCTGGGCAACAACAGCAATTAGAATAAACATCAGGCGCTGTATACGCCCTCGTTGCACCATCCCAAGTGGTCCATCGTAGTCAAGTTGTTGTAGGGTAGCAGCTGGCATGGTCGTCGTACAGCGCTGATGATCGTTATCGTATTGGAACCTGATACGGTAACCCAGCTTATATAATTATGTTGCATGTGACCACGAATCCGAAATTTGAAAATGGAATTCGCTGTCCAAATGGCACCTTATATAAGTCTAAGCGTCACGCGTTGTTTGCGGGCTTTGCCCACTTCCACAATTTGGCTAAAATGCCCGCCCCATCGAAAGCAAATGTCCTATCTTCCTCAGACGCTGTCGCCCATCTAGCATCTTATCAATGCCTAGACGGTCTCTCTGTCAAGGATCTCATGGATTCCCGCATCCATGGTGGTCTCACTTATAACGATTTTCTCATGCTTCCCGGAAAGATCGATTTCCCTGCGTCTGATGTGATCACCGATACCAGAATCACTCGTAATGTCGTTCTCAGAACCCCATTCATGAGCAGTCCTATGGATACCGTTACCGAGACTGACATGGCTATCAGTCTCGCGCTGCTAGGTGGTATCGGTATCATTCATCATAACCAGTCTCCTGAATCTCAAGCGGCTATGGTTCGAGCCGTTAAAAGGCACGAGAATGGTTTCATCGCGGATCCTGTCGTATTCTCTCCAAATCATACGGTTGCAGACGTCCTTGACGTCAAGGCACGTCTTGGTTTCTGTGGTATTCCTATTACAGGTGTGTTATACGTTTCACCTGCGTCTCCTTGATGAACTCCTTTTCCAATAACCTTCGTTCTTCCGAGTAACGGGTTTTACCTGTGATTTGCGGATATCATCTCATTTTGGCCATCTGATCTTCCACTTCGCCCATCGTGCTCGTGTGATCAAAATCTAATGCGCATTCTTTAGAAACTGGACATCTGGGAGCTAAACTTGTTGGTATCGTGACCTCACGCGACGTACAATTTGAGTCGCCTGAGACACTCCTCGGCGAGGTCATGACCACGTCTCTTGTCACTGCTCCCCAGGGTGTCACGCTCGCAGAGGCCAACCAGATCCTCCGTTCTTCCAAAAAGGGCAAACTCCCCATCGTCGATGAACAAGGTCGTCTCACCTCTCTCCTCGCCCGCTCTGACCTCCTCAAAAACCAAAACTACCCACTTGCTAGCAAGGACCCTAACAGCAAGCAGCTATATGCCGCAGCTGCAGTCGGCACGCGACTCAGTGATAAAGAGCGCCTCGAGCTTCTCGTCGAGGCTGGTCTCGACATCGTCGTACTTGACTCATCGCAGGGCAACTCCATCTTCCAGATCGACATGATTCAATGGATCAAGCAGACGTTCCCCAAGCTTGAGGTCATCGCAGGCAATGTCGTCACTCGTGAGCAAGCTGCCAACCTCATCGCTGCTGGGGCGGACGCTCTTCGCGTCGGCATGGGTAGCGGCTCCATCTGTATCACGCAGGAGGTTATGGCTGTCGGTCGTCCACAGGCTACAGCTGTATTTGCTGTTGCCGAGTTTGCATCCAAGTTCGGTATCCCAGTAATTGCAGATGGTGGTATCAGCAATGTCGGGCACATTGTCAAGGCACTTTCCCTCGGTGCGAGCGCTGTGATGATGGGAGGGCTTCTTGCAGGCACCACAGAAGCTCCGGGAGAGTACTTCTACCACGATGGGAAGCGTGTGAAGTCCTACCGAGGCATGGGTAGTCTTGAGGCCATGGAGCAGGGTAGACCTGGCGCGTCTGGTCAGGCAAATGGCAAGCCTGGTTCCACGAAGTACACTTCACACCTTTCGAGCAAGCCACACGAGAACGCTGCCACGTCGCGCTACTTTTCCGAGTCCTCCGCGGTCAAAGTCGCTCAGGGTGTGTCGGGTGACGTCCAAGACAAAGGCAGCGTCAAGGCATTTATTCCATACCTACACGTCGGTGTCCAGCACAGTCTCCAGGACATTGGCGTGCGCAGTGTCTCAGAGCTACAGGCAGGTGTGAAGGAGGGTCGTGTGAGATTCGAGGTAAGGACGCCGAGTGCCCAGGTGGAAGGGGGTGTTCATGGGTTGCATTCGTGAGTAACGTTGATGATGTTCCGTTGCGGATGTGTCCCTGATTTTTTTTTGCAGGTACACAAAGAGATTGTATGCCTAGTACGATGGCTTGTGCTATTACCCCATGTGCCCAATACCGTGCATATAGGTTCTTGCTTTGTATGCATACAAACAAAGGAAAATTGTATGAACATCATTGATAATTGGAGGAAGCCGTGATCATGGCTGGGCCTCGTGCATGATCGAGTTCAACGACTCATCCATGGACGACGCCTGTCATCTCCGAGTCGCCAATACTAGATACTCATTTCCTTACAAACTTTGGCATAACATCACGCGTGAATATTCCTGCATAGGTTTGCAATGAAGACATTGTGGCTTCCAAACAGTCCGCCTCGCGGGGGTGTGATATCTTGACGATAGGCCTGACATTCGTGGAGCCAGTGAAGATGGTATCTTTGGATCACTGCTAGTCGTCGCCTGCGCGTGGCCATGTAAACATCATCAATGTTAATCAGGCACAATGATTATTGAAATTCGATGAACGTCAGATTGAACTTTGGGGGCGGAAAGGGAGCACATCGTGTCTGCTAGTGCTTTAGCTAATGTTAAGTACATTGGCCCATTCACGAGACCCGAAAGTGAACTGTCATGTCAAGAGGCAATCAAATCTTAAGGTCAAATAAAATATTGGAAAGGTTTCGAACTGCATGACATGTGTAAGTATCGCCCTTTCATCTACATAAGTACCAGTATATATGGCTGGTAAAAGCGCGTGCTGTATTAGTGTTGATTCAATCGGGAGCAGCGGTTATGCTCATACATGATGGTTAATTGTATTGATATTTACGAGCGCTATGTGAGCTTTTAAATAGATGGATCAGAGGATGGTATCATCAAATCCATTGAACCGACATACCGTTTGGTAACTGGAAACGACTCTCGTTCACCGGCTCCATGACGCTGACAACTGAGGCCTTCTCGAGGGATACTCGTCTTGAGACGAATCCGTAGAGCTGTAATCTTTGTTGAGGGGCAGCACGAGGCCTGCAACAGCATAGATGATCACAATGGCATACTCCATGAGCATGTCCATTACGAGGTATATTTGCCATTCGCCAGTGAACATGTTGAATTTTGCCAGGTCGCCGGTGTTGGCTTCGGTGGTCCCAGTAGTGGTTATCGCAAACGAGCTCGAAGAGAACGTGGACAGGACGCTGTAGATTGTCCGAATGGCCAGGAATGGAAGTGCGATGGAAATAGCCTTCAAAAGCTGAAGATGAGACGTAAGTATACGAGTCAGATAGATGATAGTACCACGAAAAGCTCACCTGCTTGCGATATCTCAAGGCAGAGCCAATTTGGGTCCATAAAAAGATGCAAATGCCGACGAGGATAATATATAGGATGCAAAAAAGGATGACGCCGGCCCTGCGCATGGTGTTCCCACTCGAGCTTGAGCTGGAACTGGAGCTTGACTCGTCGGAGATCCCGATTATGACAAGGATGAGAGCGACCATACCGAGGAGTTGAAGAAGGCGGAATGGTCTGTTATATCTCGAGAAGCCATCGGGAGTTTGGAACCTATAATAGTGTTCAGCACATTCGATCTGAAATAGCAACTGGATGAACGCACACTGAGTGCAAGAGACCTAGCGTGCAAATTAACAGTGGGGATAGGCCAGATGCCTCCAGGGCGTAACCGCCGATGTATAGTGAAGTATTTGCTGGCGTGATTTCCTCAGCTGCGACAAGCAAACAACCGCCCAATACTCGGACTGAAGGTATAACAGGGTTAAAACTATAACTTCAACAATTAAGACAACTTACTGATGCTGAATACCAACAACAAGACCCATCCATCACCTCGCGATAGCCCGTACTTGACCACCAACTTGATGGAAATGAACAGGAAGGGAACATACATTGCGATGGTCACCGCTGCAAGAATTCCGTGAGAGTTGAGTGCCATGTCTCCTGAAAACCGAGAGTCGAGGAAGGAGAAATAAAGATAAGGGAAATGGTTGGGTGGTTACCTGCCTTTTGTATGAGACCATGGCGGACAAAAAGCAGTAAGTGCCAGGCCCCGCGGCGCTCGAGGCGTTGCGTTTAGAAAGGCGAACCTCCTGAATTTGACAGAACGGCGCAATCGTCACTCCACAGATGCAAGTTGCTGCCGTCTGAAGCGGGTTCGGACACTGAACTAACTACTGGGTCCGGTCTATATTTCGTTCTGTTCGACCTACTATGTTCCCTGTGGTCAAGTTCGGGGTTCACCCTCCTCTGAACAATTGTTCGGCCAGCCAGAATTGCCAGATTCAAGTTGGTGATTATCATTATCTGCCATCATGGATGAAGATCGATGTGGGCTCAAGGATGCATCTGAAATTGATCACTGAAGGAGGTTATTATTATAGTGGAGATGTCTGTTTCGCCTGCCTATACTGAGATATGTTGCCTAAAGGTACTGAGCTAACAGATGTCAGAAGGCGATGATGGTGTTGCCAGTGCTCAGAAAGGGAACACAACAATTTCTGTTGGTGCTCTGCCACAGATTTGCATATATTTGTGCCCACTGAACAAGCTTTGTTTTCTCATGCCAGATTTGACTGGGGACTCGAGTGATCCAGAAGTCGGCCTGTCGTATCCACCAGTCGTAAACATGGTCATGTCTGGTAAGTACACGACTACCTACACGGTCTCTTGAACAAGTCATCATCCGTTATTCAGAATAAATGTATAGCACGCTTGTGCCAAGCGGTGTTACCTTCAAATTTCTGGCAGAGCTTTATCGAAGTTTTTTCCTGCGGTGAAGACATAATCAACTATTGGGCCCAGCTCCGTCTCAGCTTGTTGTATAGCAGCCCAGGCCTTAGTTGTGACCGTGGTCAGTGAGGATCTACCCTGAACCCTATTTAGCGGTTTTAGTGCTTGTATGGTGCAGAATCTTCAAGCAACCCTTAAATTGATAAGGCGTTCGAACTCCGGTTCAAGCCTTCGACTCGAAATGCAGAACCCCGAACTGGCCGCAACAACTTGAAAGGGTCTCGTACGCATCCGACCTCATCCTATTGGGCGCACCCAACACCCACTAGGAAGCTGGCTCTCTTCAATGGCTATCAAACCTTGTTATTCTTGATCATCACGACCTGGTATCAATACAACTGTCACGGATCCACTCAAACGTCACGTTACGCGCGGCATGATGATAGGGTGGGCCTAATATTAATCTTGCTCATGTTCGACCGCAGCGTCCATAGCTTGCCACCGCTGAGCCTGAATATAGAATCAAGTGGCGTGTCTCCGAATCGCATCCTTGTTCCTACCGACAAACATGTGGCTACGGTTCGTCGCATCCCCAAAAGTCCACCATGACTGAGGCGCGGAACTCTGCCGAGCACTGGTGTTTGGATTACTTGAACAGATCCAGCGTCGTGCGAGCGAGAATTCGTCTGTGCCAATTTGTTTGCACCGCCAAGAGGCTGTTCAGCCGCTGTTAGTATTTTGGTTGCCAGTACATTAAATTGCTAAATTTAGTACTATGGGGCACCATCGCGCGATTCAAGGACCGGTACTACTATCCCTTCGGGAACGGTACAATCCCCATGGAAGTCCGCACTAATCGTATTCTACTTACATAGTAAGTAACTTGAGTCGACAATTATGCAGTTTGGGTATCGAATTCAGGCTAAGGCTTGAGGCTGATGATTAACAGGAATTCATCCGTATCGGCTAATGCATGAGGCCTGAGGATTCACGGGAGAATAGAATTGTCTGTAAAACATTTGACCCAGTTTCCCGTTGTCTGTGTATAAAAGAGCCAAGTAATCACCGTTATTTCGATAACGAAGAACATCACTCGTACAACAATGAAGCTCACCTCACTCGTCATTATGATTATGTCTAGCGTGCTGCCAGTATTGTGTGGAACAGTCATAGCAAAAATAAACCCCAACGGCATGCCATGCGACAAGCTTGGTGAATACCTTCAGCGTACATGTATTGACCTCAGACTGGCTTACTAAGTACGGGTGCTTGCAGAACAGTGGGGTTGCGGAACACTCGCCGGTTATAACAACGGCAATCCATTTCTGTTTTGGTGTAACCAAAACCACACTTTGGTGGACATGAAGGATTGCACCTGTGCAAGGTGCTGTAGCGTCCAGGACGGAGGCCTTAACGGCGGGAAGATGAGATGCGATTAGAGTTCCGAAATCAGGAGGCAGATACACATAGTACCTTTACCACGGCAATACGTTCTTGTAACACTGTTCTGGCTTGAGGCTGATGATTAACAGGAATTCATCTGTATCGGCTAATGCATGAGGCCTGAGGATTCACAGGAGAATAGAATTGTCTGTAAAACATTTGACCAAGTTTCCCGTTGTCTGTGTATAAAAGAGCCAAGTAATCACCGTTATTTCGATAACGAAGAACATCACTCGTACAACAATGAAGCTCACCTCACTCGTCATTATGATTATGTCTAGCGTGCTGCCAGTATTGTGTGGAACAGTCACAGCAAAAATAAACCCCAACGGCATGCCATGTGATCAGCTTGGTGAATACCTTCAGCGTACATGTATTGACCTCAGACTGGCTTACTAAGTACGGGTGCTTGCAGAACAGTGGGGTTGCGGAACACTCGCCGGTTATAACAACGGCAATCCATTTCTGTTTTGGTGTAACAAAAACCACACTTTGGTGGACCTGAAGGATTGCACCTGTGCAAGTTGCTGTAGCGTCCAGGACGGAGGCCTTAACGGCGGGAAGACGAGATGCGATTAGAGTTCCGAAATCAGGAGGCAGATACACATAGTACTGTAAGGAATTGTCACTCTGCTAGCCACGGACACCAGCTATGGAATTCCCTTTGTACCGGTTTGAAGTACTACTTATGGAACTCCCTTTGTGCTCACTTACATACAAATAGTCGGTCCCTACTTTCAATAGCACGAGTGAATAAACTCCCCTCACTCATTCTCTCTTGGTCCGAATCATTCCCCGTCGAACTCAATCAAGCAGCCTTACAGTACCTTTACCACGGCAATACGTTCTTGTAACACTGTTCTGGCTTGAGGCTGATGATCAACAGGAATTCATCTGTATCGGCTAATGCATGAGGCCTGAGGATTCACAGGAGAATAGAATTGTCTGTAAAACATTTGACCAAGTTTCCCGTTGTCTGTGTATAAAAGAGCCAAGTAATCACCGTTATTTCGATAACGAAGAACATCACCCGTACAACAATGAAGCTCACCTCACTCGTCATTATGATTATGTCTAGCGTGCTGCCAGTATTGTGTGGAACAGTCATAGCAAAAAAAAACCCCAACGGCATGCCATGCGACAAGCTTGGTGAATACCTTCAGCGTACATGTATCCTCAGACTGGCTTACTAAGTACGGGTGCTTGCAGAACAGTGGGCTTGCGGAACACTCGCCGGTTATAACAACGGCAATCCATTTCTGTTTTGGTGTAACAAAAACCACACTTTGGTGAACCTGAAGGATTGCGCCTGTGCAAGGTGCTGTAGCGTCCACGACGGAGGTCTTAACGGCGGGATAACGATGTGCATAACAAATGTAGGCCATCAGTAAATCACGAGTTTACTTTTTTTACTCCTTTTCCCACTTATTTGAAGAAATGGATCTACTTATTTTTCTCAAATAGCCACCTGCTTCGAAGTTGAGTATTCCAATATGTTTGTTGGACATAAGAGACATGTTTTATTGAAAGTACAAGTCACGCTGAACCTCAAGTCGTGACGGAGTTTCATGTACATAAAACAGCTGGAACTTGATCAGAGGGAAAGGTTCAAAGCAGGAGTCTAAATCTACCACCGGAGCTGATTGAGTCATTTGTTTGCACCCACTTAGCGTGTGTTTGAAGGTTTCCATTACAATCCATCATCGAATACAAACAACCCCAGACACTAATGGTCACTGGTCACCATACTTGCTCTTGCTTACGCCAAATCTTGCGTTCCCTATCATATTATGTGACACCTCGGAAGCGGAAGGGTTTAGTACCTGGTTGTCCTGCCAGCCAAAGGTAATTTTATCGGCTGTGTTCGTGGACCGACATATGGTTCTGTGATGCCGCAGTACAAATTGCTTCAACTTTAGTGCGAAAGGTTGACTTCAATTACTATCTGCGCAGCACCTATTCTGGAATCTGCGCCCGCTTTAACTTTGTTTCCGATATCACAGCCTCTCACAGCCGCTAGCTTTCTGGAGATGAACACAACGAGGCAGCACAGCGCAGCGCTTACGGACCCTTGTCCGATATCTGAGTCCTGACACCGCCAACATTTCATTCAAAAGGCAAACAGTTTTGACAACTATGCCATCATCTCCCATATCTTTATTCAGCCTCTTTCCTGAACTCCAGTTCTTCAGTAATAATGGCTCTTGACTCCCAAGGCATCCTTGCAGCGGTGACCATCGCAATGTATATTCCCTTCCTGTTCATTTCCCTCAGATTGGTCTACAAGTACGGCCTATCACGAGGTGATGGATGGGTCTTGTTATTGGTATTCAGCATCAGTAAGTCGTTTCAATCGTTGAAGTTATGGTTTTGACCCTGTTATGCCTTCAGTCCGAGTATTAGGTGGTTCTTTGCTTGTCGCAGCTGAGGACATCACGCCCGCAAATATTTCACTTTACATCGGTGGCTACGCCCTAGAATCATCTGGCCTGTCTCCACTGTTGCTTTGCACCCTTGGTCTGTTACACTCGATGTAAGTTCATCCAGTTGCCATTTTAGGTCGAATGCGCTGAACACTATCGTTATAGGTTCCAATCTCCTGATGGCTTTTCGAGATATAGAAGACCATTCCGCCTTCTTCAACTCCTCGGCACCATCGCTCTTATCCTTAACATCTCCGGTATCTCTGAATCGACAAGTTCCAGTTCAAGCTCGGATCCAGGCACAACCATGCGCAGGGCTGGTGTCATCCTCTTTTGTGTCCTATACATCATCCTTGTCGCCATTTGCTTCCACGCATGGACTCAAGTCAGATTTATCATGAGATACCGCAAGCAGGTGAGCTTTCCGGAGCAATTGTCATCTATACAACTCATTTTCTTACGCCTTATCTTTAGCTCTTGAAGGCTATATCCATCGCACTTCCATTCCTGGCCATTCGGACGCTCTACAGCGTCCTGTCCACGTTCTCTTCGAGCTCGTTTGATATAACCGGAACTGCCGCACCCCCCACTGGCGACCTGGCAAAATTCAACATCTTCACAGGCGAATGGCAAATCTACCTCGTAATGGACATGCTCATGGAGTATGCCGTTGTGATCATCTATTCTGCTGCAGGCATCGTGCTGCCCCTCAACGAAGACTACAAGTCTCCAGAATCGTATCAAGACGAATACCCTTTGAGCAGGCCTCTGGTGTGAGCGTCGAGGCACCAGTGAATGAGAGTCGTGTTCGGTTACGAAGCGGGATGCATATGTCGGTTCAATGGATTCAATGATACCATCTTCATTATAGCATCTGTCTACAAGGTTACCTACCACTCATAGATATGTTAATAGGTTTTTATTTATTTAATGTCGTAGTGACGATTTATATCATGACTCGGATCAAATAAACATTTGTCGATGACAATGCCTCTGAGGGAGTAGTGAAAACAAATACCAAAGACCTTCAGGACATCACAACTAAGTTGACTGACATTGGCCTTGACATAAATGTGTCCGAGTCTGATTGAAACTCGATGCCGCTCATCATGCATCATGTCCTTGTAATTCAAACATGTTATACACAGCATTTATATTGAAGTTCAGAGAACAGACCACTTCTAAAATGACCAATTCCAGCAGGCGCAGAGCCTCCTTCAATATCTATTCAATAAAGCCTGACCTCTCTCGATCTCGAGTTTAGGTGATCCATGAGCCTTTGGCAAGTTGCAAACCTGTGCATGTGAATTCAAATCTCCGCTTTCCTTCACAAAGCCAAGTATCATAATGCAACAGCCGGTAGCAGAATTATGCTGATGTTGACTATGTAAATATTGTTATATATGTCCTTCTCACATTTCCATCAGTTCACTACTGCTTGCATGTATAGTGCCCGCCTAAACGAGGATTACCTCCGTTCTCGACGCTACAGCAAGTCGGACAGGAGCAATCATCAATCAAATCATGAATCTTAGAGTCTTCCTCGCACTCATACAGAAATGCATTGCCGTTGTTATAACCCGCGAGGAGTCCGCAATGGTATTCTTCTGAAAACACCCGTACTTAGTACGCGGTCTGAGGTCAAAAACGTATGCTAAAGGTACTCACGAAACTTGCCCTTGTTGAACTCGCATGGCATGCCGTCGGGGGTTACTTTTGCTACTATAACTGCGCTAAGTACTGGCATTACGGCAGATATAATCATCATGGTGAGTGAGATGAACTTCATTGTTGTACTTCGAAGGAGAGGGCTGGATGATGTTCTTTGTTATTAAAATAACAGTGATTACTTCGCGCTTTTATACACAGACGGTGGATGGTTTTACAGACAAATTTAAATTCCTGTAAATCCTCAGGCCTCATGCATTAGCCGATACAGATGAATTCTTGTTGATCCTCAGCCTCATGCCTTAGCCTAAATTCGATACCCAAGAGAGATACAGCCGTTTGCATTAAAAAGTTCACCCCTTGATTTGGACGCAACGAACTCCAGAAAATGAAAATGATCATACTGTGGTTCCCTCGCTAGAACTCCCTCACCTTTTGGTAAGCATCAGTCAGTAATAGTGAGGGTAAGTGAGAGTGCATTCAACGCCCTCACGCCTCGAAACCTTAATCATCGCAAATTGCGTCTTGCAACATGAGGTGTTATGCCAGATCAATGTTGTGCAACTTCATTCTTATCATAATAGTACCCACAAACCATCAGTTCACCTTAAGAGCGATCACCTTTAGCTTCGAGGCAACAAACTAGAAAATACAAATTCAGATCAAAATCAAGTGTCCATATCGTGTGGGTATATAGTTTCAAAGTCTGGAATATTGAAGTCTTTGGCAACAGGTTTTGCGTGGCCATGACTGGATGCTACATGCAAAGTCGTCAAAAATACTTTGATCGGTAAGGTGGGAAGACGCACGGTATCGATCATATCCCAATATGCACGAACAATATGCGCTGGTCCAAAGGTATGTCTTGGTCAGAACCTAGCGAATAGACCGCTCGGTGCAGCGCCCGGGCAGCTCGTTTCGAGTTCATCGTGCCATCCCCGCAAAAGTTTTTGTAGAACGCCTTGACTAAGCGCTCCACGGTACTATCATTGACCTTCCATAATGTTCCAATGACACTCTTGACCCCGGCAAACTGCAGGCCAGCCGCTAGGTGTATCACTTCATCAGGAGTATTGCGGTCACCTACTGCGGTTTCGCAGGCAGAAAGAAACGCAAATTGATGCCGAGACAGATCTGTTTGTGTGATGTCGAGGAGCGAAAGTGGCTCGTCGCGCATAAGGAAGGCCGATTTGAAGGGTTCGGCAATGTTCTGTGTCCCGTGACACGCAAGATGAAGCCAAGTATTGTCTCGCAATGCGCATAGTGCTCTCGATTTTGTGGCATCCACACTAGTGATCTTGGAAAACGAAATAGTTGGGGGAGGAGGCAAAAGGCTCCGTACCAATTCCAGTTCAGGCTCCACAGCATCCAAGGTGAATGAGGCACCGGCTGGGTGATCCTGACCAATGGCAACGAAGGGTACCGAGGGGGACCTGTCATGACTTCTGCGAGCCTTGATCAGCGCGGTGAGCGATGGCGTGTATGAAGAGATGTAGAGATGTGAAAGGAACCGTCCTTGTTTCCTGTACTCGCCAGCGGCGTGCAACGGCAAGAAATTGAAGACAGATGTCGGGCACCACCATATTCGAGAACCTCGCGGTGCAATTCCGTCCAGATTCTCGACCACCGGGCGGACGACGTCATCCCACAACTCGGTCAAGGCTTTTTTAAGCGCTGGACTATCTGTGCGATGGAGCTTGTCCACCAATATTTGGAGCTTCTCGATGCTGGTAGAGAGTTGGATGCTGATCGGAGTTTGCTTGTGTGGGATGATAATGGCATGGCAAGACGACTTGCTTCCAATGAGTACGATGATAGGCCCTTCACGAGCTGCTTCTTGAAGATCGGAGAATAAGGGGGGGAGGAGGAAGCGAGAGAAGCCTTCGATCGTCCGGATCTCTTCTACAGCGCTGTTCCACTCCTTCACTAGACGTCTGTACCGGGTTTCTTCTGCGTCTACGTTGACTCTTGAGGTTGCGTCTGGTTGACTCGCAGGAGGTTTATCGAGGAGGGAGCTAAGGTCTCTGAATCTCTTCAAGAGGGCCGCTGCATGATCACCGCGTGTCTGGAGACCGTCAAGAGGCATGCGGAGTCGTGTCATCTGGGTCCAGATGACAGTCCTGCCTTGCTCCAACAACTCAACAGCACGACACACGTCACCGCTACGAAGAGCACACGATGCAGCATCCACGGCAAGTGCCAGTGGGAAGTCCTTCATGGCCCTATGACGAGAGGATACTGAAGCTGTCGTGGACATGTAAGCGTCCATAAGTTTCATCGAAGTCTCATACGCCTCCAACTGAGTATTATGTCTGTGTTGTTCAGCATAGCGAACCCAGCGGAAGCTTTTTTGTAGGCGGGATAGCGGGCCTCCAGAGACAACATTTGCTGCTGTCTTGAGGTGATGCATAGCAACATCGAGGCTGTCCGTATCTTCGCCCGCACCAATGTCGTCAAGCCCTGAATGATGGTATGATAGATAGACACTGGCTAGCGATTCATGGACTAATAGTCGATAAGGATCATGTTGGCTCAGCAGATTCAATGCACAACGGAGGTTCTCGCGTGCCTCGTCGAGGTCTTCTCTGTTACCTCGATGCTCAAAGCGGGAAATGAGTGAACTTGCGAGGCTACACATTGACATGGACCGATCTGTGTGACCGACGGGGCGCAAGGCCAGCGCTTCCGTATGAAGTGTGATGGCCTCATCCAAGTCTTCTTCGTTGCCTCGATGTTCAAAGCGGGAGGAGAGTTCTTTCGCAAGGTTATTTAATGACATGGACCGATCTGTGTGACCGACGGGGTGCAAAACCAGCGCTTCCGTATGAAGTGCGATAGCCTGATCCAAGTCTTCTTCGTTGCCTCGGTGCTCAAAGCGGGAAGAAAGAAGAAACGCGAGGTTATTTAATGATGCGGACCGATATGTGTGACCGACAGGGCGCAAGGCCAGCGCTTCCGTATGAAGTGCGATAGCCTTATCCAAGTCTTCTTCGTTGCCCCGGTGCTCAAAGCGGGAGGAGAGTACTTTCGCGAGGTTATTTAATGACATGGACCGATCTGTGTGACCGACGGGGTGCAAAGCCAGCGCTTCCGTATGAAGTGCGATAGCCTCATCCAAGTCTTCTTCGTTGCCTTGGTGCTCAAAGCGGGATGAGAGTTCTTTCGCAAGGTTATTTAACGACATGGACCGATCTGTGTGACCGACAGGGTGCAAAGCCAGCGCTTCCGTATGAAGTGAGATAGCCTCATCCAAGTCTTCTTCGTTGCCTCGGTGCTTGAAGCGGGAGGAGAGATCAATCGCGAGGTTATTTAATGATGCGGACCGATCCGTGTGACCGACGGGGCGCAAGGCCAGCGCTTCCGTATGAAGTGCGATAGCCTCATCCAAGTCTTCTTCGTTGCCTTGGTGCTCAAAGCGGGAGGAGAGTTCTTTCGCGAGGTTATTTAATGACATGGACCGATCTGTGTGACCGACAGGGCGCAAAGCCAGCGCTTCCGTATGAAGTGCGATAGCCTCATCCAAGTCTTCTTCGTTGCCTCGATGTTCAAAGCGGGAGGAGAGTTCTTTCGCGAGGTTATTTAACGACATGGACCGATCTGTGTGACCGACGGGGTGCAAAGCCAGCGCTTCCGTATGAAGTGAGATAGCCTGATCCAAGTCTTCTTCGTTGCCCCGGTGCTCAAAGCGGGATGAGAGTTCTTTCGCAAGGTTATTTAACGACATGGACCGATCTGTGTGACCGACAGGGTGCAAAGCCAGCGCTTCCGTATGAAGTGCGATAGCCTCATCCAAGTCTTCTTCGTTGCCTCGGTGCTTGAAGCGGGAGGAGAGATCAATCGCGAGGTTATTTAATGATGCGGACCGATCCGTGTGACCGACGGGGCGCAAGGACAGCGCTTCCGTGTGAAGTGCGATAGCCTCATCCAAGTCTTCGTCATTGCCTTGGTGCCTGAAGCGGGAGGAGAGATCAATCGCAAGGTTATTTAATAATGTGGACCGATCTGTGTGACCGACGGGGCACAAGGCGAGTGCTTCCCTGTCAAGTGCGATGGCCTCATCTAAGTCTTCATCGTTGCCTCGGTGTTCAAAACGAGAGGAGAGATGAATCGCGAGGTTATTTAATGATGTGGACCGATCTGGGTGACCGACGGGGCGCCAGGCCAGCACTTTCCTGTTGAGTGCGATAGCATCATCCAAGTCTTCGTCGTTCCCTGGGTGCTGGAAGCGAGCTTCCAGCATGAGCGCCAAATTACTTAGCAACTGCGCTTGACAAGCATGCCTGGTGTTGTAGTACCCCAGTGCGTCAACATGAAGAGATATCACTTCATCTAATTCATGGGGTTCATCTCTCTGCAAACACCACTCTGCTCGATCAACCAGTTGATCGGGCGATAGAGGAAGCACAGATGCTGCCCGCCGCTCCCACTCAAAATCATTTGCATTAATGTTTCCGGCAAAACGCAGAGCAGATGTTTTAATTGTAACTGAAGCTGCTCTGTAAATGTGGCTGTTGGAGTGGCAGACATCGAGGACTTCGCTCAGTAACTCTTCAGCTGTGTCTGCATCTGTTTGAAAGCCGTATTTCGCGAAGCGAGAGAGCAGAGACATAGCAAGGTGGAGTTGAGTGGTAGGTCTGTCTGGATGACCCATGGGACGCGAATCAAGAGCACGTTGAAAAAAAGAGATAGGAATGTCGACGTCGAGGCATATCCCATTAGCTTGGCAACTAATAAACTTTGCGCTGGCTAGATTGAAGAGTGCTGCGGGGCGGTAGGGATGGTCCATGGGACAGAGATCCAATGCACGTTCAAAGTGGTTTATGGATTGGTCGAGATCCCCACTGTTCTGCGTCCTGCGGTATTGTATGAGAAGACGATGTCCGGCATCAGTTTCTAATGCTAATGAATCCATATCGCCCGATGTAACCTACATGTTACACGTCTCAGCATCAGAGTGCCCGACTCAATCAATCACTCACAGTAGTAAGGGGGCATAGACCTGCGGTATCATTTTGATCAGGCAGTCGCTGCTCCACTGTCATGAACAGTGAAGTACAGGCGGATACGACTTCCTCCTCCTTTGGCTCAAAGATTATAGCTACGATACTCGTTAGCATCCATCAGGTGTTACTCGCAATAGACAAAGCTGACGATGAAATTTTTTGCTGCGATCCAGTAGTTCTCCGACGGAGATCTCGAATGTGCGGAGGAGTTCTCCATGACAGAGCATGGGGCCCATTTCAAATGATGCATACACGCTAACCCGAACTTTAGAGGATGGCTCGCGCGGCCTAGACTTTCTCAATACCTGCAGGGCGGATGCTGTTAAAGACAACTTACAGAAGAATGTGCTCGTGCCATTCGACAACAGCCTGATCTATGTGTGCAGATTTATTGCTTGTCTGGTATTCAGCACCGTCAGCCTCGACCAACGCATAGAACCCAGCAGGAATCCATCGGAGACCAAGGGTGAGATCAGTTGCGCGGATGGCTTGGAAATCGTCAATATGTGCTAAACGGAGATTGATATTACATACCAGTAATGAGGACTTGTTGCACTCCACTGAGGTGTACCTCTCCCGGATCCTGGATATGTCTTGGGTGGCTTGTCTCCTGACTAAACAATACGCATATTGTTATGTATTCATATGATCAGTGCTTCATATGCGCACTCGTCTCTTTTTTGCCTGAAAATGCGAGATTAACTCCATACATGTGCTGTACAACACAACGACTTACGACCGAGGACGCTTTGAACTCTTCGTCTTGTTGTTTGACGACTTACGCTTACGCTTTTTCCCTTTCAAGGGCTCGGCACTGGGAGCAGGTTTCTCTCCTGGAGGAGTAGGGGAGGGTTTGCGCGATGAGGCTGAAGAAAAGTCTGAATCAGAGTCTGATTCTGACGAACTTGAAGACTCGAAGGTAACACGTCGACGGCGGGCCATGACGATGGCTGAGGGATAGATCTAAACTAACACTTGAGAATAAGATATTTGCTGAGGGCCACGAAATACTGCAGTACCTGACTTCCTGAAGGATTATAGAGGAGGGAGCCAGCCTCAGCACAGGACGCACACAGCACCCACAATGAGTTCACAAGACCGAAGCGAGTCGAAAAATACCGAGCTACCCATAGCCTCGTGGACAGTGCGCGTGAGATTTGTACACTGGCAGCAGACGCGCATTCTAGATTGAGATATCGATCAAAATAGCCAAAACGATAAATAAGGCTGAGTGCTGAGGCTAAGCGCAGGGCATTCCACACTTTCACACGAATTCGTGCAGCCTATTGCGAAGCACTGTCTGAATGTCGCCAGCCTTGAAAGTTTGACAAGGACATTACCTACAGCTGCTGTCAGACAATGACACCGTATCGCATGAGGTTATAATTGTGCACGTTGAACATCGAATATATGTCAAGGACCCAGTGAGGTTCTTGGAGTATGGTGGCCCAGCGCTCAACACAAGTCACGAGTTACGGTGCCGATTTGCCGTGAGTTATTTAGAAGTCCGATTGGTGCATGATCCAGAATGACGCGCGTGGAGCTGGACCGCCTGGACGTGTCTGATGCCTTTCGTCGGTTCTGGATGTTTCAACAAGAACTTGCTCAACCTGCAACATCCGAAAGGAAAATACTGGGATGTACTTGGAAGCTGTGAGGATACAGCTCATGAACTTAACGCTAGCACTGCCCTTCTTCCGCATTGTTTTCTGCGGCTTCTGTCTCGTAGTAACGTCAATTATCATCCTGTAGAGCCCGCACTGATGGGTAATTGTGACCTCTTTCAAGATCGTTCATTATCTAATACATCATAGCGCCGGTCAAAAATATATAGTGAAGTCTACACTGCCCATGGTCTCAAGAACCTGCCCATCTGACGGCAATATCGTTGCGATGAGGTCCGAGTCACGGAAGTTTATGGACCTCCTTTACACCCCTACATACCAGTTCGTCAACTGGGATCCACTAACGGCGATCAATGTATGCATAAAGGCCCCACTTTTTTTCTATTGACCTGACAGGCATAGGTAGGCGACTATGGAATGGTCAACAAGGACACTGGAGAATTCGAATGGGAAGGGAACCTTTACACATTGCAGAACGATGTCGATATCGACATGACGGACACGGCACTACGCCCCATAGAAACGGAAGGGAACGACACATACATCGTTCAATCGTGGGTGCCACCGTCGAGAACGTCGACACAGCTACTGAAGCGTAGGTGCTGAATATCTAGTTTTTAGGTATATATCTGACTGTGTTACAGCACCGTGCCTGGTGCAGGGAAGGTTGCCCTCAAAGTCGAGTTTGAGTCCGATGGTATGAGGCGAGCAGCGAAGGCAACACACATCAGCATTCCCAACGATGAGCGCATCATCAGGCTGATCAAGTCCAGACCTGATGTCCTCAAAGAGAAGTATGTAGTCACCAAAGTGACGTGTTGCGCAGCATATGCGATGTACATGTCTACCACTGGTAAGCCCGGCAAGTGTAAGTTCTTCTGCGCTGTTCACACTTCGCACAGAAGTCGAAAAATTCCCCGTGACACTTCAAGCCAACGGGCCTATTGTACCGGTTGTTGATGTTGGAGGAGCAACGAGTTTCACCTGGTCTTCAGGAACCAACCATGGTGTTTACCGTGAAGGAAGCAAATCGGGCGCAAAATACATGCCCATCTATAAGCTAAAGGAGCCTCGTTCAAAGTTCTGGGTGCCTCCCAGTGAACGCGGAAATGAGAAAATTGACGATTCGATCGAGAAGTGAGTCGAAATCGCCTTATGACTCGGTCTAATAACCTACTTGTAGATGGGTGGCTGTCGACCCACCTTGGGAACCCATCGACGATGATGGCGAAGAAGACCCATTTTATGATGCAGTATGTCCACATTTTTAAAAAAAAAGAAAAATAGAACTTTACTTGATCTATCTCTCTTCAACAGGAGATGCATGGTGACTTCGGCGTTTTCAATGATGGCTATCCTGAGTAAGCATGAACCCTACACAAACTTTGCATGTCTCAAATACCTATCATAGTAACCATGATGATGATGACTACTGATCATTCGCGAATGCTGTTATCGTTACCCCAACGGACGAATCGTGCCACTTTGTATATAGCCGAGCCACATTGCTGGAAAAGTATCGACATTCTTACGTGGACAGAGTTCCGTCTCTAACCAAATTTCGAAAGTTACTATCACTCCGGGTAATCTGCAACATTTTCAGCAAATCTTTTGTAGCTCATCAACCACTTCATATTATCTTCCACGAATTTAGAGTGTTGTAGATTCGTACCGCCTCTATATAGATCTCATTTTTCCTCATTTTTAGGACGTTGTGGTGTGGTGTCGGATGAAAGCCGAGAAAATTCAGGGTCTGACTGCTAATCTGCAAAATATGGTCACGTCGAGTCACACCTCGGCATAGCACCCGCACAGTCAACTTTGACTCTCCACACTGCGCAAGTGCTCTCGATCTGTTGGCGTTGAGTACTGAGTCGTCGAACTGGAAGCTTGGTCTGGAATACAGCAATATATTGTCATCAACCATTATGCATCATGATCCATGTAATTATTATTGTGAGTGTACTGCCATTGATATGGTCCTGAATAAGGTTGACTCCTGCCATCATACATCTGTACCTCAGCACCAACTCGAAATTCCCCTCTGTTACCAGCTGCCGGCACAAATTGGGGAATGAGTGGAGGCACATACCTGCCGAGTGAGGGAAGATCTATGTGTGACATTGAGGGTTGAGGGATAGGCTGTGGTTGATAGGTGCCAAATGGTGCGTGCATCGAATTTTGATGAATCAGCGTGTCTTGCGGTACTGACTCAGTAGTGTTATTGCCGATTTCAACATGCCGCCTGCGAGAACGAGAGGAATTAAATAAACCTTTGCACGAAGGTTGCGCTTGGAGAGAGGGTGACCTGTCATGGTGAGATACTTGGCCCAGTCACATATTGTTACTTCCTGCCCTTCAGTAAGTAATTGGAGGTTTTTGTGGGCTTTTGAATGAGGTTTAGTGAGGTTCTGTGCCCGTTGACAAAGAGTATGGTATGAGACTTTAAACTCTGCAGCTGCTATTCGGAGGTTCTTGGCCTTTTTCTCTCTGATAGCCTGAATAGCAGCAGTGAAGTTGGCTTCGCGAATCTCTTCTTCAGCTTTCTTCTGCCTGGTAGTAGGTCTGCAGTTTGGTGCCATTGTAATAATGCAAGAGATGACAATGCAAGACTTTGTGCACTTGCCGAGTGTGCCGTAGAGGAGATTGAATTTGTTACACACTCTCCTATCTGGCTGTCACGTTTTCAGACATGTCGTCAATTCTTCCTCTATAGCATCTTAAAATGACAAGATGAGCTTTATCAAAATTGTGCACTGTAATCCTGACAAGGTGATCATGTTATGCTCCAGGTATAACTTTGTGAATATACCTGCAGGATCTATGGGATGTGGGTGATTTATGTTCTTGCATGCTTACAAATTACCACTTTTTCATCTCTCGCAGCTGCAACACTCAAGAAATTTTCATTTTACTTGGACAGTATATCATATATAAGTAGTCTACATATGCATGAATTTTTTTTGAAGTGAGTTGAGCAGTGCTTTGTGGTGTTTTGAACATTTTGCATATTACATGCATGTTGCAGATTACCCGGAATGATAGTATATTAGGAGCAGCAGGCTAAAGTTGTAGAATTGAAATTCCCCTCGAAATTTGATTTTTATGCTTACTGCCTGCATCTCAAGTTGACCATTTCCCCCTTGGTAAGGTGACTCTGAGACACGCCTGTATGGTAGCGTTCAATGATTGCAGCTAGTCAGTCCACTGTTGGCTATTACCGTTCTCGCATTCGCGGCGTGCTGATCGGGCTAGTTCCACAAAGTTTGCTCACTGACATCATACTCACGGCGTCATTTAATGGTCGATGGTCACCTAAAGAATGAACCCGATAACAACCGTGCAGACATAGTACACTTCATGGTGCGGTCCCGGCTTTCTGTCTGATATCTTTCCCTTAGTCGAGACAATAATTAGGTTATACTCAACTACGAGACGATCATACAACGCTGTGTTCGCCTCCTGGATGATTTGTCTGTTCTAGATCTACCGCTACCTTCCAGACTTTCATGTGTATGACTTACTCCCAGACGCCGTGCCGTCCCCATGAGCATCGACAATGGTGTCAGTCGCCGTGCCTGTCCGCTTCAGCATCGAAGCATACCGAGCCAATTGCCAAATTCTCATGATTGAAAATGATGATGAACAGCTAATCGCAAGTCTAAGTCTACGTAGTACCAAAGAGAACGCGATATGATGAGATCCGAAATACCATCAAGGCACTCGCGTTCTGATCAACAGGAAAGTAGCAGCAATGCATGAGGATGGTGAGTATGGATCGAGGACTATAAACCATAAGGCACTTACACCCTGTCAACATGCGAGCAGCGGCAGCGAGGCATGGAAATCACGAGCGCGGGTCAAGGACTAAAACTATCAAGGCACTCACGTACTGTCACCAGGCGAACAGTGATGGCAAGTCATCGGCGTTGTCCATGCTGGTTGAACTTCATAAATCACAATCGTACTAGTTGTTATCAATGGACACTACAATCAAGAAAAATTTATCAGAATGCCTACAGTTGGAGCATCATTACCAGGGCACGGTCAAATCGAATCAATCTTTGACATGTTGACACTACTTAGCAGTTGTCAAAATGATAGTTTTCATAATTGAGCGTCCTAGATAGTTCATGTGCACAATAAGTTAGTATTCTAGATGACGTCGAACAAAATGTGATTTGCAACCCTGCGACTCACGCAATGGCACGCTTAACACAAAGCTCCATGTTTGATTGTGAGTTGTCGAAATCATGTACAGCGGCCGCAATTCTTCGTCGTTAAATGCGAGCGACGTGTTCCAGTGGATCAATAAAGTTTGTATTCGGTCAATTCATACCCAGGACGGTTAAAAGACAGTCATTAACATGTCTATATCAGCATGTTCAAGTTTTTTTGATTGCAATTTCGTTACCTGTGATGTCACATAAGTAGTCTCTAGTCTGATGATCTGCAAGGCACCAAGAAAAGAATACCTACCACCCTCCAGCACTATTACGCTCTCTTGGCCATTACCACCGCCAACGGCCATTCAATGTCTACTTCATCATGTCCTTCCACCACTCTCCCATCCTCCTGTTCGACACGATCCTTAAGGTCTTTCCAGAACCGCACTGCAACATCTCCATGCGGATTCTCCCCATCCGTGGGGTTGTGCTGACGGAACGTGTGCAATGCACTCCACGTATTAAAATATGATAGCAAGTCGTCCCATGTCATCTTCTTGCGCATGATCACAGAGCGTGGGGAGGGGAGAGATGGATAGTAGTCGCCTGCTATGTATCAGTGCGGTGTCGAGTAAAAATAAGTCTAAGACAGACCTGTGAAGAAGACTCTCTCGAAATTACTGAACGCGCCAGGTACAACTTCATTGCCATCTGGCACCTCGATCAAGTGGCTATCTAAAATCGAGCGACCAGGTTGCTCCCAGTATGGGCCAATGCTGTTCAGTGGGTCCGTGCCTTCGACATAAGCGTTGATTCTTTGTGTGAGTGACGGATAGCGGGCGAAACGGAGTTGGGAGTAACCCTAAGTAAAGCAAATGTTGAGAGTTACTGAACAAGTAATGGCTCGTAGATGGGAATACATACCCAGAATACAACACTTCCATTCTTCTTCAGCACCCTTGCGAGCTCAGGCCACATTTTATTCCAATCGAACCAATGGCACGCCTGGGCTGAAACCACGCAGGCATCATGAATAAAGGGTAGTTTCTACTTCTAACACACGCACCAGAAATGACTAGATCCACACTGCTATCCTCCAAGAATGTTAGACTCTCTGCGCTCGCCTGTGTGTACTCATATTGACCGGTATTCGCTGGCGTGTTCTTGAGGGTACTTTGAGCGATTTCGATCATCTTAGAACTTGGGTCGACGCCAGTGACGCGCTTGAAGGGTGTAAGCTCGACCGTTGCTTGACCTGAAATCCAGAATGATCAATAGTAGGTCAAGAGTCCAAGCCCTCCAATTGAGCACAGCTTGAACTGACCCGTCCCACAACCAAGGTCGACTGCTCTATCCCATCTTGCACCCTTATTGAGCTCGTGGTATCGGAATATGAAGTCAAACAGGGACCTAGGGTAGGTCGGTCTGAAAGTCGCATAGATGGCGCTGTCAAAGGAGGATTTAGCGAAAGTTGCCATCGCAGAGGTAACAAGTGTCCACGTAGTCAACGATAACTATTCTTGAAGAACAGAGAACATAAATACCCCAAAGAGCGTCTGATTGGTATTGAGATGATGGTGAATGTAAATATGGCCGTCGGTGCTATCGGAAGTACTTGTGCACGTATGGACACCTTTGAGATAGAACTTGGAAGGGACGACTATCAAGAAGCTAAGACCTCATCGGGCAGTCGGGGCTTCGCATTGTCCGGATCATGCAATGTGAAGTGGTAGTTTTGAGGTGGTAATTTGCACGAGAGAGATCATGAATAACTAGTGGAGATTCGAAATAGTTTTATAAGCGTCTTCCCAGAACCTGCGTTCTGAGCATGTTCCTTGCTCCTATACCTGCCACTATTTTTTTACATAGGGCACTGCACCGAAATGAAAGTATTAGAACTAGCTTTGCACTTCCAACAAGGAATATCCGCATTTTAGCATCCAGCTCAAGCCTACCAATAGTGAGAGGAACTCGTGGATTGTAGGTCAATTATGGTGGTAAGTACTAAGGACAGGGAAGTCATCGTCCTGGGCGGGGGTGGATAAGCTCATACGGACATATACCGCGCCATCCTGTGCGAGTAAACTCGTTAATCCACCACTGACGCCATGAGCGACTCACTTGGAATCTTTATTCTTTCCATTCTTCGCCAGCCGTTCCTCGAGTTTGGCAAACTCGTCCAATGCAATGACCTCCTCTTCATCCAAGATCTGGTTCATCATCAGCTAGAGGCAAATGCTGCAAGGAAGTTTGAACACACCTGCTCTACACCTTCACCTCCGGGATATAATGCATCAACATCCTCTCAATTCCCGACTTCAACGTTACAGTGCTAGACGAGCACCCTCTACAGCTTCCCTTCAGTTTGACTTTCACGAGGCCTTCATCACTAAATCCTCGATATTCTATATCACCACCGTCCTCCATGATCGCTGGACGGACACGAGTTTCAAGCAGCTCTTTGATCATTGCTACCGTCTCAGAGTCCGTGTCAAGAATCTGAGTGTCCTGGGGGCCAGCCGCTTCTTTGTCCTCTTCCGACCGGAAAAGTGGCAAACCAGCAGAAAAGTGCTCCATAAGTATTGAGTAGATTTCCGGCTTGATTACTGCCCATGGGTTTTCGCTGTCCTTCGACACAGTAACGAAATCTGGTCCATAAAATATAGCCTTGACCCCCTCAATGCCCATAAGACGGATAGCAAGTGGAGATTTTAACGCTGATCGTGTGTCAAGAAACTCGGCTGTTCCTTCGCCCATGACACTTACACCAGGTATGAATTTAAGAGAATCGTCGTTTGGCGTGACCTCTGTCTGTATGAACATGGATCGACCTGGACGTATACCAATAGTTCATAAGAACATATCAGACACAAAAATAGATACATACATTGTGAGGATGCTACGCCAAATGATGAGGCAGCTTTTGGGGCGTGGATGCCTGAGGCAGTTGCGAGAGTGGGTCCGCGATGTACTGCTGCGCGTACAGGCGTGGATGAAATTGATCTTGTCCAGGACCGAACTGCAGACTCGATGGTGCGGTTCGAGACAGAGCGTGCGCTGGGCAGGGCTCTGATAGATTTGGAGACAAGCCTAGACATAACGGTCGTAAGTATACTCTAGTAGTATGTGCAAAGTATCAGTGCTCCTTCGCTGCTTATTCACCAGCATGCCGATTCAAAATATGAACAAACATAAATGCAGCCGGTCCATATGTGGTGGTGGCTGTGTTGTCCATACCCTGAGTCTTCAATGCGATGATAGCAAACGAAAGTCGTTATTATCACGACTTCTTTATATTTGCAGCATCATCTTTTTTTGCGGTCCTAGTGTTTTTTGTGATAAATGTCTTCCAGAAGGTGCGACAAACCCCGAAATTGCGCTCAGTCGCCATTCTCGTACTAGGCGATGTGGGACGCAGCCCACGAATGATGTATCATGCAGAAAGTTTTGCGAAGCTGGGATTTGACACCCATCTCATTGGATACAAAGGTGAGAACTTCTGTTATTGGATTTGTTCAGACTGACGCTCGACACGTCAGGCTCTAAGCCGATACTTTCGCTAACCTCCCTCTCGAATATCAGGTTGTCATACTTGTCAGAAGCACCACCACCCGTTACGCGGATTCCTTTTGTTCTAGCCGCTCCGATCAAAATTATGTACCAGATAGTCACCATTCTGTACATGCTAGTCTATGACATACCTCGCCCGCCCGAGTTTATCATGGTGCAGGTATGGATATAACCGTGGCTGCAACCTTCAGCACTCAAATATGTTTTTGCAGAATCCTCCAAGTATTCCCACTCTCGCTTTAGTGTGGTTTATCGGAGGGATAACGGGAAGTAAAGTAATCATTGACTGGCATAACCTCGGGTATAGCATTCTCGCATTGAAGTTGGGAGACAATCATCTGCTCGTCAATATTGCCAAACGGTATGTTCATCATAATTTGTGTCAAGTGTTCTTTACCATCCTCCTTTAGCTTTGAGACCATATTCGGCAGGTCTGCGTACGCTCACCTGTTCGTCACAGATGCTATGCGAAACCATCTGGAGCAGGAATGGGGCTTGATGTTTGTCTGATTGCCTACACTATCTAATTACGATTAATTGCTGGTTCCAGAGGACACAAGTCAGTCTTGCATGATCGTCCACCCAGCCACTTTCACAAGTGTCCGCCTCTAGAAGTCCATGAGGTATAAAGGTGACTCTCATATCCAATAGCATCTGACACTTTTGATATAGTTATTTATACGGCTGGGACGCTCGTTATCGCCATCACTTGCAGATTTTCTCCCCAGTGCTTCACCGCCTTATACGACTCAACTCACTGAAATACATGGATTTCCACCATATTCGGCTTCTTCCGCATCCGCCTTTAGCTCCCCGAGTACGCCCAGTCTTCGACAAGATCGCCCAGCGCTGCTGGTGAGTAGTACGTCATGGACTCCAGACGAAGACTTTGGCATTCTCTTGGAGGCATTGAAACTCTACGAGACTCGTGCTTGTAAAGTAAACCTTACGAAGTGCGAGAACTCGCAATCAAAACGCTGTTCAAACGAACGACAAGTCTTGCCTCACATATGGATGGTTATCACAGGCAAAGGGCCACTCAAAGACCGATACATGGCAGAAGTGGAACTCTTGCAAAAAAACTGGCACTATGTCAGGTGCACGAGTTTATGGCTTGAAGCCGAAGACTATCCCCTCTTGCTGGGTAAGCCGTTCGTGCACGGTCACAGGTTCGCTTACTGATCTTATCTAGGCTCTGCTGACTTAGGCGTCTCATTGCACTCAAGTTCGTCCGCGCTCGATTTACCGATGAAAATCGTTGATATGTTTGGATGCGGACTCCCCGTTTGTGCGCTCGATTTTGCATGGTGAGAACCTGCGTGCCTAGACCTTTGCCATATTGATAGCCGCATTCATAGTCTTCCGGAGCTTGTCAAAGACGGTGTTAATGGCTTAGTTTTTAAGAATGCATCTCAGCTTGCAGAACATCTAGAGGTGGGACTTTTCCTCTCTATGATATCGACGGAGACTGACTACGCACCATAGACCCTCCTCGCTTCTTTTCCTTCGTCACCTGCACTTGATTCCTTACGGACAAATTTGCAGCAGGCATCAGAGGTACCGCTCAATGTCGAGCATCGTGTCCACCATCACACGCACCAAGAAGGTGCTAACTGGGAGTGGGGTTCTTGGTCAGAGAATTGGGACCGTGTTGTGAAACCACTAGTGCTGAGAGACGCAGAACGATTTGGTTGAATTGTGATGCTGGAGTGTCGCATTGGATTTTTTTGATTATAATTGTCATTTGTCTGGACTCCATATAGTTATTTGCAACACCAGTCCTATGCTATCGTACACAAGGCGCGATTCCGGAGTCGATCCCTTCTTCCCCGTGACACGTCATATGTCTTGTTATGCAAGACACGCTGCGCTAAAATTTCCAGCCCTATTCAGCCAAGGGGGTATGTTCCTACTGCGTTAGAACACCGCTTTATGATGAAAACCCTTTTGAAGCGCGTGTTGCCAAAAGTATGCCGACGCCGGGCGCCCGCTTCCAAGTTTCTCCAAGCCAATTCCAAGCAGACACATCGAATTTTCCCACTTGCTTCCCACCAAATGCGTGGATTTGTATGTGTGCGAAAGGACCATCCTCAGTCATTCATAATCCCATCATACAGATGGATATCTTTACCACTGATCCGTGCCTGTCTTCAAATATCAATAATACCTACGAACGTGCATCCATGGATCTCAGGCTCTAGCCCATATGTATAGAGTGGATTAGCACCTCAGTGGCCAAACATTTTTTTCACGATCTCTATCTCGATGTCGCTCTCAAAGGAGGGTAGCTCGAGCGACCATGAAAGTCGGGCTCTAAACGGGGCCCGTATCACACCCATCAGGCGAAGTGGTTCGTAGACTCGCGTCAGACCTGTTTGAATTAATTCCAACTAGAGTTTCCAATAGGTCGTCGAAAATTGTTCATAATCACAGGCATAGCTGGCGCCATTGTAGTCGTGCTTGCTTTGGCTCTTGGTTTGGGGCTCGGATTGGGATTGAAGAAGAAGACGTCGAATATGAGCTATGTCACGACAAACTCTTCATTTCTTCTGGACCCGAGTTTTGTTGTCACGAATGCAACGACAACCAGATACTACGAATTCGTCATATCTGAAGCAGTCGGCTCGCCTGATGGTGCCGAGAGAACTATGTTAGTGGTGAACAGTACGCCATGTTACTCCTTACATGATGATGATCCTACTGATTTCGGAATTTCAGACCAATTCCCTGGTCCTATTATTGAGGTGAACAGCGGTGATGAGCTTGTGGTTAACGTTATCAACCAATTACCCAACGGCACCACTATTCATTGGCATGGTCAACTTCAAAACGGGACCAACTACATGGATGGCACAAGCGGTATCACTCAGTGCCCTATTCCTCCGGGAATGAATTACAGTAAGTTTGCTTCTTGTGGCCGCGTTCTATGAGTCTAACATATTTAGCCTACCGTTTCACGATTAATCCGAACCAGTATGGCACGTTCTGGTACCATGCTCATGCATCCACACAGTAAAGCATCTGCAGCACATGGAAGTTTATTCTTGAGACTGACCCAAATAAAACAAGGTACACTGACGGCATCTACGGACCATTTATAATTCACTCTCCCAACGAGCCTATTTTTGGCCAATATGACCGCGAGGCACTTGTCATACTTTCGGGTTCGTCACTTCTTATTAGTATTTTGTTTTTGTCCGTATCCTCAGGGAAACTCTTTTTATTTAGATTGGTATGATGTGATGTCTTCCGGATTGCTCACTCAGTACTTGAGCTCCGCTGGGATCGACGGCTCTAACTATGGTGGAATCAATCCTGGGGCAGAACCTCCTCCGGATAGCGGTCTCATCAACGGCAAAATGACCGGTTCCTCATTTGATCTTGAACCAAATTTACGCTATCGACTTCGTATTATCAATATGGGCACACTGACAGAGTTCATGTTTAGCGTCGACTCGCATGTGCTGAGTGTTGTTGAAGCAGATGGAACATCTCTTGTACCTGTGGATGTGCACCGTGTCCCTATCCATGTCGCGCAGCGCTACTCTGTTATCTTGACAACAAATCAGACGGCAGGATCGTACAATGTACGTGGAGAGATGCAGAGCTCTTGCTACAAACTCAGTAATCCAAACCTCAACACGATGGTGCTGGCTACGATGACATACGGTGCCTCGCCAACGACACCCAACACCCAGGATTGGTCGGACGCAATCCCCGCCCTTTGTCTCGACCTTAATAGTACAATGATCGTACCCCAAATTGCCATGGACCCACCCAACAGCACGGAGAGTGTTCAAGTCTTCATGTCTTTTGAGCAAACAGTTCAATCTGGTGGAACGCAAACGCTGGCATTCATAAACAGCACGAGTTGGCTAAGTGATACCACAAATCCTACTTTGCTGCAGATGTCAAAAGCCGGGATTCAGACTGCCTTCGACTCAAATCAACTTGTCGTTGTCAACGACAATATCACTGTTTTCGACTTAATTGTGAATAATTATGATGATAGTAGCCACCCGTATGTGTCATTGATTTTACATCAGCCCTAGTCTCTTTTAACTAACACCCTGTGTAGATTCCATCTTCATGGGCACATATTCTGGATTATTGGCGAAGGTGATGGCAGTTACATATCTGGGGTGTCACAAGCTCAATACAAATAATCCGCCGAGACGCGACACATTGACTCTTCCCGGCTACGGTTGGGTCGCTATCCGCTTCATCACGGACAACCCGGGGCTCTGGGCGTTCCACTGTCACATTGGCTGGCACATGGCTGCGGGGCTGCTGATGCAGTTTGCGGATCTGCCGAGCAAAGTCCAGGAGTTGCAGATACCATCTTATTTGAGTGACCAATGCACACAGCAAAGTGGGGGTATTGTAGCCAATTAGTGTGCAGTCTCTAGGTGTACTTGTACTTTCTTGGAAGTCATGCTCACTGGATAATTACTATTTAGAGAATGATGTACGTCGAACGGTTGAACGTAAAGACGGTTGAGCTCTAGACTAAAGAGAGAGCTCGTAATACAACAGCTCAAAATGCAGATGAACTAGCAGCCGCTCTCGAGGCCTACAATTCCAATACCTCCTTGACACTCTTCCACTGGTGTCCAGGCCAGGCTGCATTACCGCTATTAGCATTCTCTGGGATGTCCTTGTCGATGTAGTTGTCCCACCCAGAGCTGCTCTGCCCAAACCGTTACTGCACTCAAATATTTTTCTAAACACAACTATACAGAGGGCTTCGGCCAATGTACTTACCCGTTTCTTTCCATCCCAAACGTTAGTAGTATAAAAACCGTGTTTCAGGGGATTTTCCGAATTTAGACTTTCCTGTCACGTAAGCAACTCTTCGAGCGCCGCTAATTAGTCAACGTCACGTGAAGTATATTTTTCGCGCAAACACTGGCACGCATCTTCTGACCAGCACAACAACAATGGCCCCACTAGGTAAAGCGCTGTCGGCGTCTAGTCACATTGGTCATGCTTCGTCAGTACAAGCTCATTTGCAGTTGTCATCACATCAAAGCGAAAAATCTACAAACGTCCATGCTAAATTTCGAGAACCACAGACATCCGACCTTTTAGTAATAGGAGTCGATGATGACGGCGATGACGAAGACGTCGATGAAGATTATAAACCACCTGAAGATGAAGACGACGATACTGAGACAGACTATTCCATACGCGAAGGCGACTTTGACCTAGGTTATGTAGAAGAAAGGGAAGGCGAGGAAGGCCCAGGCGAAGAAAGTGAAGATGGAGATGAAGCCGAAGACGAAGAAGATGAAAGTGAATGTGAAAGTGGAGATGAGGATGAGGATGAAAACAAAGGTGTCGAAGTTGAAGGCAGCGAAGAAAAGGTTGAAAACAACCATGAAGACAACGCTTCAGTTCGTGCTTCTCTGTGGAACGACATCGAAGCAGCAAACGCCAATTTCGCGAGGTCGTTACCAGTATCTCCTAGACCTGGCTACAGCAATGCGCCTCAAGCTAAGTCAAAAGAGAGGCTACCCCCTAGCTCCTTCAGGGGTACTCCATCCTTACGACCTCCTTGCGCGCCTTCTCAGTCTCAACCTTTCCCCCTGCCATCGTATGAACCTATGACTCCTTTGGACCCGAGCATCGATCTTTCCTCGACATGTGATTGGTCACTGCAAGAAGATTCCATTGAATCATCTCACAGCTTTAAAGAGGATGACCTCCGCCCCGCAAAGCGTTCAAAGTTGGAATTAGCTGCATCTGTACCGCATAAACACGAACAATTCTGGCTCCTTGATGGGAACACGGTCGTCGAGGTTGGAGGGGTGCTCTTCAGACTCCACCGTTCTAGGCTCGTTGATCAGTCAACCTTTTTTGCTCGCCTCTTGAATGAACAAGATGTGGTTATGGACGACTGTGTCGTAGTCGAAGGCGACGAACATGGTATTGTTTACCACCTGTCGAACGTCACATCGACAGACTTCGAGGCATTGCTACAGCTCGATAGGAACCCAATGGAAGGATAGCGTCTCTCCATTTTGGTTTCATATTCACTGCAAATCACAGGGTTTATCATTTCGTCCCCCCTACATTCCGGGTCTTGGCTGCTATCCTTCGCGCAGCAACCGAATTACGTTTTAACGCGTATCGAGCTTTCGCTGTGAAAATTTTAGAGAATGCTTGGTCTTCATCTCTCGCGGATCTCACAACGGAAACTAAATCTAACGCAGTGGAAGTCGTGATTCTCGCGTCTGCTTGTGGCATCAAAAGCGTCTTAAAGAGGGCTTTCTATGAAATGGTTCGGGTAACAGGCTATGGTCTTGGTGACGGCGAGTTGGACTCGGACGGCGACGATGGAGAAGTGTCACGGGAAATCACCCGCGCAGATGAAAGACGTTTGGAACGCATGAGAGAGCGTCTCATCTCGACTTGGTCGCAGGTTGCAGTGCGCATGGATCGTTCCTTCAAATGCCCAAACCAGTCAAAGGAGACGCCCGGGATCTCCATGTCGCCCTCTACTTCACGTCTCCCTGGATGTCCATCTCTGTGTTGGAAGCAAGACGCTTGGGAGAGGCGCGTGCACGACTCTGGGCTGTACGAGGAGTATCAGTTTGACCCTTTGTGTGGACTTCAAGCCCTGATTGACATCAAATGGGACACAGAAGAAGGCTGGTGCTCAGACTGTGTGCGAGCGAAACGAGAGGCCTGGACGAGAATGCGAAAGAAAACTTGGGAGCTCATCGACGTGTGGATGGATCTTGATAACTGATTGAGGTTTGGCATTTGGACCTCTGATGCTAACTGGCATGTATCTTGTACAACGACATCTCTATTCTTGTACACATGAGAAATAAAATGGAAGAATAAAATAAGAATCGAGTGAGGCTATCAATGTCCTTGCCCGACGCACTCTGCCACACACCAAAAAATATAATGTGGGATAAATTTAAACTCGACCGCAACAACTACATAGCTATATCAGCTAGAACAGCATTGCCGCGGCTGCGACAGCAGCAATTGCAGCAAGCATGCCGCCTGCATTGCTCGTCAGACCAGCAGCAGAGCTGGTGGTTGCAGCTGTAGTTATATTGATTGGTGCGGGAGCAGTAGCCGAGTTCAGCGACATGTTGACGTTAGCAGCAACAAAGGTCGGTCCACTACCACCACCAGTGCCGTTCGTGGGTGCCAAATAGGGGACGTAGTAGTCAGGGTTCAACGCTCCTGGGATGGGTCCCAGTGATGTTGAGCTCGGGAAGAACAGAGGAAGCCGTGAGGTTGTTGTTCTTATATAATGTGGTCGAAGCAACGAAGTCGAAAACATCTGGATGACAGGATCAGAATGAAGTGCAAAATGCGCAGAGGGTACGCACTAGACACCGTCTTGTTAGTGTCTTGACGACCGAGGGTTACCGAGATCCCAGTTATTCTGGACAGTTGTAAGTCTGTTTGTGGATCAGTCAGTCAGGTGCCTACGTTAAATTTTGATACTAACGTTGAGTAATGTGTGTAGAACGTTGAATCAGTGGTATTCTTCTGGCCGTCAGGGAGAACTCCACCCAGGAGGAGACTGAATACATTGTTACCAATGGTATACGTCTCATTTCTTTGCAAACAAGGACTTTAGATTCAACGAACATAATACAATGGGAAGAAACGCACTCGTCGAAGGTGAGCAAGATAAGCGTCCTGTCGTTATTGAACCTCGAGTCTTGGAGCAAGGGCAAGAGCCAATAGGTAAGCCAGGACGCGGCATATGCAACATTAGTATCGTGAGCGTCGCTGTATGAATTTATTAAGATAATCCAAAAGGAGTGATTTGAAGATGGACATACTCGCGAAGGTTTGGAGTAATAAAAATCCACTGAGAAAGCGAATTGTTTCCAAGCTATTCCAGGGTGAATATATCAATGTTTGAGATCACAGGTTAAACGAGCGCATACATCGACGGCAAAGTCGTTGAAGTTCCTGATGCGTGCCGATCTGGTGCTGATATTCGCTACGGATTCGTAGATGACCAATGGGTTGTGCTTGCGCACGTAGTAAGTATAATTGTCCGAATTTGTGAAGTTGTATCCTTCAAAGCCATCCGTGGGCATGTTTTCCTGATAAGTAGCCCAGCTAATGTTCTTCTGATCGAGCAAGTCCACGATAGTGGACATGTTGGTAGGAATGTACTCCAATGCGTCAGCAGCCAAACCGAAGAAGTCACCACCAACTGAGGCGAGGTAGTTTGGTTCACTTGGGTGGGTTACGCCGTAGTACCCGGTCAAGGTAATGCCCTGCTGAGCGAGGGACTTGAAGACTGGATTAGAGGCTGCAGTGGCGAAGTCGGTGTTCTCCAACCAGATCTGAATGAAACGGTCAAAGACCTTTCCGTTCACGACGGGCGTATTGGTGATGGTGGAGTTTGCAGCACCGACATAGAATGGTGATTCAGAAGTCGGTCTATATGACTGAGGTCAGAAGTGTCTCATAAACAAGGCTTACAAGTCTTACGCAGGAGCTGGTGCCGTGAAGGTCGATGCGATTGCTGCTGATGCAGTCCTGGCAAGAACAGCAAGGGCGACGATTGATGGGACAATCATGCTTGGAACTTGTCACGTAGTGGATGGACCGGAGGGCGGGTTCAGCATTGTGTGCGCACCAGGATACTTATAGGCTTTCAAATTTTGTGAAGTGATCATGATGTGCATGTGAATGTTTTGATATTTGTTGCGTGGGAGCCTATCTTTTCCGACTCTGAGTCAAAAGCGCTCGTCATGTGCCCATGAACGCACCACGGCGTAATTCCCCGACTAGTTAAAGAACGTTCGAGGCTATAGATCCCAGACAATTGTCAATAATACTCTTTTCACGGTTGTAATCGTACCTCAATGAAACTGCAATCGTGGTTCAGGACACTATAGCAGCATTGTGGCTTGGTTATACCAAAGGACCAAGGTCATAGTCAGAAACGAACGTGGTCTTAAAGGCCGCCGTATCACCGGCACCAATGATGAACAGCTACGACACCCCGGTCATGTGGTCCGATTGCACGTTCCTACGTCAATGTTGCCAGGCCTGTGCACTGTGGGTAATAGTGTGTCAAATTTGAATATAAGTGTATCATTTCCCTCACTGCTTACAATGTCGCGTTCAGTTTCGTTTAATCTTCCACACAGCGGAGATGCGCCATATGCTTCGCCTTATCTTGTGCTTGGGGTCTATTCAAAAGCTATGATGACAGTGTAATTGCGAGGCACTGCATCCGAAGCTGTCTATCAATACCCTGCAGTCATCAGGAAAATCCTCCCGTGCTAACTCATTTCGACGGACATGTATCGTTACAGATACAATGGCATGAGTCGATATCGCGAGGTAGTCCGCAGTATGGTCTGGTGCATCTGGAGGAGCGTTTTAGCACGTGGAAGCTACGATTGTAAGTATATTTATGAGCATCGGAGAGAAAGGAATGATCGCGGAGCGCAACTGTAGCTCAGGCACGCATATGATGGGGTGAACATCAAACGTTCATTAGGAGCCTATCTAAAAATATAAAGTCGTCGAGAATGTCCCTGGCGTGAGGGAGAGAAATCCAAGTCACGCCTGCGTGTTTTGGGTGCGGACAGATTAGAGCACAGGCAGCACGTGCTACAGGAAAGAATCCTAGTGTACAGGCTACACAGGGAAGATCCCTACTACCAGCCCAGAACCAATGTCCGAGGGTGAACCGTGAGGAGGCCACAGAGACCACTCAAAACCACGACAGGACGAACGACACGTCAAGAGCCGAACGGGCAACAAAACGGAGGACGAAGAGAGCTCGCAGAATCGACGCAAATGAAAGACAGCGCACTGCACGCTGAGTAATAGGAAGAAGGAGGTCGCCGTCGAAGACGCGACCAAGCTGAGACGTCGACTCGGCCCGAGACCGTGAACGCTGGTCTCGATTTCTGCCTCCGCTTGAAAGTCATAATTTGACGAACGACCTGACTTCATGCATAAACTTTACATAATCTTGACTGGCAATTTTTACATCTTGTGCTTTTTGATCCTCACTCTCCGACTTCAAGAAACACAAACGCAGATCGGTGCCTTCTTCACAGCCAATTTGCGCATTCGATATGATGCGTAGTACGTACGAGGGTACGTTCTGTTTCAACAATTACGAAGGTAAGGAGACAATATACAGGTACCCTCTTTGGCAACCGGAACGTTCTTCAGTCATACTGTGCCTCAACTTCTCATAAAACTAGGGTTCGCAACCAGTGTATGATATCACGGGACGAAGGTAGGCCTCCGAAGACATCTTAGGCGATGCACGACGACGTCGGAAATATGCATGTGCCAAGGATGCAAGCACAGTAGTCTCATGGCAATCTCGGACTCGGATGGAGTATCACTGGCTCCGGGTCCAACTGGATCTTTCCGTGACGCCAAGTATCGAGAATAAGTAAGTTCTTCCTTTTCATCAGAACGCGAGTGTCGCACAACGGATTCTTAGTACATTCCTCCATGATAAATGAACAAATATATGTCAATTAACGCCATGATTCTGGTGCACTACGAGCGGGAGTAGGTGGGGTGGTACTACAGTGCAGAGAAAAAACGCAGTCGAAAACAGAACAAAGCTCGAAAGCAATATTTTACTGAAATAGGCGCAGCTGGTCCTTCTCGCACAACACTAGGCATTTAGTGTGAATGTGATTTTGAACGAGACCTTTGGAACATTGTGGTTGGTTGCGCCCCTGTCCTATGTAGTGAGAAACACGGTAAAATATACGCCTTGCGTAAGAGATGTGTGTCGAGGATCAACGATCTGGTGATGGCGAGCGCGTTCGAGGAGGAGTTGGCCGAGAATATGGATGTATGATTTGAGTGGCCAGGCAATAAAATAATGATCCAAATTGTGAATGACAGAATGCGACTCATAATCACCAATGAGGCCTAGGTTTGGGTGCTTCCTCTGCGCGGCCTATGATACACGTCGTTAATTATGTCTCATTGAGTACTGTTTTCATCAAACGTTCTTAGTTGTCTGCACAACACCACCCACACCCATCACATAGAAGCAAGCTGCACATGTGGCGTCCCCCGGACTAGTTGACGTCCCGAATTGCCAGGCCAAACGCGCATGTCACTTCATCCCTGTTCAATGTTCAATTCCTTCTTCTCCTTCGATCTCTATCCCATGTGACGTAGATAAATGCTTTGGAAAGAAAGAGACGGAGGCCAGTCCCTGGGCCAATCCGAACAAACGCTGCTGCAGGAAGCTCACACCCTTCCAATAGCACTGTCACGCAGCAATCCAGTAGCGCTTTGCATGCCGCTGTCTCTACGATGCCTCCCGTTGTCGCTAACACAACTTTGAGCGCTACTTCAAGTTACGTAACGATAAAATACCCTCTGCGCTGGGCTCGATTCTGGCTTTTTATCTGTCGTGCCTCTCCTGAAAATATCAATGGTCATCCTTGATCTACCACTTCTTTACAACGGCATCCTGTCACTTAATACCCTATCATACATACGCAACGTCTTTTGTTGCATACTTTATGCAAGTACCGGGCATTAATGCTCAGGTAAAGCTCAGGTGCAGCACGCACACCGGAGTCGTGCGAATTGCTTCTGCGAAACCAATCGTTGCACAGTATGGTAGATAAATGTCCCTCTCAGGTAACAAACAGATACATTTCGTGCTTGTTTAGAGCGGTAAAAATGGAAGACACGGCATGCACACACCATCAAGCTGAGCTACACACTAGTAATGGTACACCTCTTGTTGAGTAACCCAGCGCATCCAAACGCATGACGCGGCGAGCATGGTGGACGCATTCACGTCAGCAAGTGTGAGACCCAGCTACAGCTACTTTCCTATCGAGACTGGATTTCATTTTGTTCCCCTTACCGCTTCTGTGTGCGTGAAATATACTAAAATGGCCGGCTCTGCCTGACATGATTGTAGGAGTAAGACAAGGGTCTTATGTATTTGTCCATCGGTGGGGGAGGAGAATCGGTCGGATCATCCTGACATCGAGCCAATCATTCGGAAAGAAAAGAAAGCTCCTGGTCAGTGCTAGCAATGTAGGACGTATTGCGCTGCTCAAGAACCAAGGCTGTACTCCGAGTCGGGGTCTAGGCGGGTCAACGCACCCACATCTGCATGGTGTTCTGTATTTTTAGACATACCAATACGATAATGCGTGTGTGGCCAGTGCTGAAGCAGGGAATTGGCCGTTTCGAACACCAGATGCAAGTCCCTCACACTGTAAACATTGATTTGTTCCGAGCCGAAAGATCAGGTTCCTCAGCTAGCTATCTGCAAGCAAACCATCAACATCACAAACAACCCCAGGAGGTCACCCTGATTTTCTGACGGGGAAATCATTGTAACGATATCTGCACAGAATTGATTTGCGATACCCTATGCATGTACCATGGCCTCGAGTTTAAGAACATCATCCGTGTTCCCGATTATCCTACTTGCACAGATCCAAATGAACATCGTCAAAGATGACCTCGAGGCCGCATTTCCGGCCCTTTCATTCGGCACGTCATATATGATGACCGAGAATAGCAAGAATCAATCTCGAGCGTTATTTTCACTCGAACGGAAGGCGAATTCGAGGTTGCATTGAAGGAGGATATAGTCGATATGCAAGTGCATAGTTTGAAGGATGGGCGATATTGGAGGGAGAGACTCCTGTCGATAGTCTTGTGGTGGACCAGGGCTTGCCTTACAATACACCTAGAAAGTGTGCTGGAAGGGAGTGGGTACGAGCGGCGTTTGTAGTGTCGCACAGCTGCGAATGTCTTTCCCTGGCTTGGTATTTCTAGACGTCGTATGTTCTCGTTGACACGCTAACGTGTTTGTGGTGAGGAAATTTATAAAGTTATGTGAGGACCAATTCGAGCACGGGCGCAATGCGAAAGTATGTTAAGATTGCACGGCCTGAGAAGTACGATGCGAATGGAACTTACGGAATGTATCTCACCAGCCTTGCGAAGCTATCACTCGACAGCATACATGCTGGGCAGTGCTGACTGGTTCCATCCGAGTCGTCTTGCCAACAATGCGAAGTCGAATTGTGTGTATTTCCTCGCCAAGCCAGTCTCGAGTGTGTTCAGGAGAAACATTAAACGCGATATAACCCAGTAGGGTGGATTGAGCAAATACCTGTGATTCCCCTTTTCATAGAAACCTGCATCATAGTCCACAATAGGCTGTGGCCAATAATGCAAAGGTCGGATGTAGCTGGAGAATAGCGTGGTTATCGCCTACTTTCATGAATGATGCCCCTGGAGTACTGATGTCACGAGTGCCAAAGTAAGCCTTCCGCTTATGTCCAGTTTGGCAGGGCTAGCGGCTGCGCACGACATCTTGGAAGGGAATCGAAAAAAAAACTTGGTCAACTTTAGGTTGGAAGGGAGCCTTGAACCTGGTAGTAGTCACTGGATGGGTTGATACGAATAGCCGATATTGACCGTACAGGAGCATGGTGTGAATTCTAAGCGCCGTAATGTCACATGAACAGTTCTGCCGTAGTGGCGTTGACGCAGTCGTATCACGAGTTGTCAGAGACTCTAGGCGATGCCGAACGTATGCATAACCGATTTGCGAAGAAATATGTTGGATGAAGTGAACCACAGCCGAGCCAACCGATCCGGAGCTTCCAGGGGACCATCACAGTACCAAGCTTACGTAAGGGGTTAACCATGATTCTAATTTTATCATGAGTACATATATCTTCACACTGTTTCTGGCACTCACCGACTTACGGTGTTCCACTCTCAGCTGTATAGAAGACATTGGTCACTATGGTGAATAATACCCTATCATAATTTTCGAAAGCCTTTCGACCGACTCATAACGCTTTTGTTCAGGTTCACGTCAATGACAAGAAGTTTGCCTGGTACGGGCCACATCTCTTTGATTTTTATATTTGTGCTGGTATTGACTTTGACATCACAGCCAGTCTTGCATCAAAGGACATCGATCCTCTTCTTGTTATCACTCTGAACGTCCGCTATTTGAAGTGAAGAAGAAAGGTCGCCCGGTATCCCAGTGTAGAACATGCCGCGAACTGCGAAACTCAAAGCGAGTCCACTCAAAGTGCACCTGTAAACCTAGGGAGATGATCGACAAAATTCCTATACCAGCAGCTCGTCCGGACAGGAAACGTATGTCACACATATCGACGTACTAATACTATCATTTCTGAACGAGAGTCTCGCAGCGAAACGCTTCATGCAGACGGTGCCTACACTGCCAAATGGAATATCAGATGCCTTGTCAACCTCGTCTTCCTCGCAGCTTGCGAATACAAGACAGACAGGTAATGATAAACATTTACTCACTCATTCGCACACGTTGACTTGCAGGGCTCTAGTTGATTCACTGCTGAACCCTTGCCATTGTAAGAATGTTTGGCAGTGCATGGGCCGCTGCCGATCCATGCCTCTTAGTGGTTCCCCACCACCTGCAACTGAATCATCTCCAAACGGTCTAGCCATCCTCGCCAAAGCAGCCTCACTTATCCGTGAGGATATCGTATCATGTCCAACGACCCAACGCTCCGAAAAATCCTCTGTATCTTTGAAGTCGTGCTGTACCATAGACGCCCAAACAGGAGTCGTTCCATCAGTCCGTTCTGATCTCCCCCCTATCCATATTTACACTCTTACGTCAACGCCACCTTCGTCTTCGATGACAGTACCAGAGTTTCCCACAATCCCTCCATTCAGCGCTGTCAACTCAATAGCTGGGTCCGGGTGCACCTGCGGACTTCGGTGTGCTTGTCCAGGCTGCGTGGAGCATCGCGGGCCTGTTCATGCCTTGAAGGAGCACAAAGATTGTGCTGAAGGGTGCATTAACTGCATCGACCACTCAGCAGGCATTGATCTTTCAACTCTAGGGCAAGGTGCTACTGGAAGCAGCATGATCGACCAATTTTTCGCGCGGGCCGCGTCCCTACCCATTCCTCCAGTGAATCGTAAAGTTGGGGTTGAGATTGATCCAACGAACATTACAATATATCCTACCGACCTTTTCGCAAAGTCAAATAAAGAATACGAGGAGCGAGGAGCAGCATTCGGACTAGTGACCGTGCCAAAGCTTGAGTGTTGTGGGGGACGGTGTGATTGTCCATCTGACGGCTGTGGATGCGGACAATCTTGTGATGGTTGTCTTGAAGGCCAACGTGTTCCAAACCGGTCAGAGCCTGTTAGCTAACGGGAATTTTTATGTGTTGAATTTTGGATGTATCGTAGTCAGGCTTATACTTCAAGTTTTAATCTCATGGTTAATGATTTTTTTAATTCAAATTTTCTGTCCCATGGAGAGTTATACTCCGGAGGACTGTTCTATCTAGTCCAGGGGACTTCCAGCGTCCCCAGCGCATCTCTGGGCTCGCAGATGGCTTGGTATGAGGCATGCCTCCACCAGTCCGCCATTCCCGCTGGCCGTTTTAGACGCGCAGCCCAACGAAGATGAGATAAATTTAATATACTGGAGCGGTGTACATAGCTAACAGGATAATGAACAGAGACATGTACTCCCCCGTTACTCTGGTCAGGTGCAGGACGCCTAATAATGCTTGATTCCTTCATGCCCGGGCCATGACTTTGGATAACACACAAGCTTTTACTGTTAACGTCCCTGTCAAAATGATTGCAAGCTACGACGTATGGTAGGATGCTATCGGCACTTGGAAGCCATATGTTTGCCCATTATTTTTGTTTTCGTTGAGTACTTGATTATTGATTTGGAAGGGGACAAACAATGCAACGAAAAATCATACCACACTCGGAGCCGTTCTCGATTATGATGGGGGCTGACGGGCGGGTCGAAAATAAAGGTGAGTATTCATACTCAGTTCTTGGTGACTGTCTGTCCCAAGTTGCTAATACCTTCCCCCCTTCTAGTACCTTCTCTGCTTCTGATACCCTCTACTTCTCAGGCTGCCATCATCGTTAACACTGAACACCGTCGTACGACTCGTGAACTGATAACGACCATTCTCTTACCCCGTCAACAAGGCTCATACCACCACGAAACTAGGAGAAGGTTATTATCACCCCGGGCTGGGCAGGTGCATTGTCCATTTCAACCGGTGGTGAAAGGGTGACGGATAAATGATGGATAATGGCGATCGGTACCTTGTAAATTTGATACTCAATCCAAGCGGTGGTGATCAAGCTGGTCCTCAACTCCCTCATAGCGGATCCCTTCAGGAAATGACATGGCAACGTTCCAATTTGCACTTCTGCAAGCTGAACCATGGTCAAACAGCGCACCAAGTCCAAAAGTCTCAGGTATCGATATTCCAATTACATTGAGCTGCTGCCATTCGACGGCCCTTTGAACCTAGACCAAATGCTTTCCCCCTGCCCTGTGAGCTTCCCTGCTTTGAAGAAAATTGCGGAAAAGCGGAACGGATCCGTAGTGTATTTTTGCGGTCTATCGCATGTATTATCCTATATCGATACGTCTGGTAGTAGACTGACAGCCATGGAAAAAAAAAAGGTACTGTGATTGCATCGCGACAAGATTTCAGTCCGACCTCAGACACTAGTAGTACCATGCATTACTAGTCCGGGACCTTCTGGAATTTGAACCAGCGAACCTGGGCCACACGGCGTCTGCCAAATTCTGCATTACCTCCTCGCCTCCGATCCCTCCATCCGGTCAGGAGTGCGCGCCAGGCGGTCGGGTTTCTTCTAATTCCCAGTAAATTTATAACTCCCCTGGTCTGATAGGCCTGGGTTTTTTGAATTCGGTGTTTCCATGCACCCCACTGCCCAGCGCACCCCGAGTCGATGGCTCGCTCACCTGTATTCGCAGGCCCTCGTGCTAAGTTGCTAACCAAAGTTGACGCACTCTCGTTATGCCATTCATACTCCTGTCTGTTTACTGCCGCAATTAAAGTTCTTGGGGAGGGGGATCGGTATAAATTTCTTCTTAGATCAGAACTTACTGATGGTTGTCCGGCTCAGTGCCTTATGGTCGTGATACCCTAGTGCTCAATACCCACGACAGACCTCACGGCGGTCCAAATCCAGGTGTAGAACCTCGTTTTCGGAAAACACACTTGCAACGATATCAAGTAGTAAGCTCCACCCTGCTCCACAAGGGAACAAACAAGGCAGGTGTCGCAAAACGGAGAAGAGTGGAGCTCGCTTGCGTCACATCAGTACTTCAGCTTAAAAGTGAAGTTTTATTGGGAATTCTCGACACTTGCACACAAACTATGTAGCTACGTCTAAACACAACAGTTCGTTAACTAGGGGATTACACGGAAGACTGGTGGGGCATGGATACAAGAGGTGGATATTTAGATGGATATTAGCGTTGCACGATGGTGAGTGATGTACATCTATGGGATGGGGTCGCGTTAATTTATGACTACAAAAAGACAAAGGAAACAGAGACAGGACGTCTCCTCGAGGGATCGCATGATGGGTAGCGTTGTTGTGAGTGAGATTTTTCCCTCGTTCGTGTCCTTTCCGCATCATAGAGATTTGGTGCAAGTTCAAGCTAGCCTGCTAGCCGGGTGTAGGTAACATTGGAGGAGATAGACATCATGGACATGGGATTGCAGGAGCACAATGGTAGTGGGTTGCGGGAGTGGGAGCAAATAGGAAACAATCATAGACCGCATCAAATCGTGAAACTGAAAAAGCCGTCCATGAAGAGATCACGGGTAAACCAGCATGCGGACTTACTTCTAGTGGCTCTCGGCAAGCAAAAGTTGCTGGATCGCTACTTCGCGGCGGTGCTCCACTCCGGTGTCATGGGTCCCATATCTGTGTTCCCACTTTCGACTTTCGACACTCCACCAGTTCCACTTGGCAAGACTTGTGGGGCGCCGGTGGCTAACTCGAAAACGGGAAGAATTCTTTCGTCGCTAAGTGTCCTGCGTTTGATACTGGGGCGTTTCGCAAAAGATTTGTCTTCCCTAAGTAGTTCGGTGGGGCTGGGACCGCGTTTCCACTTTGACGGCGACGACGTATGGTGCACTTGACTGCTGCTAGCTGAGCTTTGCATGCCCGCAGGGAACGAGCGCGTCCGATCCTGGGAACATTGAATGCGTCCTACGCTAGGGATCTCGACGTTACCGGAATTCTTGGAGGGCGTCTTGCGGATATCATTATCACCCCTCCCCCCACTGATAATTGACACTCACCGATGCAGGACTCCCCTCGCTTTCAGTAAATTCCCCCCACAACACTCTCTCCTCATCCATGATCATAAGGGCACCCTCGATAACCGCTGCGTGCACGAATACATATTGTCGCAAGCTCTGGCAAAGACTCATCCTCTGCTCGCGCATGTCTTGCACGACCGTCCAGATGGGGTTGGTATGGGACATCAATGGTGCAGGTGACAGATCCTGATGCAGCTGTCGTGGAAGCTTATAGTCGATCACAGTGTGACCCGCCGTACGTTGGTCCAACTCAGATGATGCCTGCTCGGCGTCAGGAATCTTCTCCTCGACGAACTGAGGCACGGGTGGCATTGTCGACGGCGCAGCAGCAACTTGTGCTACAGGGGGCTGGGTCTTGTTGATGGGCTTATGTTCCTTAGGCGTATTGGCGGACTTGATTATCATTTCTTGGCCTGGTGCAGCGCTATCCGCAGAGGTTGTTTCAGTCGCTTTCAACCTGCTCTCCGCCTTCCTCGACAACACCACGTCTTCCGACTCATCTGACGATAAAAGGCTACTTTTACCACTGGCAGCTTCCACATCCGCGTTCCCGCCGCTTTCAAAACTTCTTGGGGGGCTCAACAGCTCATCCGAGCTAGGGGCCGAGCTCGTGCGCGAAACAGGGTCCTCACCCTCGAAAAAAGGGTCACCACCGGTCCCACTTGTCGTGGGAAATGCGGGCGTGGAGAAACTCGCTATAGGAGACGAACCGATGATCTGGCGTACCCGGGGACGCAAATTGAAATTGTTGGCTTGGGAGGCGTTGGATTCGTTCGAAATAACATCACTCTTCGCTGGCTGCAGCGGTGCAGATGAAGAACGCGGAGGCCTATCAACGTCCATGGCATCTTCCTCTTCGGGGCTGATACGTACTGCCGATGGCTGGGCCAGTGACCTTGGAAGTTTTTCGCTCGAAAAATCAGAACTCATGTTCGAAAGCGAGGTCGCTGAGCTATCTCTCAGACGAGCGCGCATGAAGCCCGCTAATCCTGAGTCTCCGCCAGTGCTACTCCAAAATCCAGAGTTGGATGTATTCGTGCCAGAGCCCGAGTTGCAAGCGGAGATCGAGTCGACACCTGAATTTGATGGAGACCCGGAGTGAGAGACAGAAATGGAGACGCATGAGGAGGGTGGGAAGGCCCCACCGCTACCACTTCCCGAGACGCTGCTCCTGCCACTGCTTCCAGAGCCAGAGCCAGACCGTCCGCTTCCGGCCTTAACGTCCACACCAATGCCACTGCCACTATTACTCCCTACGGAATCGTCAGCGGAGTTCAGTGCAGACGGTCCACTACTATTTGACGCGCTCCCGGGCGAGCCTTGGCGACAAGGGGTAGGCAAGCTTAAAGACATCGAGAGGGGCAAAGGTGGAGGCAACCCCGCCTCCTGTTCTTCCTCGCCAGGACGCGTGTGGTCCAACACTTGCTCAGCCCACTCCCTCGTCGATGAGCTCATGTTCTGCCATCTCGTATCTAAACCCGCAGTCTCTTCTGTAAAAGGCACGTGCACCACAAGCGACTCTGAAGAGCTCGTTTCGCCTTCTTTGACTGTACTTTTATGTGGGTGATGACGACGAGATTTCTTGCGGTCGCCCATAACGAGAGGGACAGTCCCGACAATCTTCTCCCCTTTCGGATTCTCTTTCTCTTTCACCTGGTTCATAACCATATCCGTCCCACTTCCACTCTCCAAAACCACACTCTCACTCCCCTGCCTATCAGCGCCAACAACAACGCTCGCACGAGCCTGAGCCCGAGCCCTGGTTTCTCTCCTCTGCATCAACTCCCTCTTAATCGCATCTAATACAGCATCTATAGCAATAAACCCGCCCGTCCTGCCCACACCCGCCGAGCAATGTAACAGCACAGGCGGGGGGGAACCAAGCGCAAACGCAGCAATGCCCGTCTTCGAGTCCAGGTCAGGATGCCGCCATCCCTTGCGTCCGTGCTTTTTCCTAGCATCTCCAAGCGGCGGGGACGAAAAAAAGTCTTCTCCTCGCGATGAGAAGTCAAAGCTCCACCCTGGGGACCCAGAGGATCCTGAGAAGGAGCCGGAATTTGAGTGAGAACCAGTGGGGGATGGACCTGGAGTGCTTTCTTGGACAGCTCGCTCGACGCGCTTCACGAGCTCTAGCACGCCGCGAGGATCGTCAGGTACATTCATGTCGGGCCAATCCAGATATTGCAGATGCGTCACTTTTCTAGGCGGAATGGCTGGGTAACCGCGATGGCTGAGCACAAAGGTCCTCACGACTATACTTGGCTGCTTCGAGCTTTTATCACGCTCGCGCGGGGACATGAAGAATCCAATGTCAGCAGAGCTGTTGGAGGGAACAGAAGGTGAAATGGGCGGAGAGGTGTCGAGGAGCTGTAATTGAAGAGGTCCATAGGATGGCTCTACCCAGTACGTCCCACATTTAACCATCGCATTCTCAATCTCGCGCGTGAGCATGACAATTACATGAACGTTCTGTTCCCAGACAAGACTGATGTCTCATTAGCATTCACGAAGACAGAGAACATTGATAGCAAACAGAACTCACGTCCAAAAATCAATGAATGTCGCAGGTAATGGGCCTTGCGTGGCGATGTAGCGTTTACGTGTGCCCAAGGGCTGCACATACGACGCGTTCACGTAATCATCTACAGGTGAGGGGTCCCGTGGCGTATCTTTCGGGGGAACCACCGTCATGTTGAATTGTGGAAAAATCGTGCTCGTGGCCGAAATCGTTCCTTGGCTGATATATCCACAGGGCAACGTCAAGTTAAACATCTCGCGCTGAGAGGCAGGGGGTGTGTAAGAGGGTATGATCAATGGTGAGACAGTTTTGGGCCCTGCACTCTGAGGTGATCTTGGTAGAGTGCTCAAACTAGGCGGTGACAGAAAACCTCCCGATCGTTGTTGCGCACGCGTGTCCAGCCGAGGCGGGGATAGCTGCGCATCTTCTGGAATCGGAGGGAAGTGCGAAGTCTCTAAATGTGGGACGACTGGGAAGTAGGCGTCACGTCCGCCACCACCACTACTGCGTGGAAATGAATGGAGGGATGTCATAGGTATACCCCCCCGCGTCAGAGTAGATGAGGGAGGGCCGAAGGGTGTCACGGGCATGGAAAGCGGTGTGTGGAAAACGGATTGCGAATAGGACGGTGTCATCAACCCAAAAGATGGAGGTGGCATACCTGACGATGACGAAGTACATGTGAGATTTCTATCGACGCCCATAAGCATATTCCGATCCTCTTCTGGTACATTTGGCGACGGAGTAGCTGAAGGTAAGGCTAATTGGGATTCTGACGAAGATGCAAATGTGACACTCGATTCGGGGCCAGTGGGCCCACCAGCTGGACCGACGGAGGCGACTTTTTTCTTGTCGTCCTTGTCTCGCTTGGGGCTATACCCTGGATATGACCCTCGGTGACGGACATCATGAAGACGAACACGCGCATGCTCGAAGGGCCATATATGGTTGTACCTGAAGAAACGGAATGAGTTTGGGTTGTGGTTTTGATAGGACGCGCGGAAGAAAGACGTCGTGTTAATATGGGTAAGTTTTTAAATACAAGGAAATGCGCGATGACTACAATGACACTCGCAGAACCACCATCGCCATCAAGACAACCCCATCCAAGACCATCGGATCATAAATTAGCAAGAGCTTGACGAAGCGGTTTTGGCACACAAAAGAGCCAAACGGAACGTTAAAGGCATCAAGTGATGACGTGAGTGGAGCCTGTGCCGTGTCACACCGGCCGGTGACACGATAAGGAGCCAAAACGTCGGGAGATATACAACCATGAAGGAACAGAATGACCTCGAAACAAACACGACATAATAAGAACAGAAAGGCTCACCTATTCTTGGCTCCTTTTTCGACGCCTGCCGTAATACTGAATGGAAATGCGCCTTGCACGGGGGTGGAAGGAAGGGTCTTTACGCCTGTTGCAGTGGCAGAACGTGCACCGGCAATACCCTGGCCACCCTCACCCAGGGCATACACGCTGACCTCACTTTCCCGTGCATGATGCTCCATGACGCTTCTCAGACGCCTTTGCTCTGCCAATTCTATGCGGTAGAACTGCATGGCAAGAGTTTCAGCGCCTTCCTCAACGTCAGGGTCATTCGAGTCTGGATCAGAATCATGTGGATCATCAGAGCTTTCGCTGCCGCTTTCTACACTGGTTTCCCCTGGAAATGAAGAAGAGCGGGAGGGACGAAGGGCAGAACGACCAGCGATATCTTGAAGCCAAAGAAATGGGAGGTCTTTGATACGTCGCCGTACACGCCTGGGAAGACGGAGAGGAATACGTTCCGTGATTCCGTGACTGAGTTCCAAGTTCTGGCGAATGGTATCAAAGAAAGGGTTGGCAGCATTTGCGATTGCAGGTGTACCCGAAGCTGCATTTGAAGCTGTCGTCGTTGAAAGCGAAAAGGCAGCTTTTGGGAGATGCTTTGTGCGCAATGCTCCAGAGGAGGGAGTGCCATCTGGATCATCCTCATCCGGACTAGGGTGGTCGGTTGTGGCGCAGTTACGTGCATCCCGCCAAACAGCTTGAAACCCGCCTTTTACCCAGGCGAGTTCACCTGTGTAACCCTCTGCACGAAATTTTCTGAGCAGACCAGCAATATTACTTGTTTCTGGAACGAGGGCAGAATCAGCGTCATATACCAATATGTGATTTGCGGTCGGCCATGCTGCGAATTTTGCGCGAGCAGATGAGGAAGGGAGCATCTGAATGAGTTTGGAGAGACCAAAAAGAGGGCGCTTGATGAGAGTGCTTGGTATGCTAAGGGAGAGGGCTCTGTGAATACGGGCGGCGGTATGAGCTGCATGTGGGCGAATATCGAGGATGAGAGTGGAGGGGTCTGCGAGGTAAGGTGCGAGGTCGGAGGGGTTGAGTGGTGTGAAGGTGGATGACGACGACGATGATGGTACGGGTTTGGAGGAGGGTGGAAGAGTGGGTTTAGGAGGTAAGATGAAATTTTGGGAATGTTGTTGTTGTTGTTCGTCGGGGAGAATACGTGCGGTGAGAAGATCAGCGGATCCGAAGCGTGCTGCGATAGCATGAGCAAATGAAGCGACATTTTCCTGATCTGTTGGGTGTCCTCTTCCCTGTTGACCTGAGAATGGTACGCTTGTGAAGAAATCTTTGTTGCTCATCGCAGACAACAGTGACAAAGGGCACCTGGCCTCAGTGACCGTGAGGAATGTAATTACGTTCTTGCCTTGAATTTTTGAATTTCGGACTCTGATACAAGCTTATCCTTTGTCACGGGGTCTGACGTCATAAGGGCCAGACCGCATTCTAGACCCATGACGCCATCTAAGCCAGTTCTCTCGACATGAACGAAAGAAAGGCTCGAATAATAAAATAGGCCCAGCGCGGGTGTAGGTGACGCGGTGACAACTTTGTTAGCTACGTGGCACAACCGTGTTTATTCATTAATTCCAGGCCTTGACTTTCGACTCTCAACGTTGCCAGTGGCCAGAGCGAAAGTCGGGGGCGGCCCACGTCATTTCCCACCAAAGTACTGTGTTGAAAGTCGTGGAACCGAACTTACTCACTAGCATGACTTGGTAGTAACTACTAACCAAGAGGCACAACGAGCCTGGTCATCACTCAACCCTCTTGCTCACTATACACCGAGTACAAAACTCATGTATTCGAGTACTATCTAAGATTTCCAAGATCTCCGAGAAGCAAGACATTGATTAACTCAACACCAAGCTAGTAGTAATTCTGATATCAACCAATGATAAGCCATCATCTGCACCGATGTTGATCAAAGTAGAAACACGACTCACTATGGTTCACTTTCGCGACATCATGATGGCACTCATTCGACTTACAAACACAAATACACGGGCTACCAAGCCAGTAGGTCATGTGGTTTGAATTCAAGATGCAAAATACTTATACTCACATTTGATGGGCTGCCCTTTGCTTGACAAGACTTCCCAGCGCAGCAATTTCTAATGTAGCACGTTGTAGGGCAATTTCCGGTAGGATCAACATCAAGGTTAGAGTCGATGGGACTGGCGGATGCCATTGATGCCATCAAAGCAGCAACTGCGAGGACAGAGAAAATGTGGATGTGGTATGGGCTCAGTCACTAGGAAGACAACTTTTTATACTTCGTGCTGGATAAAGTTATTCTTCATGGTCCGGGTGACGCGGCAGGAAGAACTTGTCCATTTGCAGTCCCTTTTTTTCAAACATGCAACTAGACGACCCGTTCAGGTCCCGATTGAGTTCGGACATCTCTTTCCTTCAGTGTAGCGGTTCACACGCTCGTGTTTCGAAATATCATCCCACAATCCTTCTTACGCCGTTTCTTTTCTTGAACTGTATGTGAACACATGAAATTGTTTTTTGGGAAAAACGATATGTTTCTGAATCTCCGAGAGCACTCACCATGTCGAGTTCTATCGGTCTGAAGGGAAAATGCACTTAGTACTAGTGTGTTACGGGCAGAACTATTCGAAGCAATTCTGCCAGCTGGCAGAACTTGGCAGAACTATGCCCTGGAGATTGGCGGTGAAAAAAAGGACCCACGCACTTAATTATACAGCCTGACTCCGATGAGATCTTTTTTGGCAGAAAATCCGGGAATTGGCAAGCCTGGAGGGGACGATTGATGGAAAGTACCAAGTAAAATTCACAACCTCACGTCGTGACGGAGTTCCAATACTTGTACGCAACTCTGCTGCATGTACTAGTTGTTCAATTGGGACCGCCAATGAGTCTTGTGCATAAAACTAACACAGCTGGAACTTGAAGAGGGAACTTAGAAAGTTCAATTCGATGTTGTGCTTGAAGCGGAAAATTTCTCGATCTATGGAGGGGTAGCTTGGACGTTGACCGAATCCAGAGTCGGGACTGCGGCGGCCTACGTCCGCCAAGATGCGTCATTTCCCACCAACGTACTTACATTATGTACTGTTGAAAGTCGTGGAACCGAATTTACTCACAACTCAAACTCGCCGACTCTAAGTAGCTAGCGTAACTTGGTTAGTAACTAAATTTTCTTCGAAACCAAGGGGGCACAATGAGGCTGCCCATCGCTCTATTTTCCTCAACCCTCTTGCTCACAGCTAATGCAGCATCTGCAAGCGGAGCGGATTACATTCGTGCTTATGGCGCTCAAGGAGTCAACCTCTGGAGGCTCGCCAACCAAGGAGGAGAAAAGCATACTCATATCAGCCAAAGACCAGTTCTAGTCGTCCAAGATAACAACATCGAAGAACCTAATGAGTTCCCGGACCAATGGTTCACGCAGCCCATAGATCATTTTGCAAACTCATCAGACACGTTCAAACAGCGGTACTGGATCAATACCCGACATTATACCCCAGGTTCTGGTGGTCCAGTAATCGTACTAGATGGCGGTGAGACCAGCGGCGAGGACCGTATTCCCTTCTTAGATACTGGTATCGTCGAGATATTGGCCAGGGCGACAGGAGGAGTCGGAATCGTACTTGAACACCGTTATTATGGTGAGCTCCCGAGGAACTTGATATAATGTCACCCGCATTAGACGTACCCATGCTTGTGCAGGGAAGTCTATACCCGTCTCAGACTTCTCCACTGATAACCTGAGGTGAACTACCTGCATGCACATATCACACGCATGTGAAAATTGACGGAGTCTAGATGGTTGAACAATGATCAAGCTGCGGCTGACTCGGCTCATTTCATGGCGAATGTGCAATTTCCTGGTATCGATGAGGATCTGACAGCTCCGAATACTCCATGGATATACTATGGTGTAAGTCATTATAATTGCTGAATGAGATAGCCTTCCTTACTAGCACTAACAGGGTTCCTATGCCGGCGCTCGAGCAGCTCATATGAAAGTTTTATATCCCGAACTCGTCTATGGCGCAATTGCTTCCAGCGGTAAGTTACAAGAACGATTTACACCATCTGTGAATTGACTTTGCCAACAGGCGTGACGCACGCCACGCTATCGAACTGGGAATATTACGAGATCATTCGAAATGCTGCAGACCCCGCATGCTCAAAGAAACTCGAGCACGCCACCCTAACAATCGATGCCCTCCTAGGTGTTCCTGTTGCAAAGCGCTTTATCAAGTCATTGTTCGGTCTCGAGGGTCTGGCGCATGACGATGACTTCGTTTCCCTTTTGGAGGTACGTCTTTAACACTGTGAATCATCTGCGTGTGTTAACGGTGCAAAAACTAGTCTCCTCTTGGTTATTGGCAAGATAAAGTCTGGGACCCCGCTGTAGGAAGCACTAAATTTGACCAATTCTGCGCTTTCTTGGATAAGCCTATCTTTGGAAATGGTAGTGTTTCGTCGTTACCCGTCGGTCATGAAGACCGCCTCGTTCATCTTCCTGGTGGCATCAAGCTCGACTTCTCGATCCTGAATTACGCTCAATACATCAAAGAGGTAAGGGCCACTGAATATGGCTGTGGGACGTGATTTCTGAGCACCAGTAGAACTATGTCTCACAATGCAAAACGACTGTCGAGGATGTAAGTCTCATCCTCGTATGTCGAATGTTTCCTGATGAAAGACAACAAATAGTGTTTCGGTACCTACAACGATAGCAATTTCCTTGCCACTGGTTTAGACCAGGAATGGCGGTTGTGGCAGTTCCAGGTTTGTACAGAATGGGGTTTCTTCTCGGTGAGTTGTCAAACACGCGCTGGTTCATGAATGCATGCACACCTTCATTCTAGACCGCCCCTCCTGACCCAGCCCATCCACGAATCGTCTCCAAGTTGTTGACGCTGGAATACTCGTCGAAGATTTGCAAACAGGTACGTCGGAGTTGGTCCGCGCAAGCGGCGGGACTCACATAGACTTTGACCAGGCTTACCCGGCTGGGAAGTACTTCGTTGTACCGCCCATGCCCAATATCACTGCTGTGAACGCATTGGGTGATTTCGCGATTGCTGCTGACAGGCTAGCTATCATCGATGGCGAGGGTCAGTTCTCTCTATCGCGGTGTTTACTTGGGCGCAACATGCTAATTCCCGTGTAAAGTTGACCCTTGGAGGCCTTGTACGCCTCACAGCGATGACGCAGCTGACCGTGAAGATACAATCCTCCAACCTTTCAAGCTTATTCCAAGTACGTATTGACTACTGTATGGGTGTGCATCTGACGGCTGTCGATTCAGATGCTGTCCATCATTATGATGAGTACGGATTGAAGAATATCAGCGACGAGCCTGTAGAGATTAGAAAGATTCATGGAGAGATGATTGTTTTCGTCATGGAGTGGTTGAAGGGTTTTAAGGCACCAGGTTCATGATGATTTTGTCGACGGTTATCATTGGAGCATGTGCTTCAAGATATGTGAGCAATCAATTTCATATGGCCTTGGAATTACCTATCGTGGCTGATCGGAATACAATCTGGTTTGCGATTTCAATATGGAGCTCCAGAAGTGTCTTTGGCTCTGATGGACTTTGCGATGGCTATTTCAGACTGACTATTGGGAGCTCAAACGTGAACCCAAATTTGTCATGAGAACATCATCTTTGTAGGTACCACCCCAGTCTGGGCCGAACACGAGGCTCTGGAGTTTCTAGAAGAGTACACCAGTTCAACGTTAGCTAGCTGCGATGTCCCCCTTTGTTGTTTTTTCCATCAGGATCAGGTGACAGATATAGAGACAAAGCAAAGGCTCGTCGCCTACAATTCTAGCCTCACACTTCCGTCCTAAACATCATCGAGGCATCATCGCCAGTTGAAATTCAGCAGTAGAACTCCTCCCCCCCTTCATTGGAGTCGTCCAAAAGCTGGACATTAAACTCTCTAACAAAACACTTGCACAAGCCTAAAAACATGAGAATGTCAGAATCAACCTGACTTCCTACACAGAGCGAGTTCTACAGAAATAATAATTGAGGTAAGTGACATCTGTTCAAGGCCCCTGTTCATTATTGGAGGGAAATCACCAAAGTAGTAAGCGACAAAGCAAACGCACGCAGAACTGACAAAATTCAAATCACGAGCTCACCTTGCGAAATAAAACATGTGCCGCGAAACGGTCCTCTATGATTGATCCTGTCGATGGTTGTTGGCGGAAGTGTTTTACTGCAAGTTGCAGTAAAACACTTCCTCCAACAACCAACACAGTGCGATAACCTTCCACAGAATATACCGAGTATCCAAGTCTTGACGCTCAGAAATTGGTCATTTCCCTGAGAGACAGGTAGTTACCAGAGAACACGAGCTCCTCTAGAATCCGCCCGATGAGCTTCATGCCCTAAAATGGATGTACTGGAACGCTGGCATTTTCAGACTAATACCACCATCCAGTGTGCTTCGCCAATATAGGCGGCTTGAATAATTGTTCCTACTGAAGTGGTGAAAAGAAGTAGAACTTGGAAATTCGAGACACAATAACTTCATGAACACGAGCCTGGCTTGCCATGGCAGCAAGAAGGAACGACTTCCTTTTTGTATATGGTTTGGCTGGGGGTGTCAATTAGACCTATAGAAAAAAGAAGGATGATACTAGTCGTTCCCTCCAGTAAGAGGAAAGCAGCAATGTCATGCGCGGATGTCATTGGCAAGAGCACTATTGATATCATCCATCTAACGCAGACGCTCGTGTCGTGTCTCGATATGGAGCTGAGTCTCTAAGCTCTACTTGGATATTAGGGAGCAAGTCGCTTAAAGTAGCCACGTCACTAACTGTCAGCAAACAGTGACGCAGAAAACTCACCTTTCTAGCTACCGACATCTTCCAAAAAAAACAATGCAGACCCATGCCCAGGTGATCCGAGACTGGTTTGGAGAAATTCAGGGGAATCCATCCTGGCAGGGCCGTCTGCCAGGTTTCCGTCCTCGATATTTGTCATCATGATGAGATGGCACATACTCAAGGACAGTCTTCAAAGCTCGATGGTACGTTGACTATTAGATCTAAGGACAGTGACTTCAGGGATGGCTCCAGGGCTCAATGGTACGTATACTGGCATGCCTCAGGCTGCAATGCGGCTATTTGCGGACTGCACTCTAACGCCCATTCCCAGGGTTGCAATCGACTGATTTTGTATTCCAGCCAATCAGAATCATGCGAAGGTTTGTTTTGCCTTAAAGCTCTTGAGTTTGCCCTTTGTTACGCTTATTCCTTCTTGCAGTTACTAGGATTACGAACGGCACTTCTGTTCACCTCTTCACTTGATTGGCTCATGGCATCATTTATCCGCCAATTCGCATCCTCCGTGGTTCCGCCTATAGCATCTGCCACTTCCAACCCATTCATTGATATTCCCATCCCAACCTTCATTATCCCTCAATCAAAGTCTGCAACCTGGTTCTATACAACCGCTGCCATAGTCGGTGCTCTCCTCGTGCTCGAACAGTCTGTTTACAGATTCAAGAAAAAGCACTTGCCTGGCGACCCATGGACAATTCCAATTATCGGAAAGTTTGCAGACTCCATGAAACCAACCATGGAGGGCTACATGAAACAGTGGAACTCTGGCGCGTTAAGTGCTATAAGTGTGTTTAATATGTTGGTTTCCATTTGGTTATGATTTGCTGCTCTTCTCAAACGTGCTCTCAGTTTCATTGTCATGGCTTCATCTAATGAGTATTCGCGGAAAATCCTGAATTCTCCTACCCATGCTGAGCCTTGCCTGGTGCACTCAGCAAAGCAAATTCTCATGCCTGACAATTGGGTATTTCTCACTGGGAAATCTCACGTCGAGTATCGCAAAGTCCTGAACACTTTATTTACGCGCAAAGCTCTCAGGTCAGTACTTTCAATAATTCACATCATACGATTTTCCCTCTTAACTTGCACTTTAGTATCTACATTGGTATTCAGGATGCGATTGCTCGCCAACACTTCAGGCAATGGCTTGCAGATGCGCAGAAAGATCCTTCACCACAGTCTATTATGATGACCGCGCGCAACCTCAACATGATCACTTCCCTTCGTGTTTTCTGCGGCAATCACATCCCCGAGCATGGCGCTATTGAGATCAGCGAGAAATACTGGGACATCACACAAGCCCTTGAACTCGTCAACTTCCCTTTGGCCATCCCTGGTACAAAAGTATATAGAGCCATACAAGCCCGCAAGGTCGCCAGCAAGTGGCTGGAGCTTGCCGCATCCAAGGCCAAAACTGCTATCGCCAATGGCTGCGAGCCTGAATGTATGCTTGACGAATGGGTCAAGGAGTTGGAGGCCCCGGGGTATAAGGGCCGTAAGGATTTCAGCGACCGTGAGATGGCTATGGTTGTGTTCTCGTTCTTGTTTGCGTCGCAGGATGCCATGAGCAGTGGCTTGATTTACGGGTTCCAGCATTTGGCAGACAACCCCGACATCTTGGCCAAAATCAGGGAGGAACAGTACCACGTTCGCGCTGGAGACGTCGACAAACCAATCACCCTTGAAATGCTCCAGCAAATGCCATATTTGAAGGCGTTTGTCAAGGAGAGCATGCGTGTCAAGCCACCTGTAACCATGGTTTGTAATTCGTGTGAACTTTACGCTATCTTACTGAAACACCTTCGCTTAGGTTCCTTACAGGACGACAAAGGCTTTCCCTATCTCTAATGATTATATTGTTCCTGTAAATAGCATGGTAATACCCTCATTCTACAACTCCCTGCACGATCCCTCCGTTTTCCCCGAGCACGACAAGCTCATCCCTGAGCGTTGGCTCGATCCCGACAGCTCCGCTAACATGAACCCGAAGAACTACTTGGTATTTGGTAGCGGACCCCACAAATGTATTGGTATAGAGTACGCGACGATGAACATCGGACTGGTTCTTGCCATTGCAAGCGTGTTGATGGACTGGGAGCACTACACGACACCCGAAAGCGATCAAGTCCAGTGAGTATCATAGTGCGCGTGTTGACCACACGCTAACGAGTTTTGCAGGATAATTGCGACTTTATTCCCTAAAGACGGATGTCTTATGAAGTTTGCCCCTCGTCCGCGACCCTGATCGTGGTGATTTGTTTTAGCATATGACTTTGGTTTATACCCCCCATTAGGATTTTCATTTAATTTTTTTAGACACATACATCATTCTTGGACCGCAATAATGGGTTTTGCATTTTTGGTCAGATGCCAGTCAGGTTAGATATCGGTAGCTATTGTGGACGTAGCTTTAATGCGCGTTTGGGCGGAGTACACTCCCTCGGATTGAACAAGAGGTTCGTGCTCACTTTACAGAGTTATGGCGCAGAAAAGCCGCCGACATATGTGCACTGTCTACCCATTACAGCACACACAAATGCACAATTAAAACAGCTATTGGCACGAATTATTCCCGCTAGGGCGGGCCAATATTTCGAATCTCCTAGCTTACTACAAGGGAGGTGAAACGGTGACTAAGATGAGGCAGTATCTCGGAATTGCAAGAGAAGCGACGGTAATAACACAATGGACCGTGATGACAACCGCCCACGACATGCTGGCACTGCCTGGATTCCCTGCATTGTCAGACGGCATGAATCCTGCAGTTCAGTTCCCTGCATCCTGTCACACCCGCATTTAGGCCAAGTAGAGTCAACAAGTCGGGCCCTCCCGAAGGACAATGAATATGGAATTGTTCATTCAAACAAAACGGCCCATCACCGCCAAACATTACCGAAGAAATATCACCTTCTCCTGCGCTCCTGAAGCAATCCAGGCTGCTTCATGAATGACGCCCAACCCAATACGTTCCATCAACGCCTCATTTTGACCAACGGCCATCACATGCAGCATGCATTCGTGGTAATGCTGAAACCTCTCTTCGTTGTACGTGCCGCGCAGATCGGTACGGGAAAGGACGATGAATTCAAGGGAATTTGGCAGGGTAACGTCCAATGGTAGGACGGCAGTGCCGACCCAAGTAGGAGGGGAGGAAGTGGAGAGAATATCGAAAAGACCGTGATGAATAGATGCATGTGATTCTTCACCACGTCGCCGTGCGATGGCAAAGTGGCTGGAAGTCGTGCGGAAAATGAGGGTGCCAGGGACGAGCGTTCGATGGATGTCTGAGGTTATCTCTGTTGGGTCTATAATCCCTCGCGGGGAAGAATATGCGGATACTTCTCCCTCTGTCTCGCGAACCAAAACGACCCGCCGGGAAACCCTGCGTACATCAACCTGCAATATAATGCCACTATGGTCCACGATGTACCACGGATCGACAAACATCTCTACCACCAAAGGGTCGCCAAAGTAGTCCACAAGCCAAGCATCCTCAGAATAGGTCACCAAATACCGATGCTCCGTCATGTAGTCAACAGCACCACGCCACGTAGCCCATGCCCAAGAAGGCCAGGGTGAACTGCATCCATCAGGGAGTGAACGACGAGTACGAGGTGTATGTGGATTGTGTTGCCAGAGAAGCGTGTGATGCAGGTCCGTCAACATCATTCCATAGCGAAAAGATCTGTCCGGGTCACCGAGCCCAAACGCTTTTGCCAAAGCATTTGTCACTCCGGTGAGAGCATCGACGACGTCTGATTCTACAGTGAGATTGCGCCGTGTACACTTCTTCACGGCCGTCATGTAACTCGTGAATGGGTTCAATGACTGAGGGAAGTATTCTGCCCGCGAAACCTTGAGAAAACTAGTGGAGTCACACTTGCTTTCAGCGATGATGTCTTCACATAAGACATCAAATTGGCACTCAAAGTACACTTGCTGCCCAGTAAAGTATATCCTTCGGCGGGAAAGCGCACACTCTTGATAGGTCCAACAACGTGTATTCCATGCGGACAAAGCAAGAGCCTCCCTAAGTCTCGGAGGTGCCGCATAGAGATGAAGTCCTTGGACGACTTCAATATGCTGTTGCGTTCTTGTTTGTGGACGGCATCCCGGAAGAGGGTCTCGAGCCGTAAAGCCACCGGCAGCGATTATTGTGAGATAAGAAAGGCCGTAGACCAAATCCATATTGTGTATCTGAGCAAACTTGTCCTCCGGATCGTCTTGAATGATGCATAGAGCATCGATCCATATGTAACGTTCACTGAGTTGTCGAACGAATAGAATAGAATCAGTGATGGTATCAGGGAGCTTTGCCGCGTTCAACCCGCTAGGCGTTCCGCGCTTTGCTATATTATTCTTCGTCGTCCAATACTCTGCGCCGATGCCTCCCCATATGTAACTGAGGGCGATGTAACGACAACCAGAAGGTGCAGGAACCACGGACATCGATACTACATCCACCACTCTCACAAACCCCGGCAGTTTTCTATCGTCATGTTCGCCTATTCTCGAGAGACTTTTGCACATATCTCCATGGCTCCCCTGGCACAGTTTGATCCACTTCTTCACCATCTTGATATCCACAGTGTTTTTTACCCTGCGACAATGAAGATCGGTCGGTCTTCCAAACTTGAAAGCGTCTTCTTGCATGAGGTGGATGTTAAGCCCGCCTGCTATTCTGAAAGCTGGATATTTCTTCCAAAGGTCCTCTATACCTTCCATCGTGATTTGGAGGCGGTAGCAACGAAATTTGGATGGGGGATAAGAAGCCAACTGAAGACAGCCACAATGTATCGTGAACATCCTACATTCGAGCCCTGAGATATCGACGTGAGGAAACTCGTCCAACATCCACGTTCGGCGAACATGCAAGGATATAAGGCGGCAGAAGCTGCATTGATATGATTTTTGTAAGATGGACGAGAGATAATCGAGCGTAATGATTTCCTCCTCCGGAATGCCATTAAGGAAGATTTGATAAAAATTCAGATTTGCACAGATGGAACAGAGTAGTGCTTCGTTGTCTAACGTGGTGGTATCGTCCCTCTGTTCACCCTTCTCGATCAGTCCTGTGGCATTGGGTAGGCGTGAATGGCACGAAGTTCCTCACCTGAAAGTCAGTTCGTATTTGTTCAGAATGCAGGAGAGAGGAAGATTCATTGAATTCTGTGACGTTTGCCTTGGATTTGCACGTGCGGATGAACCAAAGAACCCAAACTCCAAGCCCCTCCAATAATTCCTGCAAGGGCCAAACCATGTGCGAAGACCAGACCGAGAACACTCTCAATGACACCTGCAGTGGTTAGTAGTACTACGAGAGTCAGTTAAACGGTATCAATGGTGGAGGACACCCACCTGACTGACTCGGAGTTGCACTAAAACTAGGAGGAACTATACGAGTACTCTGAGAGTGCGAACGAGTTGAGGGATTGACTGACAGGAGGGCTCTGGTTTGAATGTTGGCTCCTTGCAATTGCAAGTAGCCTGACGGCATGAGGCAATGCACTTGTGAGATAACTTTACCATGGGTGGTACCAGGTAAACTCATGCCGAGAGAAAAGGATGGTAAACATAAAACGCGCTAGTTGCTGGCGTCAGCTTTCTCTTTCGCCAAGCCCTTGACTGTTTGGAATTCGAACTGTCAAATTTTGGTTACTTAGACAAGCGCCCGCTTGAGGTGATTTTAACTCAGTGCATGCAACACTCGCATTTGTTCACCGATTCACAGCTGATGCTCAGTTGAATTTAATGCGAGCTCCGCGAGTGGCGATCCCTGGACGCAGGTATCTTAAATTTCAATGCACGTTGTCAGAGTGTTACTGGGACGTGCCAGGTCAGCGAGGTCACGTGAACGTGCCTGCAGGCAAACTTCAAGTTGCTTATCATCCGCCATGCTCGCAGAACATTTCTTCCGGGAGAACCAATTGATCGTACTAGTTCTGCCCATAATACTAGGTTCATCATCATCATGTGTTGACAATTACTTTTCAAATTTGGGTATGGCTAAGGAATGAGGCTGAGGATTAACAGGAATTTAAATTTGTCTGTAAAACCTTTGAAGAAGTTGCCAGCTGTCAGGCTATGTATAAAAGCGAAGTGGTCACTGTTATTTCAGTAACAAAAAACATCATCCAAACCGAAGTGCAACAATGAAGTTCATCTCACTCACCATTATGATTATGTCTGCCACAATGCCAGTACTGTGGGTTATAGTGCAAAACCCCCTGAACATGCCATGCAACATTCCTGGTGAATACCTTCAGCATACGTGTTTTGACCTCAAACCGCGTACTAAGTACGGGTGTTCGCAGAAGAGTACGGTTGCGGATACCTCGCGGGTTATAACAACGACAATCCCTTTTTGTATTACTGTTCGGTACGGTACATTATGGCTACCGTTAAGCCTTGTAGCTGTGCGATTTGCTGTAGCGTCAAGTACGGAGGTGTTGAGCAGAAGTGTGTATAGTAGACTTGCTCATAATGCATGCATGCATAACGCATAAGCCTTGGAACTACTTTTTGCGTTATATCAGAGGCCTTATTTGGGTGGTCTAGGCCCGCAGTGTTGCTTCATATCAGTACCTACTTCAATATACTTACAGCTATGTAAGTGAATACAGGTGTCAAAATTCAAAAACTCGTCTTCCTTTACCTCAAACATGCATGCCCAAACCCACAAGCCACAGGAGAGGCCAGCGGCACCCTACAAACAACGCTCGCAGAAAATTCCAAAGACTACTAGAGATGCACCTGCTACTCACCTAAATCTCGTTCGCGAAGCAAGTAGTACTACTGGACTAGTGTACTTGCAAATCCTGTGTTACTTCGACAATGTCAAATATTTTCATGTGAAAGCGGTCCTGGGTCAGCAGATTTACGAAGATTGGTGTGGTGCTTTAAAATTACATTGCTTTATGTGAATACTAATATTCATTTGTTCATCGATTCACTGATGACTGAATTCCAGAGCGTACGACTAGCTTTGTGACTCTGAATTCTGCGTAGTAGAAGTCTCAGTTGATGTAACCAAAAACATCCTATTAGTAGTGTAAAGCACGTCCATTTCTTGTCAGGTCAATTAATTGCTGAAACAAAGTTACGAGGACCAGCCAGTCTAGCTGAGGACGATGAAAGAATGTTGATGTAATGGCAACACGAAGCGCATCCGAATTTCCAACAATATCAGGAAGAAATCAATCAAATATATTGAAATGATGAAGTACATTGAACAGTTTCAGTGTAGTAAATGTTTACTCGAAATCAAGCATTTCGATGCTATGTGAAGCATTATACAAATTTCCCTGCGTTTTCGTAAGTGCCATGTCCATAACCAGTAGTCGATGATGACTCACTTTGAGGGATAACAACGTTATCCTGTTTGCTTCCATGGTCATATCACTCGCAAGGAATTTTTCCTGAGAAATCGTCTCGAGATACGGGAGGCCAGGTCCCAGAGGCTCCAAGAAAAGGGCAGAATTTGGTGTTTCGCCTTCGACAAGTCGTTGATGCGAAATGATGTTCCCAGCCTTGAAGTCCGTCACCATATGAGGGTTGAAGTCGCGGATGCGTAATGATCGTGCCTGTAGATCCCCTCGATGAGAGACGAGATCACCAATCAACTCCGCGCTACGGAATCCAAAGATGCGGTGGATGCAAGAGCTATAAGAGTTCTCGAAGAATCGGGTGTTCTGTGGGCCCCAGGCAGACCAAGGCAAATTAGGAGAATCTTGGCTTGCTTCTCCATAACGGCTGATGTAGGTGGATTCGAGCTCCAAGATAGTCTTCCGCTCGATATAGAAGGTGAAATAAGGGGTTGTATCGGTCGTGGGCGCTGACATGCACATGTTGACAGCGATGAGTTGGTTATGAGTGCTGGTGTGGAACGGAATAGGGTTGAAGGTGATATAGTGAAAGATGAAGGGGTCCCGCAGTGCAGGGAAGGAGAATTTGGCAACGAGCCGGATCGCATTGGCCGAATCGGCTGGGTCGAGGGAGAACAACTGTAGTTCACTGGAATTGGCGACCAGAATCCTATCGTTGGTTAGAAAACTGAAGTTCGTCGTTCCGGACCACGCGTCAAAAACCTCGAGGCACTGCAAGTTCAACTCGGTCGTAAATAACAGCAAAGCTAGAAGACTTGAACTCACCTGAAAAGCATCCTTGGACTTCCAGTTCCAAATTTGCAAATAATCGACCAGACTATCATCTTCTTTGTGAGCAAATTTGCAGAACAAGCCATAATAGTCTCCGAAGATCATGGTTTGCGTATAGGGGGAGTCGAAGCGCTCTGGATGAATTTGATTGTCGAGTGCTTTCAAGAGGGGGAATGCAGCGTCAGGATGAACTTTATCCTCGGAAAGTGATCTGAAAGAGATGTCATACGCATGACTCTCTCTGTTTTCGTTAATCATGATATAGCATCGACAGATGGAAGAGTACACTCACCCACGGAGTGTTCTGGAAAGGATAGCTACGAGGTCCTGTGTGGGCGAAAAACTATAACCCTCGAAAGCCGTGTTGTCTATTTTGCAGATGCATTGTCGCAAGTTCATGGTGTGGGTGTCTTTATCTGATAGTGTGGCCTGGACGAACTTTATCTGTGCGAGAGCTTCTGCTGGGATTCCAAGAATGCCGCACGACCAACGGTAATTGTCGGGAGAGTAAGACAATGGGATGGAATTCCTTTGAGAGTATTCGACTTTTTGCCACGCAGTTTCGCTGTTGCGAAGCAATTGACGACGTGTTGCAATGGCGCTGTCGCAGCCAGGCAGCGAGGACGGAATCGTATTGTAGTATCGAATGTCGATCAAGTATTGAAGCTCCGAGGAAGAGTCAATGAGTTGTCGAATATCGCTGCATACCTAAAGACGCTTCATTAGTGATTTGAGGCCAAAAAAAATTGAACTTACTTTGCGTGCTCGGACCAGATCGTATACGTCTAGATGACCAAAGATGTGTAACAGCAGTTCGGCAGGGAGATCCATGAATTTCATGGTGATGCTGAGAACTTGGTTCATAGTTGACAATCGAAGAGTAGTTGTAGAAATGAGTTGAGTTGATGTGATGGGCAGATGGATGTTAAAAGCTTCGTTTTATACGATGTGATGCCAATATAAATGCGGATGCTAAGCACTTTGCGGACGGAACTGACTATGACGTCATTTGTTCCGATCCGGTTAACGGATGTTTCGGAGATAATATCTTCCGAAGCCCCTGTGGCGTTAGCTATTTTTAATTATGTATGACATAATATTGTTGACATAATCAAGAACATGTGTTTTCCAGTCGTCTCAGACTCTGTTTTAATTACAAGTGGAACAAATGACCATCACCATTATGGCCATACAGCACAGACCCAACACAAGATCTTTATAACCCCCATTCGCTTACACTCACCTTCAAATATGACCGTAGTCTCAAATGATCCCAGTTGGTGGCCGTTCACCAATCTCATTCTTTTTTACAGCTATTGGACGGGTTCGTCATATCAGTTGGTGATGTCTCGATCTAGCCTTGACTGATGGTTTTGCAGTTGCCGCAGGCCTCGTGGTGGTATACGACTGGGGTGAGCAGGACAGTGTTCGAAAACCTTTGACACTCATTCTCATGATATTTCCAGTACTATCACTTGGACAAGAGGTAGGTCGGTTCTATTGCCGGAGCAGCCAAAGTACTTGCTAAGAATGATATTATAGATCGAACTGATTTGGGTGAGTGACAGTTCCATATCAGAAGAGAAACAACGAATTCGCGACAGACGCAACGCTGGTCTCTCATGACTGTGCTTTACCTGGTTGTTCGTACCTCATGTTTTAATTGGACGGTGTGCTGACTCAAAAATCTTCTAGGTACGCTATATTGGAATACCATATTCTGTGTATGTCATTGAGGCCAACAAGTTGTTGCTGTACCAATATCCCATTTCTTATTATCAGTATCAATATACTGCGTATGTTTCATGCGCACCGTATTCAATTCTTATGACCGACAGCAGACAGGAAATATGAAATTCGTCTCTCTGACAGATGCAGTGAGTATTTCGCAACCATTTCATTCCATTCCGATGAATACATTCATTTGTAGGGGTGAGTGAGATTTTGACCATGGTACTTGGCTCAACATAATGCTTCGATAGGTGTGAGTTTGAGCGTTTGATCTTATCATGGGAGTGATCGTTAATTGGATGTTTCAGGCAATATCATAAACTACACAATAAACGGCACAAATGTGGTCGTAACTGCCATGTTGAGCGGCGAGTTACCCAGCTGCAATACCTCAGTGATATTGACTCGACTGAAACATGACGCAAGTTATCATGATTGCTCGGTTGCATGCCATGTACAGGAGATCTAAGAGGATGCTTATTTTCCTTGTTATCATCTCCCTGACTATAAACATCGCCGGCGGAGTAATCACGATAATAGTACTGAAGTACCATAGTGGAGCGGGTAAGCTTTATTTGTTTAATCGAAGAACACAGCTCATTGGACAATCACCAGAGGAGCTGATACTTTCTGGCATTCATATGTGTGATGACGGATTTGAGGGAGATGGTCAACTTTTGATATCAATGATTTGGATGCTCAATACTCTTTGGGAAGTTCTTGCACTGTGTCTTTCAGTCTGGATCGCTGCAAAACATTCTTGTGATCTGCGACAACTCAACCCATTAACCAGTGGATCGACCATCCGGGACTGTTTCAGGGTGCTGATAAAATCTCACGTGCTGTATTTTGCAAGGTGAGCTTTCCATGTGAATGTACTATTTTTTTCTGCTCAAGTTCTGCACTTGTTAGCTTTGCGTGTGTCTCTTGCTTCCAGTTTGTCATTCTCTCTCCAGAGCTCGAGGTGCGCCGGCCTGTCACTGACATCTGCTTGTAATAACTGTTCATTATTTCTGTAGAATTCAAATTCTATTGGAGCTGAGATACTCAATGGTGCTTTTCAAATTCTATTGTCCGTGCAGATGTTCGTGCTGGGACCACGACTCATCCTTAGCGTTCGGCAATATCACGCTAAACACCTGGCCGATTCCGACGCAGAATCTCTAACACGAGTTCGATTATCTTCCAGGAACGTGTAGATGTATTGACTAGCAATACTGTTTAGAGAGATGCTTTCGAGATATTTGGTCGAGGATCCGTCGGAGTATTTATTTTAGTTATGATGTTTCAAAGTACATCAGTGTGCTGTTATGAAGCACTAGGAAACTTATATCGGTGGCGAAGCAGCTGTTGGGGAAAACCTCGATATTAACTACGTTTATGCACATGTAAGTAGGCTGCCTACACGTGGTTTGGTTCGGATGAGTCGCATGTCCATTGTCACCAAGAAATACGAACCGCATCTCGTGGCATATATAAACGCCACTCAGAACACATGTAGTACGAGCATAAGCCAAATCTGGTGCTTGATACAATGGTCGACAGTGCACGGAAATAAATCAACTAGTCTATCGTGCTACCTAAACTGACATTACTACGAAGTTGTCTTATACCTACACAATAATTTTCCTGCACACACGGATGCCTACTTATTCCTGCTGGATTTTGCAAGAACGATAGTGCAATAAGCAAATTCATTGGCAATGACAAACAACAGAGTCGTGTCTACAGCGTACAGTTTTTCCAATTTTAGGGGCTATCCATCGATCATGTACTAGGTTCAGCATCCTCAAGAGGGGGTGGGCCATCATCATCAGAATCAGAGTCAGCGGGCTCATCTGTGCCTGATGGGCCGGCACCACCAGCTCCGCCCATGGAAGCCATCATCTGAGGATTGGGTGTGATCAGTACGATGTAGATGTTTCCAAGAGTGACCCACCTTGCTGAAGTCCATGCCACCCATACCTCCCATGCCGCCCATACCTCCCATGCCTCCCATACCGCCCATGCCACCCATGCCGCCCATACCTCCCATTCCACCCATGCCCATGTCTCCCATACCGCCCATACCACCCATGTCTCCCATACCGGCGAAATCGTCCTCCAAAGAGGCACCGTCTTGCTCGTCTTCATCAACCCATTTGCTGAAATCAGTCTTGACAAATGGCAGCTTCGTCTTTTCCTTCGTTAGTCGTGGCCAGTACTCAGCCTTGAGGGCCTTCTTTCGTAGCACCGCCGTGAAAGAGCGCGAGCTCAATTTGCTCAAAGACGCCTAGGAGATGATCAATGGCACGTACTTGAATGGTGTGATAAAGAAACATACTTCTGTGTCTACTTCATCAAATAGCGGGAGCGAGAATGCATATGCTCTCTTGTCGCTGATGTCGGTAGATGAGGTTGGAGCGACAAATACAACGGGTCAATAGAGCGCTGACTTACGTTTTTGACTCTGCCTTGAAAGAAATCTCGGTAGATGTTAATTTATATTGGAGACTTGTCTCGTCAATGTCTGGCACGTTTACAGTCAACCAAATGACGTTCTGGCGCGCAATCGCGGAGTGGATCATCAGCACTGTGAGGAATGATTAAAGATGAAATTTGAAAATCAAGACACACCTTCTCGGCAGAAGATTCGCTGCTACGTTGAGCCCATAGAACTTCAGGATGTGTTGTCATCGCGTCTGGGATGATTGTAAATTTGAGAGAGAGATTATAAACGTTGTCTTCGAATCAAACAGAAAGACGAAGAATCATCTGGTTTCCTGCTGAGCTAGATCGGCAAACGCAGCCACACAACGTCACGTGAGGTCGCCTTCCATAGCACTAGTAGCTCCATCAAAGCTCCATAGCATGAACATTGAACGATGGACATTTGGGGCCGGGCAGGCTAACAAATGTCTTCATTGGATGGCGAAGGAAAGGCACCAGAGGACTTCACGATGACGGCAGGTAAAAAAAAGCAAAACCGGAGCAGCTGAGAGCCAAGATGGTGCGTGGTCCCAGTGCCTGCCTCGTACCTATCATTCACTCTACTACAGCGTTCATCTACGAAATTCAATCGTGCTTCCCTCATTCAAGAGTCTGCTAGAGCAAAGATGACGGTGAGAAGTGCTGCCCGGCTAGAGCGTCAGCGAACACTGGGAGCAATTCATCTGCTCTCATAGCCTTCGATCCATCAGGTGGACAGGTCAATTCTGCCGACCCTTTTGTTGTATGCTCTTGTGCAATTTGGGTTATCCCGTCTGCTGAACAATGGATGACTGCAGAGAGCTTCCACCGAGATGCCAATACTCTACTTCATGCTGACAACAAGCCTACTGAAGATGCCATTGATAGAGTGGTTGCCAAGATCAACAGAGAGTAAGTTTTTGCACTTTCTGCTTTCCCTTGCGACACTGACAATGACGTGACACCGTAGCATTGACAGGAAAGGCAAATTCTCCCGAAAGACACTCAATGAGGATGAACGCGACATTATTTGTATCAATGAGCGGAATCGGCGTCCAACAAAAAGGTGTGTCATTACATTCGTGGATGTGCTTGACAATACGAGCTGAGGAGTAACATAATACGATGAATACACCTCAGAAATTCGGGCCAGTTTCGAGCGGGGAACAGCATTATGACCCCCCTCATCCACGTCTCGAACAAGTAATGTCTGACTTCCTTCTTTTAGGGTCTGACTACGGGAGAGTACTTGCACTTGGAGCATTTAACATTAATTTTTTTATGACCTTATATTTATATCGATGCCCTGTACATTATTTGGAGTGCTAATGAGTTGTGACTTCGGAGTCTTTCGTCACCGGTCACGCATTTGAGTTGAGATGTTTACAATTGTAGTATTGTGCCATACTACCAAGAACAGTCAGAAATCGCCATCCATGTGGTGAGTTGTTGAAGCAGAGGTAGAACGACTTATTAATCGTGATTTCTGTATCAAATAGGTGCACAAGGTGGTTCCTACCGCTGTTACTTTTGCCTCTCCCAACTGCTCAACCATACTTTTTGGTGCTGTTCCTGTTTTCATTAGCTTTGCACGCGAAACCATGGTAAGTTACTATGTTATGGGCGCGTTGAGGTGGTACTGACATATCTATAGCTTCTACTGCATTGTACTTCTCGGAGCTCTCTTTCTGTCGTCTTGTTATTGGCAGTCATTCCCATTGGAGACGCGCCTCTCAATTCCATGGTCCTCCAATATCACCACCTTTTATGACGCATTAAATGCAACCTTGCCACCCAATTTCGACTTGCGTGAACACACTCCACCCATAATTCGCGTCAACGACAGATGCTGGTGCGATTTCACTTCGGGAATTTTTGAATCATATGATATGCGGAAATGGGAGAGGGAAAGTGTGGAGAAACTGGCTGCAGATATGGTACAACAGCTGAAGGATCGTACGAAGAAGCTCACCGGAGCAGATGAGCTACCAAACGCTGAGGAAGAAACACCATCATCTGAGGAGACGCATTCCCCAGCAAGTCATCACACCGTGCACGTCATACCTACCCAGAAGTCCACATTATCAGCGCTCCGTTCGATGTTGGGCAAAACAGAGGCTCAAGCATCACCACCCATCACAGATACGGAGCCGTCAACGGCAACGACACCTACACTGACAACAACGTTAGTTTCCAGCTCCAAGCCATCCCCATCGTCGCCGTCACCCCCTCGTCGACCACTTGAATATGATCTTAATCCGTATGGCTTTGATCTCATCCTCGATTTTCATTGGTCTTGAGGTGGACAGGAAAATTAGTGTAGGACGCATGCTACTTAACACAGCTTGTATCAATATCTTAATTATAGACTATGCAAGCACTACTTCTGTAACCTGTTATATATTTTCATGTTTGTGCCTTCTGTGAATGCTGTCGAGCGTGTGAATTTCAGTCATGGTGTCCCGGCAGAGGCATTCAGAACCAGAAAACTTGCATTTGCTCTCCTTCGCATATAAGCATCTTCATTATCCCACTCAGTTCCCCCTTCTTTCGCGTTCGTGCGGAATGCGATTAGATGTCCTCAAAGTTTAAGGGAAAGTCAGCCGACCGGCCAGACATTACCCGTGCATCGTTGGACCCGGAACAGTCCACAGTCCACAGGAAGATGGACTTGGTGTCCAAAACTCTATTTGCGCCCTTCAATAATAAGAAGAAAGACTCCTCGCGAATTCTTACAGACCGTGAGCAACATGCAGTACTATTCATCTCAACCACTTAATATATTCTTTCTAGTTGCCCCGGTAATAATGACTCCCCGTATGATAAATGCAGCGGCAACTGTGTCTTCACGTTCGCGAGGTTCTCTTGGTGCCTCAGCTCCTGGAGGATCCCGGCTGGACTTTGCAACTCTCGGACGCGCCCCAATGCGTTTGACCCTCGGTACCCGCCGCATCACGTCACGAGACCTTCAGATTGTCGAGGCAACGGATGAGCTCTTGGATGCTGAGATTCCAGAAGCGGGAGGTATTGCATCTGACGTGAGCCTACTTCGCGGGTTTAATGCCACTGTTCCGAGTTCGGAGAAAAACCGGACACGGCGCAAACAAATGCGAAATGTCGAGACTCCGAGGATTGGGTTGAAAAAGCTAGGGATGAGTGCGAGAGGGTTGATGATGGAAGATGAAGAGGAGAGAAGCATTGCAAGTGAAGAAGATATGGTGGTGGTTTCACGTCTTGATGAGCGAGGGAAACGAAAGGGGAAGAGACGGGGTAGGGAGAGCCTTAGTGCAGCAAAGGCACTTGGCAAGGACGAACTTCGACGACAGACTCAGGAGATAATACTTGACAAGGAGAATCTTCATGTTCGACGGGTATGTTTATGTCCCACATCCCGACTTTTCTAACGTGCTGCAGAGTCTAATTCACAGTGAAATTACGGAAATTAACAATAAAATCAAAGCGCTGGACTCAATAAGAGAGAGTCTGGAACAGGACCTCTTAAAATTACACGAGGATGAGTTGGAATTGGATGATGAGCGTGAGAGCCAATTGAATTGTGCATATGAAACTTCACTGACCTGTGGACAGTCGAGGGCGTGCAGGAACGAATAGAATTCGAGGAAGCTGCGTTCCGCCAGAGTGACAACACCAAGACCACACCAGCACCTCATGTTGCCCCTTCACGGCGGCGGAGAGGTACAGCTGTTACGAATTTGGCTATTGCATATACTTATCAAGTCTTAAGGTCCCGTTTTCTTACCATCAGAACATGACGAGCTCCCACCAGGAGTAGCATTCATGGTGCGTTCAGATCCAGTATCATTTGAAATCCTGTCTAATTAGCCGCAGACCCTAGAAAGCCACCTCACACCAATCGCCGCCCTCGACTTCTCCGAACCTTACGGAACGCTAGTGAGCACATCGCAAGCAGACTCCCAGCCACGGCTTTGGGATTTGATGACAGGCTCTGAAATCGGACGATTGCGTGGGCATCGTGGTGCCGTCAAGTGCATACAAGTTGAGGATAACCTTTGCTTGACCGGTGCAGAGGATGGCAGCGTGCGCCTTTGGGACCTTCGACTGGTAGATGAAGAAGACTGGGAGAGGGATGGTCTAACCGATGTTGCGGAGGAGGACGAGGGTACTGCTTATGATGGGGAATTGGTCGAAAAGCCGAATGGAATTCGTTCAAGTGAACCTAGCGAAGCAGGCACGACTGACCAGACTGGACCGTGCATCAGGTTGTTTGAAGGGCACAGTAAGGCTGTCACTGCACTTTACTTTGAGGATGAGTGTTTGGTAAATGTTTCATTTGTTCTCTAGCTTCATGTCATCTCACCTCGCATGCAGGTCACTGGTGCTTCGGACAAGACACTTCGTCAATGGGATCTTGCGACTGGACAGTGTGTCATGACAATGGATATCCTATGGGCTATCTCCCATGCACAGCCCACTATACCAGGTCATGGCATACCAAATCACAACTTCCCAATTACCGCTGCCTCTGCGGGGCACTTCGCCGTTCCTACACCCCCTTCCGCAGACGGTAGTTGGGATATGTACGAAGATTTCGTGGGTGGGGTCCAATTCTGGGGCTATGGACTCGTGAGCGGTAGCGGGGACGGGGCAGTACGAATGTGGGACAGTAAGTTTTTCTGGCCATTTCTGCCGCATTTGATGTGAAAGCTCTATCTCTAGTGCGGACGGGACAGGCTCACCGAACGTTAATGGGACATACCAGTCCAGTGACCTGCCTTCAGTTCGATGAGATGCATATTGTCAGTGGCAGTCTCGACAAATCAATACGGGTATGCACGTTGATTTCTTTGGCTAATGATGTTCTGAACTGTGTCCTAAGATATGGGACGTCAGAACAGGCGGTACATTCGAAACGCTCAAGTATGATCATGCTGTGACTGCGCTGCAGTTCGACACCCGCAAAGTTATTGCTGCTACTGGTGAAAATGGCGTGAAGGTGGACTTTTTGGCTATATGTGAGTATTTTTGGGTGCTAATTCTCTGTATCCGCAGATCTACAATCGCACGAGTATGCAACACTCGTCTCTTTCCACGAACGGTCATACGCAACCCGTCGAGCGCCTACGATACATGGACCGGTACCTCGTGTCGGGTGGACGCGACGCCACAGTAAAGATATGGACTCTATGATTCTCGATTGAAGAGATCCTAAGGACCTTTGCTGTCGAGAATGTTGGCGCCAATTAGAATCTATATATACCTCCACTTAGTGCATACAGGTCTAGTTGGTTACAATTTATCACCTACACACCAGATAGATGTAATGGCATACGCGAAGAGGCAAACGTCTCCAAGTTTTGCTTGCGGCTTGAATTCAGGGTTATCACATACAAGTGCGTCAGATTCTCGCTAGCTCTTTTGCGCGTTCCCCAGACGAGAAGGCCGAAGGAACAAACATAATAATCCAACTAGCTTGGCGATGCTTACTGCAAGGTTCGTCCCCATCCACTGGATCTCGAAACAAATTGCCTATGTGCCATAACCTCTCGGTCGAACAGGGATCGGTGAGAAATGCACAAGTTGGAATACAGATAATAGGTCTACATTAAGTCTAACTGCTCATGGTCAACTATATACTGCAATGATGTCCCGTGTGTTTATTTGAGGAGCAGACGAGAAAGATATTGCATTAGTGTTCAAATGTCTGCTTTTGTAGTGGAATGACATTATTGCTAGTAAAAAAGCAACGACCACTCGTTGACGTGAAAGAAGGGGGCAGGGAGTGCGCTTCTGATCATCCCACTACGGCAAATAGCTGCATAGCAACACTACTAGAATCTAAGACGAGTTTATATCTGCTAATGTGCAAACAAAGCAGGCGAAGGGGCGAATGGAAAGAGGCAAACAAGAAAGCTACAAGTAAGCATATAACAGATATACAAAACAAGAAATGAGATATATAATTTTCAACAAACAAAGTCGCCGAGCAAAAAAAAAACACATGGTTAGGCCCTCCTATAGCCAATTTCCGGGTCACGGCGAGGGGGATAGTCTCTGACACGCTTGTCGTCCCTCGGAGGACCAGATCTGTCGCCAGAATATCCATTGGCGCTAGGGTAGGTATCATAATGTGCAGAGCGTGGTGGAGGACTCATTGAGCGGCGACTTCTGGCTACATGAGGAATTATAAAAACATGATACAATAAAGAACTGACCGATAGCGAGACTGCTCGGGAGAACGAGGGTAGTCCGATTGGCGTAGTGGTGGTGTTAGTGGCCTAGGAATGTAATCCCTTGGAGATAATGAGACTTCAACCACAAAACAAGATGTCGCGCCATACCGGAGTGATCTATCGTAATCATCGCGGCGAGGAGGGGGACCAGGAGGTGTCCTAGGCCTGGAGTTCGTGGGAGGGTACCTATCATCTGGTGGAGGACGCCTTTCATACCGATCAAAGTCCCTTGGTGGAGGATAGCCTCTCGGTGGTAAATCCCTGTCATATGGGCGATCATACCGAGAAGGAGGTGGCGGCGCAGGTCCCCTCATTCTATAATCATCGTAATCGCGCGGGCGTGGAGGCGGCCCTGTAAAATAATCTCTCTGATCCCTTATAGGCGAGAGGGGACGCCGAAAATCTCTGGCAGGAGGCGGCGGCGGCGGCGGATAATCATAATACCTCGCATCCTGTGGAGGAGGGTATCGCGCCGGGGGACCAAGGTCTCTAGGAGGCAAGTAATCCCTAGGTGGTAATCGTTCAATCAACCCCACTTCGTGAGAAGAACCCCTAGGAGGACGCCTGGCAAAGAGTGAGTAGTCTTAGCAGCAGTATTAAGACGACTTACGATTGTAAACGAGGGCATTCCCTATTTGCAAATTTGTTAGCAACAAATGACCGTAATCGTCAACTACATACCTGGCCCAATGGCCAGTTTCACCGCATCTGAAGCAAGCGCCGGGATCATCAGAGCGCCTGGTAGCGCGCCCGCGACCGTGGGAAAGTTCCACTCGTATTTTGTTGCCCATAAAGTACCCTTCGTTGTACTTGGCAACACTTTCTTCGGCAGCCTCTCGGGTATCAAATTCCTATCACAAGCCTCCATGACGTCGCTCATGTTAATAGAGGCAATTATAAACTCACGACAAAACCATAGCCAATTCTATACGACAAACGTTAGATAAAAACCAACTCCTAAAGAAAAATGAAAGAACGTACTTCAATTCAATATGTGTGATCCTGCCAATCTTTCCAAAACAACTTTGGAGGTCCTCTTGGCGTGTGTGGTCTGGTAAACCGCCAATGTATACTTTATTCGGCTGTGCAGCACAATGTGTTTAACATGAGGCCAGACAATGAAGCGAATCAGAACAGCGAGAAGACAAGGGCAAGACCAGTGAACAGAGGAATTTGCACGCAAAATTTCGACGTGAGGGTTTAGCGACCAGGGACAGGTGTAGCAAATCGCTTAGTCGCAGAACCAACTAATCGCCCAGTATCATAGTCAGGATACAAGATCTTTGCGCAGGCGGTAGAGATCCAAGCTAGCGGAGGATTCAACAAGAATAAGAGGAGACCTAAGCACCTTGGATAACTTTTCGCGACCGGAGTCGGTTTTGCTGCCAGAAACGCCGTTGTCACCGCTGGAAGTACGTTTATGACCAGAGCCGCTGGCCATTTGCCCGGAAGTCGTTTCGTCTGCTGCCAGAGGCGCGTCGTCGACGAGGGGGTCAGCACTGGACATAGGTCCCATGTTATCTGGGTCTTCACCGAAGCCCCATTTGTCATTGGTGTCTTGCGCTGCTAGCGGTGATGCAGCCATCTTGGAGGTATTGGTGCAAAAATATTCTGAAAAAGATTTCAGGGGATCAACAGAGCATGTCATAAACAAACAAACTCTGCCACACTTATAAACAAAACATGTTCAAACAGACTTGGGGCGGCGAAATTTCAAGGGCAGATATAAGTCTACAAATATTAAGGATAGTATCGTGGTAGTAGACCAATGCATATACACTAATACTGTGGAAAAAAAACCATCCATTTATATAAAAGTTCATCATGTTCAACTGAATTTCGAAAAAGGTCCTCAAGCTATGGTCCAGAGTCCACTAACGATACCAGCTGCAACAAGAACTCCCATGCCCATCAGGGTCCTAGCATCAGCGAGAACAATTGATGCGGCGTTATGTGAACTACCACTTCCGCTACCCGAGCTCGATGATGATCCAGCGGGACTCGGGGCTCCTGCAGGGAGAGTGGGGACGGACGTGCCCGAAGCACTCGCGAGACAGGACGATGCCGCGGCATTCGCAGCGCTGGCACTGGATGGTGCCTTGCTATTGACTGTTCCGTTCCCACCGAAGCTACACGATTGAGCGTTGTCCCCAGTTGCTATATAGTACTCGCTCATCACATAGGACAACATTATAGCTATGAGAAATGATTAGAGTTTGCGTTGCGCAGCGTCTTGTATTATGGACTCACTGGGATCGCACTCAGACACCGCACCGTACTGCCCTGTTGTCCCGTTAGAAGAAATCGCACTACATGATCCGCCAGACTGTCCAATGAGGCTGCACGCGTAATCCAATAACGCTCCAACGGTTGCTGTGTAGTTATTGGTCGAAGGCGTGAACTGGCAGCTGAGATTGTTTTCGAGACACTGGCAAGCAGCAAAGTTAGGTGTGGGAGGAAGAGTGGTCGAAGCAATCCAAGTTGAGTTCTGTTGAGGGCACGATGGATAGCTGGCAGTACCTGCAGCGCTCTGCGAAGGCGAATTAGGCGGCGACGCAGCAGCATACTGATTCTGTAGATTGGTGAAATCACTGCTTGTAGTGACAGTGCTTCCATCAGGTGAGATCGTAACCATACCGAACTGTCCCTGAGCACTCGTAGCTGGGAAGTAAGAGAATGCGACACCACCAGACCAAACGGGAGACATCTCCGAGCTCAAAAGCGCCCCGACTTCTGTCCACAGACGAGGGGGAGAAGTAATGCACCCAAATTCGCTGAAGTAGGCTGCCACATTGTAACCCGCAAATTGACCCTCTACACCGGCATAAGAAGCTTGAAAGGTTGAATTTCCACACCATTCGCTGCAGCACGATGTTAATAATCAACAAATGAAATACTGATAATTCAGACTGACTAGTTATTCAATCCAAATAGATCGATGGCAGTTGCACCGGAGTTTGACCCAGAGGGATCACAGGACAAATAGTTAGCCAAAGGGTCAAGCCATGTAGCATCTCCATCAATAGACGCATAGCCAACGAGTGCACCAGAATTGATAGAATTACTAGGAGAAAAGACATTTAGCCTCATAGGAGCCGATTTAGAGATTCAGGTTTAACCTACAGGTATGCTTTCACATCACGAGCAGCTGCCTTGACGAAGGTAGCAGCAGCGGTGCCGTTAGCTGCGATGACGACTTCATTTCCAACGTTATAAGCCAGAACGTTGTTGTATTTTGAGAAGACGTTGATGGTCTCAATGTATAAATCAAGTAGATTGGTGGTCCAGGACGGCGCGTCGCGGTCCATCGAACCATTTCCAGGTAGAGAAAGATCGATGCTAGACGATGTCAATGGACTGGTAGGCTGAAAATGCTTCATGGGTACCCACATAGTATAAATACCAGCATTACTGAATGTTTCCATGCAAGAATCGTGGTTCAACGATGAGTTAACGCTATAGGCACGGATAGCATTGACACCAAGCTCCTGCAAGTAGGGAAGATCACGGGTGCAGGCAGTGCCGTTGGACAGGGGATCAATAAAAGTAGATGGCTCGAGAAAGGGATTGCTCGCGCTCGCGACTACCGCACCTGCATGTTATTGTGAGCATTGACGTGACATTTGACGGTAGCAAACATCAAGTCGACTTGATGTTTACCATTACGTCCTTACCTTGCTCCTGATAAGCTACACCTTTGATATAAAACCTGTTCCCGTCCGCAGTATAAAGGTATCTTCCATTACGAGTTACCGCCTGAATAGCAGCGTCAACACCAGTCAGCAAAGCACCTGCCAGAGCAAGGCCAGCTGCGACACGCGAGCTCGCCCGCATGATATCTTGCTGATATTTTGGGAATGGATTGAAGAAGTGATGTAGACGGCTGTGACTTTTGAAGTAGGGAACGTGTGGTTGTGGTATGTACTATAGCGCAGGATAATTTTGACTGGCGGGGATAAACTCGTTGGGAAGAGTACAAAAGAGTCTGGCTTAGTCATATCCATGTTGTATTATTGTGAGTCATTTTGTGACATGAGGTCAATACCGTGACAGGCCTCCTTGAAGGGCCAAGGCTGCAGCTCCGAGTCAGCGCTCAGCGCTCAGTACTCAGTTCTGGTATCGGAACAGTCCTGCACTAGGCACAGTCGGGGGGTTCGCCCGCCGCTACGGATTTGGAGCATACCAGCAACTCACTCTGATCGGGGTTTTCCACACTTTGCCTCTTGATTTCAATCAAAGACCAGAGGTGACTCCAGAACAGTGATTTCACTTGCGGCAATTGGTAAATCTCAGGAGTCAGGAAGAGGTTGTTCTTTCTTGTCGCATCTTTTATCAGCAAGTTCATAATCTCGAAGTCGTCCTCACTCATTTCACAATGAAACATGATTATCTCCACATCTGCCAATAGCACGTTGTTGGCTTCGTCTAGCTGCCGCAGTCCGGCTTTGAACCTCGGTCGAAATGAACCGAACCTCGAGCGTCTTCGAATTTGGCAGGTGTATGTCGGAAATCTCTCAATCGCACGGCTTGGACAAAAAGTAAGATCATTGTTGCTCGTTTATATCAAGGTTATGATGTGAATTCTTTGACGTTTCCCCCACATCTCCTGACCAAAACTTTGCCCCAAAGTGCGGTGATACGCTGCTACATGCACAGTGTGTCACTTAGGTTGACACATATTCTTCCTTAACTCGCGTGTCAGTGTCAACGGCCATACTCCACCGATGTAAAATCAAGAATGTGACTCACCCATCCCTCATGCGGTACTGTCATGCAGGTGAGTTATGTTATCAGGTCCAGGAAAATGCTGATACTCACGCAAAATTCAGTGCATCCTTCAACTTGGCAGTCTGGGTTCGTGTCGCATTTTGAGCCTGAGGGACATTTCGGATTGTGAGCGGGGAGCCTAGTTGCATCGCTAGTAGTGGGCATGGCAGAGCTTGATGATACTAAAGCAGCAATGACAGCGAGCACAATTGCGGAGGAGAAATGCATTGTTTGCGAATAGTGTGTGCGGGATCAGGTAATTCTGAAGGCGATAGTAGGAAGACGGCTGGCTTTTATGTTGTTCTCCGGAATTACTGTTGCGTCGATGTGCCTTCAAATGGATACATATTTACGATTAATGCCAGCACATTGCCATATTGCTAGTATTGTGGGCAGAACCAGTGGCAGAATGTGGCAGAACTTCCGCGCATGTCAGGTTCTGCCAGTTCTGCAAGGGTAGAAAGTTCTTCCCAGCCGCAGCACGAACCCTTGGCAACAAAGCTGCCACTGCTAAACCTCACATTTACTTCACCGTTTATATGGCCCGATATCAAAATTCTTTGGAAGGGAGAGGCGCAGTGTAACCACAAAGATGACTGTTGCTTATGAATACATTCGAGTTAGCGAATGGCGCTACTATGTATCTGAAACGTCTGTGCATCACGCCTTGACCAATTCGGCGCATAACACGACAGGTATGCGTCATTGCGATCACACCGATATCGCTAGTATCATAGTAGCCATGTCATCAGGAAAACCTTCCCGAGGTAAAAATCTTATAATTTTCACAAAAGTTGGTATTCAGATAATTCTATCTAATTACAAGTATTAGAGGTAAACCTACTAAGACACGATAAAATACAGTGCGATTATCGAGAATTATTTAAAGATACAAAAAGTGTATCTATCTAAATATGAGTTCAACCAAAAAGTATTACAATCATCTAGAACTGTGTCACTCGTCCATTCCCGTGGGACGACGGCACCAAAATTTGGTATCAGATGGACACTACGCACTATGTTTGCCAATGGTACAATACTCGTCAACTTTTCACCACCACGAAAGGATCGCGAGAGCTTGTAAAGTCCGTGGCATTGATCAGGAGTCGAACGGAATGGCGTGAACCATTCAATATAAGCTAGGTGGCTGGGAACCTGGACCGTTGGCGCAACGAGGAGTGATAGTGATTTTGATGGTAATGAAAAAATGACTCATACTTGGCCAACACGCAATCCTAGACTCAGTCAAACCGTGAGTGACATGAATCCTCGTAAATAGTGAAGGCTAAACACACCTTCCATACCCATACTAACATCTGTATTGGGACCAAGGCGCACAAGAGCTGTATCCGAACGACGAGCAGACAGACAAGAACCGGAGGTCCGTTGTGGTCTGGCATGCACAGAGTCCAACGTGACTGCTGCATCACCAAGACCACGACTATCTACTGAGAGCCACTTGATTTTGTGAAAAACAGGGAGAGTTCGGAACGGGAGATGGACATCGCGTGCCAGCACATCCAGTATTTGAGTATGGGCATTGGCGTGGTTGAGTTGTGTGATATAGCGTGCGAGCGCTTCGCGGAAATAAGTAGCGCCATAGTCTTCGACAAGCTTGTCAATATTGACAGCCTTTGCACTAGGGTCCTTCGTCATTTTTTGAAGCCGATGGAAAGTCATGTCAGGAGGATGTGAATGGTAAGGCTCGGACTCGACATCACCAGCAAGTCGCCAGTTAATGTACTTCTCATAGCGGAGAATCTTCTCCTTTCGTTCGAGCCAGTGTGTCATCTGGACAAATTCATCTTTGTGATTAGTTGCACCGGTAAGCGTCCTTTGCATAGTCAATGTGAAGTTGTTCGGTGTACTCCGTATTATAATTATCGGTTGTACCGAACATCATAATCATGAGAGAGTAGTGGCGAGTTGCATGCAGTTTTGGTAGATTGAAATTGTTTCGTATACCAAGATCAATAAATATGTCCTTATTGTTGTGAAAAAGATTGAGTGCGTCGTCCAGCAGCTGCAAGGTCTCTGAGCTATGACATGGATATTGTGCGAAATAGAGAAAATCAAGTAGACCCCGCACTGCTCGTAGAAGTCGGCTTCCATTCAGATTATTGGGCAAACGGATACCAATGACAACACCAAGGAGAAAGCAGCATATTTGTGCATGTTTGGTCCCACTTATACGCGACAAGCCAGTGATGCCCTTCCTAAACAGACAGATATGGTGGTTGGGGGGAAGACGCCGACAATGAGCATCTATCTCGGCTGGTCCACAAGCAGCGGACAACCATCCTAAGAGATGCTTTACGAGGCCTTCATATACATCAGGAAAAACCTCCCCAGGGAAATTTAACTAAATTGTGATAATTTTCGATTATTACCTCAAATTAGGGGCTTTAGGAAAATTAGAAGAATTATGCAGGCTAGACAGACTTTTTTACCTCCTTCTCCATCAATTATAATTATCAAAAATTTGATGATATTTCACGCGAAAATGTTATGAATTGCAGCAAGTATTTGTTGAATTCTGGTTCGCAAATCACGCACATTGGACAATGTTACCAGAAAAAAGACTAATATTTGATTAAATGATGTGTATGAAAATCACCACAACCGCGGTATGCAAAAAGGAGCTGGACAATGAATCTGCAATATTCATGGGTATGGAGAGGACGAGCAAACAACGAATCTGCGATATCTATGGGTATGGAGAGTGAACCAAGGAACAACGAATCTGCGATATGTATCAGCACCATACGACCCACTAATCTTCAGCCATCCCATCAAGGTCGAGTAGCGCGAGTGCATCTTGATGTTCACTGGCCAGATGATCATTGCCCTTGCGTTTCAAGGCCCTTCCAGTAGTGTCAGTATCTGAGTTGAAACAACACCATGTACACTAGCGAAACGTACTGTACGGCTTCGTAAATATCAGCCATCATGCAGTGAAATTTCGTAGGAGCGTCCTTCTTCAACTTCTCGAGGAACTTGACGTGAAAAACATAAGTTTCACTGAATTGATTACCTGTAAAGTTGAATTTGCCTGGGGAACCAAGCGTCTTCCAGAAAAGGGCTGCATAGACATTGAAAATGAGTTAGAGCAGCATGAAGACCTAGCAAGAAGAACATTACTGCCATTGCCACGAGTGCCAACAAAGGAATTGGTATTTTGGGGCGATTACCCTTGTTACTCGCTATTTCACCAAAGCGCCCCGCATACTTGATGCCGATGGACTTCACACCATTGAAGACTCTGTCATATAGTAGAAAAATGAGTAGGTCACCCTGGCCCTGGTAGGGTTTTTTTCTGATGGGCGAAGCATCATCATTGGTCTATGGAAGAGGGATGTTGGTTAGACCGAAGCGAAGGAGTGGTGGTGATATGTAGAAGGGAATATGATAAAGAAACCTGCTCCTGAGTGTGAAGCAAAGGAGCAGCAGTGGAATGAACAAGGATGGGACTCACATCGAACTTCAAGGCATACACATATGCATGCTGCTTCATAAGCTTTCTGGCCTTGACTATGTTCTGGCCGAGACGGAAGTAGCCATCAATATTGGCACATGCAGTCATTTTCAAGTCACGGCGCAATAATGGAATGCATGGCTCAACCTCAAGTAATGAAAAATAGTTGAAAAAAAAACAGAATATTTGAGACATGCAAAGAACTTACTAAGCTACTGAGGTGAGCGGCATACTGCACATCTGTCCAAAGACGTTGTTTGATGGCGGGTACATCAAGATTCTGGGCCACAGTTAGTAAAGATTGTAGTGAGATCTGGTTTTTGTCAACAAGTTCTGGGTAAGCATTGATAAAGATAATGTGACACTTGGCGTCAAGAATTGCATTCCGGACTACTCGCTGAGTCTGGTAGTTCTGGTCAAGTGTTACGACTTGGATGGTATCTGTTGGTGACGCTCAAACAGAGCGTGTGTCGTCAATGGTCGAGGACGTCCTTGGGCTAGCCCAAGGTTAGGGGTCTTACTTGGCGAGGCTTTGGCAAGTAAGATTTGACGCCTATGTCCAAATCGGGTAGCTTACGTCAAGTGGGTGCTAGATGATGAGCTGTATCTGCCAAGGCTTACGACACCTGAAGGTTAATCATAAGATTGTTGTTAATTAGAAGGACAGAAGTCCGACTAGTTAACAGGGGCTTTGCTCGTCGATGAAGTCGATGAGTAAAGATCGAGACTATAGGCTTATCCGCGAAGAGCAGATAAGAAGATAGAATATAGACTGCTGGCTAGGCAGAAAGGATCACTCTGGTGAGAGTAGGAGGTCAAGAACCAAGTAGATTCAAGTTAGGGAATATAGTACATGGTAGCGAGTTTATATAGAGGACAGGAAGCGTATTAGTGGGTGATAACTCGTACTACCAAGAGAGGTAACTGGTAAAGGAGATAACCATAAAAGGAAGGCACATTCGAGGTGAGACACGAGTGAATCCTGAACATGCAGATAAGAAGGTAAGTCAAAAGTCAGAATAAGAAGTGAAATGCACAGGGGCACGATCGTGCATCTGCGGAGCTAAGTATAAGTCGCATGTGCGGCTGTGCACCGAGTCAGAGATCAAGAAAGGGAAAAGGGCAAAGGGGATGCGTCGTGCATCATATCATAGGTTACCGTCCGGAGCATGGGTATGATTCGTCAGCGGAAGGATCCGGCCAGATGTACTGGCTCTGCTGAAGCGACAGATAGAGAGCGAAAGGGAATGTGAGGATGACAAGGATGACCAGGGTGAGGTCGGGGTAAGGGTATGATGCAAGGGCTGATACGAGGAGGATTAGGAGAAAAATGGTAGGGGCCCAAGCATCTAGATGTTCTTGTAACATCAAGTAATTTGAAGAGCAGCGATTGTCTGAGCTGAATGAGTTGCAGAGGTCAGTTTTTTGGGACCATTGAATTCACTGGAGTAAGGTTCCGAGGGTTCGCTGCCCGCAGTAGTAGTTTCCTCGGACTCTGAGACAGCATTGTCGACATCGCGCCAGGTAGGAATCTAGTAGATTGTGTCAAGTCTAGACTAGACAGTGCATTTTTGAATAAGAACAGACTCACCTCCGCAGCGTGTTTTTGATCCCGGGCAGACTGTGATTTCCTGTGCATTTGAACAACCTGCTTGGGCTTCATGTTGTCAGTGACTAGCGAAGGGATCTTGTGTCATTGTGACAGCGTGAGTCACTGCTTAAGTAAACTATTATCACTTACCTCATCAGCAAGCATCATGGCGGTAGTCTCTGGTTCGTCGTGCTCACTCTCCTCATCCATATCACCACCATTCGCCATGACAGGGCAGTCCACCTGATCACTGTCGGAGTCGAGCTCGTCAGTATCAACTAATACGGAGACATCTTGCATGGCATATGTGCAACGGAGTTTGTTAGGTCAATACAAGCCTGTGCACCTATGCCATGAGTAAGACTTCCTTTTGCAATACTTAGCTTATAACTAACCTTGAGGCTTTGGTTTTACAGGTTCCAAGTCCGCCTCACTGCCACTAGACTCGAGGTGACCCCCATCCTCCTCCTCTTCCTCCAAGTTGGTCTCCAATGAGTGTTGATGTTCTGTGATTCAAGTCAGTACTAATTTCGTACTATAGATTCATTGATGTACTCAGTTTTGCAGGTCACAGTGCATTTGCTTTTGTGCGCAGCACATCCTCTGATCAAAGGTGAGTACTATTTGGTTCATGTAGGCATTGAAAAATTCACTGTTGGTACTCAGGCTGCTCATCTTCTTTGCTTGGCATTCCAGACCAGGGGGCACTTGAGGTGCTTGATGAGCTTTCTTTGTTGGCTTAGGCAACCAAACTGAACTTGCTCGTAGGTGAAATTTTTCTCATTCAAATTGAAGACACTTGCTTACCAGCATTTTCTATAGCTTTTTTCTTCGCATTTCGCGGCTCGCGGGAATTAACAGGTGCAGACATGGTATACTTGATTGAAAGGACAGGAAGCTAACAAATAATGTTAGAGGGAATGGTGACACGAAAGAGTGGGGAGGGAAATGAAAAGTTTGAGGGCGCTGGGTGCTGCTGAATTTTTATTGCATTTCAGGGGGCATCAGAGGCAGTCCAACTTAGTAACGGGCCCACATGGGGCCCTTAACTTTGGTGAGTATTTCGTCGAGTGAAGCTGTGGGTTCAATTTAACATTTACCTCAGACCAGGCAGTTCGCGCTTCAAGTTTGTCACTCCCATTCCCTCCACGAGAATTCGGGAGGAAGTTTGCGCTTTTTGGCGCCTAGGAACCACCTGCCACAAGTATTCGGGAGGAATTTTTCATCTGTCATTACGGAACCACCTGCCACCAGTCTTTGAGGTTCATGTTTCGTGTTGTTTGAGCGGGAGGGAGTACAAGACAAACTTGAGTGGAATTGCAATCGCTATGTTAAGTTTGTACAAGGGTGAGATTATGGTAGGATGTAGGGAAGGTTTCGGGTGAAGGCGCGTAGCGCCTCCCAGCCACGAAGAGACTCTGCCTAAGGAAAGAAAGTGAGCTGCTATCCCAAATTCTAGGAGTTCGACGACACATGCAGCGAACATCGTGAAGATCCCATTTTTTAGGAGGAGAGAGTGATACTCACTGATGATGGGTGAAAGGATGATTCAATGGACAGGAGGCAGGGTATATCGTAGGAATTCCTCGTGCAGTGCAGGAGTGGCTTGCATGTATGGCGCTAGGATCTGTGCGTGTCGACGGAGGTAAGCGAGGAAGGCGTCGCTTGCCCACCTTCCTTTGACCTTGATGATGTCAAAAGGGACATTATGGAGTAGATACTCGAGTGTTCCACCAACGCGGATCCCGTGGCCTTGCAATGGCTTGTGACCTGCTGCTCTGGTTGCAGTAGCGAGTCTTTTGAGGAAGTTTGATTTTGTCAAAGGCCGGTGCAAGTTCTTGTGACGGTACGCAAATAGCGCGCTGTCAGGTGGGGGATCGTTGATGCGCAAGTGGTTCTGCAGTGCTTCTTCTGGATCTGAAGGGCTGTCTTGTCTGGCCCATGAGACGTCTTTGCCGTTGATTGATGTCTTGGTGCAGGGAAGGTGGAAATTAGTCATTTTCAGACCCTGGCGATCTTGGGCCTCTTGGATGTCAGAAGGTTTGACATGGATTGCGGGATCAAAAGCGTCGAGACGACAGATGGTGAATTCTCTGACGCGGGCACAAGTGAAGAAAATGGTGGTTAGACAGGCAAAAACAGCAGCGTCGAGGGGATCAGTTGAGGCTGAGTTATTCTTTGATGGCGGTTATTAGGGTGATGGTGTATGGGTCGTGTTTGGCCTTCTTCGAGGTGGGTGGAGTGAGGGAGATGGCAGCTTTGAATAAGGAATCAATCTCTACATCACCACCAAGTGTTCATGGGATGCCGTGTACAATATGCCATGCACGTACACCCTGAACATAGTTTGACACTGTTTTCCCAGAATAATGGCCTGCCATCTTGGTGATGAACAATGAAATGAGGACACTGACTTGCAGGGAGCGCACTGATTCTTGGGGATTGACTTGCTGTCGCAGAAGACGTGGAAGACGAGGAGTCCTGAACCATAGGATTCGCGAGTGCTTTCAGCAAAGGCATGCAATATGACTTCGCTGAATCCGTTCGATTTCGACTTGAGTTACTGGGAGATGCCTTCCATGCGAGTCTTTTGGTGTGTGTGGGGATGTGGGAATCCACAAGTAGAGTCTGTCTTTAGCTGAGCACTGGGGTCTGAGTGCCGAAGGTAGAGGTGCAAGGTCAGGATTATAGGCTGTATTGGATTGAATGTTGAACTCTGGTGAGGAGGATTCATGTACATACTAGTCTTTCGCCGCTTTGAAACATTCTTCTCCGCGCCTTTCGAGCTCTCGATTGAGGTGGGCGCGACACTGGGTTTCTGCTGGGAGTCGTTCTTTGCCCATTGGGAGAACCTGTTTGTGTGATGCCCTTGGATGGCGCGTTTTTGAGTGAACGAGGTTTTCGGAGACATTTGCGATGAAGGGGTGGAGCTCATGGGGGATAGCGATTGGAGGGAGCATTTAATCTGCGGGGGGATATACACCGTGTGAGGGGTTGTCTGCGGGATTGTCTTTGCTTGGGACATATCTCGTGAGTACCGTGCAGCCAGCGTCACTGGTGGCACGATGCACACGTTTGAAGACTTCATTGCATGCCTTGTTCCTACTGTGGCCTGTCCACCAACCTTCCACGACTCCCCGATTGTCTCCGTAAACCTTGAAATAAATGCCAGGGGTTACAGAACTGGATGATTGTGAGGATGAGGAGTTCGAAACCGACACTCTCTGCCCAGCCAATGTCTTGTCCATCCTTTTTCCAACCTGGGATGAGCTCCCAAGTGCGCCATCTCCTGTTGATGAGAATGCTGATCCCATAGCCAGAGCTAGCATCCAAGTAGGCGTGAAATTCATGGACAAGGCAGAAGCCGGGTACGGGACGAGACAGCTGTGGAGAATTGAGGGTCTTCTTCCACCAGCTGAGGTCTGCTTGGGTGTCACAGGGGAGGGGTGCGAGGAAGAAAAGGGCAGGTCTTTAAATATTCCCAGCATGCACTCGAGGTTGGTGAGGTAGGCCCGGCCTGACGGAATGATAAGGGCTGCATGCAAAAGTTTGCCGTACAATTTCTGAACTTCGGGAAGCGTGTGTGTACATCATGTTTGCCACGTTTCGATAGTTGCCAGGTACTTTGCAATCTTTTCTGGGGAAAGGGTGATGCGCAGCTCTGGGATGTCCCATAAGAGACCCGTGAAGGTGGGTGTTGGACTAAATGGTTTGTCCTTCAAGGTCTCCCATATGATGCCCAGAGGAGTGGACTTGCAGTCAATGTCTGCCATGCAGCATGTGAATTGCATGTCTTCAGCTGAGCAAGGTGAGGAGGCCGAGAAATCTCTGATCAGGAAGGCGCAATCTTCGTCGAATTCTTCTGTTGAGTCATCGGGTAGCGATTGGCCCTTGTACCATTTTCGTCTGCCTTTGATGATAGCTCTGCCATTGGACGCAATTTGGCTGGCCCAGAGGGCTCATTTCTGGTTGTATTCTTCCAGGGATTCTCGTCTGATTCGGAAAAAGATGTGGTCGTCCACCCATTTGGACAGAGGACCAAGGCCTGTAGCTCGCAGGATGTTGGCACCTGCGTCAGCGACATTTCCATAAGTGCCAGCTGATGGTCCGAATCCAAAGCAAAAGGCAGTGTCCACTGCAAAGGAGTCTTTGCCTGGAAGGCGGATCGTGAGGCCTGGCCACTGCGAGTGGTGTGTGGGGACAGTCCTATAAGCTTCAGCGACATCACGAATGGCTGCCTGGGAGCCTGGAGGTAGAGCTCGGATGTAACAGCAAATGGTTGCAAAGGTGCCATACGTGCAGGGGAATAAATCAGAGTCGACTCTTGAGTTGATTGATCCGACTGTGGGGGTGGGGGATGCTGGGTGTGATAGATTCTGAATGATCCAGAACTTTCCCGGCTTACCTGGCTTGGGGATGATGGATAAGGGAGCAGTTTGGAACGGCCCAATGATCCCTTCAAGAGTTTCTGCTGAGAATGGTCCAATGAAGCGGCCCTTGGAGAATTCGTTATTAATGATGCTTTTAAAAGCTTCGGCATGTACAATGACAGATTGATTATTGGCGGGTGTGTATGTACGTGTGATAGTGGGGATGCCCCCAGAAAAACCAGTTTCGAGGCACAGTGGGATATGCGGGTATTTACATGTGAGGTTGAATTCTTCCAGCGCCAGGCGCCAGGCTTTAGGGTGGTATGGGGTAAGGGCTCTAAGTTTTCTTGCCTTGAGGGCAAGACTGGGCTCCATGGTCTTTGTCGCCACATCCGGAGCAAATGTGTGCGGAGTTGTGGTTGTCTGCAAGGCAACTTCCGGGTCTCTGCCATCTGTAACAGAGTGGGAGACCATTTGCACTGATGATCCTGTCCGTCTTGGGCTCGGCGTGAATGGGCAGGGGTGGTTTTGTCCCACAAGTTGTGTGAGTCGCAGCATTGGATGTCATGCGAGAAATGGCCAAGGCAAATGGCGCAGGTGGAATGGCTGCGGGAACCTGTGCCACAGGAAAAACCCTTGTTGCATTGTTTGCCTTTGTCAGGCAATGGGGATCTGTCGGCTCTCTTTGGGTTGCTTCCACACATTGGGGAGTGGGAACGAGATTGACGGCGATGAGGTTCAAATGAATCTCTATAACTGGCCCTTCGGTGATGACCGAGGCGTTGGGATGACGGAGGTTCAGAGCTGGGTAACTGGTGGGCGTGATGCCAGAGTAGGTGAAAACATCCACGTGAGAATGAAGGCGGGCATCCACATGAGAGTACATGCAGGCATCCGTGTGAGAGGTGCAGGCATCTGCGTGAGACGGGATGCAGGCATCCACAAGAAATATAAGTGGGCATCTGCACGTCAAGGTGCGGGGATAGAAAGATTCGGATTTTGGTGGTGGTGGCGAGAGGGAGAGAGAGGGGAATATATATGCAAGGCTGGTTAGTTATTGTTGCAGTGTAGTAGCAAGGGAAAAATTACTGCACAGTATTCAAGGATCTGGAGCGAACTCGGTCCCAAATCTCTTCATTAATGGTGCGGAGGAGGGTTTCATTGATGATTCCGATGTTGAAAGCTTCATCGCATTTGAGTTGGTCATGCCACTCCTGGCGAACGCGTGATGCATAGTGCAGGATTACTATGTCGCCTATTTCGCTGTTGTTTCGGATGGCATGGTTCTCAAGGTGCCAGAAAAATATGGCAAGGGCGTCAAGGTTTGCTTGAGGCCATTTAGCAGTGCTTGCTTGCATAAGAAACAAGTTCTTCGCTCGAAGGAAAGTGGAGAAGGATAGCTCATGGTCTGGGAGCGCTGCTTTGGAGGCCTTGGAGGCAGAGGTCGGGTGGATGGTTAGATGATCAGTCGAGTTTGGTTAGGCTGAAGGTATTGTCTGCGATGGAACACGACATCTTCATGGCTTCTTTGCAGCCATTGGGGGAGAAGTACCATAGTTCTATATATTCAAAATTGTTTAGTTTTTGGATGGCGTATTGGGAGGGACACGGCGCTATGGCATTGCCGATAGTGGATGCTACATTGAAACCATTCATCTTGGGCTTCTTCTTCTCTGATTCGAGGTGCTCGTTCTCTTCCTCGACTTGCCTTGCTAGGTGTTCTTCCTCTTCTCTAGCTGCATGCACTAATCGCATCTCTTCTTCTTCTTGTGCTTCTTCATCCTGGCATCTATTCCATTCTGCGACTCTCGTGTCGTGGCCTGCCATCCAGGTCTCAACCAGTCTGTCGATGATTTGTTGGGGTTCAGCGTTGGTTGCCTGCAGCGAGATCTGCGCAGATTGCATCGTAGAATTCACCGGCAAAATCAGGGCATACTTCCAATGATGGGTCGGCCATGGAGTGAGTAAGTTGAAAGGAACTGAGTGTATTTCGTAGGGTATGACTTTGTGTAGATATTGACTCTTTAAAGAAAGAGAAGAAAAGAAAATGCTGTATCGACGAATTGCCAAGGGCATTGGATGTCGTCGCAGCAGAGAAGGAAGAGGTGTGAACGTCACGTTTACCATTCGCTCATAGACTTAGCTCTATTTCCTCCGCTTGTACCTCGCTACGTAATAGAGAAACAAAATTTGGGAGGAAGTTTTCGCTTCCCAGCACTAGGAGCCACCTGCCATTCCCTCCACAAGAATTTGGGAGGAAGTTTCCAGTGTTAGGAACCAATTCGGGAGGAAGTTTTCGCCTTTCGTCCTCTCAGTTCACTCCTACCAGAATTCAGGAGGAAGTCATGTCCACACAATGCCCTGCTTGTTACCGTGATAATCTTACGGTTACGGGTCTCAGTCAGCACCTTGCAAAGAGCCGCAACCCACATTGTCAAGCACTGTACCATCAGTCGCAACGCCAACGATCCTTACTATGAGCCTAATACTAATGGAGGATATGGTTAGGATGACTTGGAGTTTGCACGGGCTGATGATTCGGAGTTTGTGTGGGAGCAAACTAGTGGTCACGACGATGCAGACGATGATGCGTCAGATGATGGGTTGAATGCCAAACCTGAATGGGAGCCTCCGGTTGAAGCAGTTGAAGAGGACAACAGCAGTAGCATGGACGACCCTGGTCAAGACTTGGCCAAAGAAGACCTGGCCGAAGATCAATACAATACTCACCAGGATATTCAAGCACGTGTGCAAGGGCTGCGTGGCTGCATGGTCATGCCTTACCCAGATCCGCATGCTGGCGAACAAATAGCTAATCGAGCCAACCATCATGCTGCAAACGTGGAATACGGGGCTCATTTTGCCAATGTGGAGCAGGAGAATTTGTACCATCCTTTCACTTCTAAGATGGATTGGGAGGTCGCCAGATGGGCGAAACTTCGCGGAGTCAGTTTGACGGCTTTTTCAGACTTGCTCGCAATCGAGGGGGTAGGGTTATTATTTGTTTTATGAAGTCTTAATTAACAGTGAATATCACAGGTCAGCGAACATTTGTCACTCTCCTTCAAGAATGCGAATGAGTTGAACGCACTTGTCAGCCATGAGCTTCCGAGTAGCCGCTTCAAGCGAGAGCAGATCATCGTCGCCAGTGAAGCCTTTGACATATATTATTGCGATGTGATCGAATGTGTCAGGTCACTGTATGGTGATCCCGATTTTGCAAGATATCTTGCATTTGCCCCCGAGCGGCATTATTCTGACAAGGATAAAACAGTTTGTCTCTTTCATGATATGCATACAGGAAAATGGTGGTGGGATACACAGGTACAGAGGGCTGATTATGACTATGTGATATCTACTTACAATACTTTAGAAAAAGCTGGATCAGCACAGTCCAGGTGGCACCATCATTCCCATCATTATCTCATCCAACAAAACGCAAGTGACCTTGTTCTGCAACAAGTCCATCTATCCCGTCTATCTCACCATTGGCAACATCCCTAAAGAAATCTGATGCAAACCATCACGTGGCGCACATATACTCCTGGCATATTTGCCGTGTACATGCCTTGAACACATCACCAATAAAGCATTGCATCGCCGAACTCTGGCAAACCTATATCATGCGTGTTTGAACCATGTTCTCGCTCCGCTAAAGTCAGTTGGTTTTGATGGACTTCATATGGCTAGTGGGGATGGCGCTCTCCGCCGTTGCCATCTATTATTTGCTAGCTTTGTTGGTGACTACCCTGAACAGCTCCTTGCCACCAGAATCAAGTTTGGAGAGTGTCCAAAATGCGATGTCGATGCTGCTGAAACAGGTAGCAATACTGCACTATTTCATTTATGGAGGTACTCGATGCCCTTGCTACTCCCAATGAAGGGAATTTATCTTTCATTTGTGCTTGCTCGGTAGCAGGCATCAAGCCCATTGTTCATCCTTTCTGGGAAGATCTCCCGTTTGCCAACATTTTCTGTGCGATCACACCAGACGTATTACACCAACTATATCAAGGCTTGATTAAGCACCTCTTAGGATGGCTGTCGGCTGCTTGTGGAGCTGTCAAAATAGATGCTCATTGTCGGCGTCTTCCTCCCAACCATAATATCCATCTGTTTAGGAAGGGCATCACTAGCCTGTCACATATAAGCGGTGCTGAACATGCACAAATCTGCCACTTTCTCCTTGGTATCGTGATTGGTATCTGATTGCCCAATAATATAAATGCAGGTCGACTTCTACGAGCCGTGTGGGGTCTACTCAATTTCCTCTATCTTGCACAATATCCTTGTCATAGCTCAGAGACCCTGCAGCTGCTGGACGACGCGCTCGATCTTTTTCACAACAATAAGGACATTTTCGTCGAGCTGGGTATCCGAAACAATTTCAATCTACCAAAACTGCATGCAATGCGCCACTACACTCTCATGATAATGATGTTGGGTACGACGGATAATTATAATACAGAGTACACCAAACGACTTCATATTGATTATGCCAAGGACCCTTACTGTGCTACAAACCATAAAGATGAATTTTTGCAGATGACACGCTGGCTCGAACGAAAGGAGAAGGTTCTGCGCTATGAGAAGTACATCAACTGGCGACTTGCTGGCAATCACAAGTCTGAGCCCTACCACTCATGTCCTCCTGATATGTCTTTCCGTCGGCTTCAGACGATGACAAAGCACCCTAGTGCAAAGGCCATCAATATAGACAAGCTGATTGAAGACTACGGCGCTACTTATTTCCACGAAGCACTTGCACGCTATATCACACAACTCAGCCACGCTAATGATCCATGCCTCTCTAGTCAAACACTGGATGTGTTGGCACATGACGTCCATCTCCCGTTCCGAAGTCTTCCAGTTTTCCACAAGATTAAGTGGCTCTCGGTGGATACTCGTGATCACGGCGACACAACAGTCACATTGGACTCTGTGCATGCCAGACCACAACAGAGCTCAGGTTCTTCTCCATTGGCTTGTCGGTCAGATACAGCTCTTGTGAGTCTCGGTCCGAATACTGATATTGTTAGCGCTGGTATACAAGGTATGTTTCACCACCACTATTTACGTTACGAATTACTTACCGTCGACTGAGTCTAGGTTTCCGTGTTGGCCAAGTACGAGTCATTTTTGCATTACCACCAAAGTCACTTCTGCTCCTTGTGCCGCCAACAGTCCAGGTACCCAAACACTTAGCTTACATCGAGTGGTTTACACCATTCTCTTCAGCTCCCGATCGACGCCACGGACTTTATGAGCTCTCGCGATCGTTCCGTGGTGGTGAAAAATTGGCAAGTATTGTGCCATTGGCAAACATTGTGCGTAGTGTCCATCTGATACCAAGTTTTGGTGCTGTCGTCCCACGAGAATGGACGAGTGATACGGTTCTAGATGATTGTAACGATTTTTGGTTGAATTCGTATTTAGATAGATACACTTTTTGTATATTCAAGTAATTCTTGATATTTGCATCCCACATTATCGTCTTCTAGCAATTTTATTCCTAATTCTTGTAATTATCTAGAATTATCTGAATTATAACATTTTTTCCCCGGGAGGGTTTTCCTGATGTAGCTGGTGCAACACATCCGGTGTGATCACACGGAAAATATTGGTGAATGGGAGATCTTCCCAGAAAGGATGGACAATGGGCTTAATACCTGCAGCTGAGCAAGCACGAACAAAGGATAGATTCCCATCATCAAGAGCAGCGAGGGCATCAAGCACCTTGCTCATTTTCTGTAGATGAAATGGTGCTGTGTTGCTACCTGTTTTATCAGCATCAACATCACATTTTGGACATTCTCCGAACTTGATCCCAGTAGCAAGGAGCTGCTCTGGGTAGTCACCGACAAAGCTAGCAAATAATAGATGGCAACGGCGGAGAGCGCCATCCACGCTAGCCATACGAAGTCCATCAAGTCCAACAGATTTCAGTGGAGTGAGTACACAGTGTAAGCAAGCATGATATAAGTTTGCCATAGTTCGGCGGCACAGCGAAGCTTTGTTGGTAATATGTTCAAGTCATGTGCATGGCAAATATGCCAGAAGGATATGACCACCGCATGAAGGCTTGCGTTGAATTTCTTTTGGGATGTTGCCAATAGTGAGATAGACAGGATAAGCAGCCTTGTTGCGGAACAAGGTTAATTGTGTTTTGTCGGACGAGATAATGATGGGAATGATGGTGCCGCCCGGACTGTGCTGATCAAGTTTTTTCTAAAGTATCGTCACGTAAGTATAATATCCTGTAGACATAATTCAGTCCTACATACCTGTGTATCCCACCACCATTTGCCTGTATGCATATCATGAAAGAGCCGAACTGTCTTATCCTCATTAGCATAATGCCGCTCAGGGACAAAAGCCAGATATCTGGCGAAGTCAGGATCACTATACAGTGACCTGACACATTTGATCACGTTGCGGTAATAGACATCAAATGCTTTGCCGGCGACAATGATCTGTTCCCTTTTGAACTTTGGGCGGCCAGTTGGAAGTTCATGGTCAATGAGTGAATCCAGCTCATTCGCATTTTTGAAGGACAGCGACAAGCATTCACAGACCTATAACACATTAATTACAGATGTTCGTAGAATAAATGATATCCTTACACCTTCAATTGCAAGCAAGTCTGACAATGCCGTCGAACTAAGTCCACAAAGTTTGGCCCATCTTGCAACTTCCCAATCCATCCTCGAAGTGAAAGGATGATACAGATTCTCCTGCTCTGCGTTGAATCGAGCCCCATATTCCATGTTTGCAGCATGACAGTTGGCTGCTTGATTGGTTATTTGTTGGCCAGCACGTGGATCTGGGTAGGGTACGATGACACAACCATGTTGACCTTGCACATGTAATTGAATATCCTGGCAGCAAGTACTATTGCATTGATCGTCCTCATCCTCGTCCTCGTCCACCGGAGGCTCCTCTTCAACTGGAGGCTCCCCTTCAACCGGAGGCTCCCATTCTGCTTCAAAATTCAGCTCATCATCATCCACGGTGGACACATCCGAGTCATCATCATCTGCATAACTACCACTGGTTTGCTCTGCAGCCCACACAAACTCATCCTTGCCATAACCTCCATCCATTTCAAACTCTTCCAACTTGTTATGATATGGATCGTTCGGCTCCATTTGTGTGTATATTTGGGAGCATGACTGATGGTAAAGTGCTTGACAAAGTGGATTGCGGCTCTTTGCGAGATGCTGACTGAGACCGGTGACTGTGAAATCATCATGGGAACAAGCAGGACATTGCGTCGACATTGTGTGGTGGGTGAATGCAGGTAGGGAAGCAGAGATTGCCAGTGCTCACTGTGCAAATGTCCTCCCGAGTTCTGGCATTACGATCAATGTTATACCTATTTTCCTAGGGTGAGTCTGAGGTAAAATTTAAATTGAACCCATGCTCACGACAAACACTTCCGAAAACGACTGCCCTGGAATGCAATGCACCGCCATGTACTAATAAATTGAATGAAGTTGAATAGCACCCTCCAAATTTTCAATCTCCTGCCCACTCTTTCGTGTTAACATTCCTTCCAATGATCTGTGTTAGCTTCCTGTCCTTTCAAAATAGTATACCATGTCCGCACGTATTTCAACTTGCGAGCCACGAAAATGCGAAGAAGAAAGCTTTAGAAAACTGCTAGTAAGGAAGCACTTCCACTTTGAATGAGATTGAAATATAATGCTTACCTGTGAGTTCAGTTTGGATACCTAAGACGTCAAGGAAAGTTCGTCAAGCTGGGCCAGCACTTGAGCACCAAGCAAAAAAGGTCATCAGTACCAACAGTAACATTTTTTTATTCATGCATGAATCAAATACTCACCTTTGATCAGAGGATGTGCCACGCACTACAATGTGCACTACAAAAATGGTCCCTTTGCCTTCCAAACTAAGTGGTAAGTGTCAGTGTTCAGTTTTGAACGACTCAGAGGATGTGCCATGCACTACAAAAGTGGCCCCATTGCCTTCCAAACTATATGGTAAGCATCAGCGTTCAGTTTCGAATGACTCGGAGGATGATAGAGAGGAGGATGGAGGTGATTCTGACGCCATTGAGTCGGACTTAGAACTTGAACCTGCGAAACCTCAAGGTTAGTGATAGTAGGCTAGATAACACAAAAGGATGTCTTACTCATGGCATACGTGCACAGGCTTGTATCGACCTAACAAACTCCGTCGCACATATGCCATGCAGGATGTTACTGCATTATTTGATGATGATGAGCTCGACTCCGATGGTGAGCAGGTGGAAATCGCCAATGGTGATGATTCAGATGCTGGGCGTGAGGAGAGTGACAACGAGGAACCAGAGACCATGGCCATGATGCTCTCTGATGAGGTTAGTGATACTTGTTTACTTAGTAAGCAAGGCACTGATCCGGTTGAAGGTCCCTTCCATTGTCGCCGACAAGGTCAAGTCCGATGTTCGATCATGTGGAAAATCCCAGTCTGCCCGGGACCAAAAACACACTGCAGAGGTGAGCCCTGGTCATTTAGACTTGACTGACATAATCCCTCACCCACAAACACTCCAATTTAGATTCCAACATGGCGCGATGTCGACAATGCTGTTTCAGAGTCTGTAGACGAAACTAGTACAACATGTGGCAATTCCTCAGAACCCTACTCCAGTGATTTGGAAGGCGCCCCCAAACCTACCTCCGCAGCTCGTTCAGCTCAGAATGTCGCTTCTCTCATTCAAACGGAGAAGGGTAATATCAAATTACTTGATCAAAACCACGAAACTCGTCAAGTCATTCGGAATGTGATTATTGATGCCAAGTGTCACATTGTCTTCATCAATGCTTATCCTGAACTTGTTGATAAAAACCAGATCTCGTTGCAATCTTTGTTGAAGGTGGCTCAGGATCTTGGCATACATGCCATCAAACAATGTCTTCAAAAAGATGTGCAGTATGCTTCTCACCTTGCTAGCTTGGTAAGTCCTTTGCACATCTCAAATATATTGTCTAACTATCTTGAACTATTGAGGTCGAGCTGCGCATTCCCTTATTGTGCTGTGACTTGAAAATGGCCGCATGTGCCAACATCAATAGCTACTTTTGTCTCAGCCAGAACATAGTCAAGGCAAAAAAACTTATGGAGAAGCATGCTTATGTATATGCCTTGAGGTTTGATGTTAGTTCCATCCTTATTCATTCTTATCATATTCCCCTCTACATATCACCGCTATCTGTCCATTTCTTCCCTTCTACATATCACTGCTGTGAGTTCTTATCATATTCCCTTCTAACATATTGCCGCTGCTCCCTAACATCCATTTCTTTATCATATTCCCTTCTACATATCACCACTTCAGTCTGCTGCTCCATCCTCTATCATATTCCCTTCTACATATCACCACTTCAGTCCTCTGCTCTCTAGTATCATATTCCCTTCTACATATCACCGCTTCAGTCCTCTGCTCTCTAGTATCATATTCCCTTCTACATATCACCGCTTCAGTCCTCTGCTCTCTATCATATTCCCTTCTACATATCACCGCTTCAGTCCGCTGCTCCATCCTCTATCATATTCCCTTCTACATATCACCGCTTCAGTCCACTGCTCCATCCTCTATCATATTCCCTTCTACATATTACCGCTGCTCAGTTACCTCAGTCATTCAACTTACATCCCTCTTCAACAGGCCAATGACGATGCATCACCCATAGGGAAAAAGCCCTACCAGGGTGACCTACTGATCTTTCTCTTATGTGACGGAGTCTTCATTGGAGCAAAGTCTATTGGTGTCAAGTTCACTGAGTGCTTCATCGAAATCAGTCGTAACAAGGCCAATCGCCCAGAAATACCAATTTCAATACTAGCACTCGTGGCAACAGCGGTAATATCCTTATTTCTAGGTATTCATCTTATACTGACTAGTTCTCAAGGTGTATGCATTCTGGAAGACACTCGGTTCACCAGGAAAGTTCAACTTTACTGGGAATCAATTCAGTGAAACATATATTTTTCACATCAAGTTCCTCAAGAACTTAAAGAAGGACGCACCTGGGAAGTTTCACTGCATGATGGCCGACATTTATGAAGCTGTACAGTAAGTTTCACTGGTGTGCATGGTGCCACAATACTGACACTGCTACAAGGGTCTTGAAACGAAAGGGGAACGATCATATGGTCAGTGAGCATCAAGATGCACTGGCGCTACTTGACCTCGATGGAATGGCTGAGGATTAGGTCGAAGGGCGCTGATATATACCCATAAATATTACTGATTCATTGATCTCTCCTGTTTGCATGTCCTGGTTGTGTTGACTTTTATACGCGTCTTTTAATCAAATATTAGTCTTTTTCTTGTAATGCTGTCTGATATACATGATTTTCAAACCTAAGTTTGATATATACTTCCTGCAATTATCTGCAATTCACGATGATTTTACGCGAAATATCAACTAATTTTGATAATTATAAATCATGGAGGAGGAGGTAAAAAAGTCTTCCTAGGAAACATATTTTTCCTAGTCGTCCTAAAGCTCATAAATTGAAATAATACTCCAGATTTATCGAAAATTATCGTGATCTATTAGAAATTCAGGAGGGACAGATTCCCTGATGGTCTTACACATCTACAGTACTGTTGTGGAGGAGCTTTATCATAGCCCTGAGGGAATTGAACTCGTATTCTATAAGGGACCGTACTGGACAAATTGTTTTTTTCGCTTTGCAAAAAATGTCTTTGATTTCTGTGTGACTACGATATTTTGATCTTGACCCGGATGTTGAGCTTGACTTTGATGTTTTGACTTCAACTTCGAGCCTGACCCTCGGCAAGTGCCGACAGTCCACATCGCCGACCTCGAGCTGGTAGACTGGAAGGACAAGATGGTATGATTGGGGTATGTCATGATAAGTATTCAAGTGCACTAATGATTGTACGACCAGCAATGTCTATGAATGTGCGTGAGGGCATGTATATGTGAATGATACAAACATGTATGTAGAGAGTTCTTATTAGTAATTCAAGTTCTGACTGACGCTGCTGCCTACCAAAACGCTACCAGTCAGGTCAAAATGCGCGGTAACACTGCTTCTCCCTCCCCATTCACAAGGTCCTCCCAGTCCGTCTTCCACGGAAATTGTGAGGGTCAAGTGCGACGCGCTTTGTGATGGATCAGCCACAGTGACGTTGCCCGTATCTATGCGGTAGATGAAGGCAGCATGAGCACTTGATTCAATCTTCATGGGACCGTAAACCTCGTCAGTGAATATGAACGAACCGCCCGCTGCGTCCCAGAAGACACCAAAGACAGTGTAGTGATCTTCATCCAAAAGAGCGCTCACAGAGGCATCGTTCTGAATCTCCGTCAAGTGAGTAGATGCGCGTTTGAGAGCGAATGTACCGTAGTCAACTGCAGGGTATATAGCATAGGAGATGGGGGCGCTGAGGTCCTTGTGGTGCAACCAAGCAGTGAACAATTCGACTGTTTCTTGACCAGAAAATACACCCGTGCTGGACCAGTTACCTGTCTTGTTGCTCCATTCTAGGGACAGATCATACGTTCCATTGACTCCTCGGAACTCGTACCCGACATCACCATGCCACAATGTGTGGGTGTCTGTGAAGTTCCCCCCGAAAGTGCTAATATCATTGACAAACACGTCAGGCCCGCTGAAACGTCTTTGGTCAATAACAGAAAACACAGGTGCATCTGTCTTTGAGGAGATGTTGGCGATCATCACGTATTGAACGTCGTCCTCGAGGAAGAACCATGTCTTTTGCCACGACAAGGACTCGGTCATGGGATTGGTATAGCGCATTGCTGCGACGCCGACTTGTCCGTCACTGACACCACCAACAAATGCTTCCTTTCCGATATATTTGGTGTGTTGGCAGTCGAGGACCGTGGCATCGTAGTCGACGGTGATACCTGGGATGAGATTCCAGTCCCAAACAGCGGCTATGTCTTCGTACTCGTCGCCTTGGAGGTATGTATAGACAACGCCGTCGGCAAGATGGAAACCAAGAAGCTGCGTGGGATAAGTGAGATGATTCTGATGAAGGAAGAGGACTTACGTTCTGTGAGTTCGCACATTCTGTATTCTTGGTTCTTGTTGAGTACATCTTGAGAGACGTAACATAGCCAGAACCCCGAGTAACCTAGGAGTTTTTGAATGTAATTTTGAGGTGCATGTTCTGGTTGGCCTACCATATAATCATTCTTATGAAACATACGGTTTCCAAGCAATCCTCCCACGTTTGCATGGGTTGTATTCGACAAAAGGCTCTTCGCAAAGTTAACGAGAACGTCCGAATTCCAATTCTCACCAAGTTCTTCCACCTTCGAGAGGTTTGTTAGGATACCAGAACTTGCTCTACGTCAAAGGAGGTCAACGCGGTTGGACTGCATCGAAAGGTGACTACCTACTGCCCAGCGGCCACCGGTGAGCTTATGAAGCGACCCACTGAGCTCTGCATGTATCCATTAGAGATGATTAGCAGTAATTGTGGCTGAGACTTGCAAGATCCCAGTGTAAAACCTTAAAATAACCATTCAGCTTTTTACTAGGGCAGGAAATCCATGCACTAACCTGTGTTCCGACATTAAGATTTATCATCCATCGGTTTCCGTCGACCAATGTCTCGAGGGCTGCCCTTGCCTTACTCTCAGCCGTGAATGAAGTCCCGGCTGCCGCAGTCTCGAAAACGAGAACATCATTAGTGCTATGCAGCAAACTCAAAACATGTACACGAAACAAAAGAAAATATGTGCGTACAAGTCCTTCCCGTAGTTTCCGTTATAAAGCAACCCGAGGTGCTGACTGAAGGAGCCGTCCGATTGGATCTATCAAAAATACTCGTTCAGAAATTGAGAATACCAGGACTTCAGGGATCCAAACCCCATCAACTGCTGTGCTAATGTTTTCCTGTATGACGATGATATCATGGACTCTCCTGTACGCGTCCGAGAGCAAAGAAACATTGGTAACGAGAAGACCTTGATCCAGACCGATCTGAGCCATGTCCAAGATATTTGCTCCAGCCTCAAAGCTGTATCCGTGATCGAACGTGCCATACGCACGTAGGGATATATTGCTACAGTTATTTAATTGTGTATATGTCAAGGTGTCATTGAGGAGAAGACATGACTCTGCAACGAGACCGGGGATGAGGATGACCTGTGGCAATATTATCAGGCCTTGGGAAGCTGGAATCAAATTTTAGGCGCACGTTGGCATACCAGTTCGTGTTCCAGTAACCAGGTGTGCCGCAAGGACAGCTGTCGGTGCCTCCTTCAACAAGACAGCCGACGTTCGTAAAGTCATTATTAAACCAGTAGTCCATGGCGTTGCCTATGGCAGTGAATAACGTCGAACTGTTGACGTATTGATCGTAGCCTAGGAGTCCCCCATGCCAAGCAGCAGCTATCGTACCTGTGGAGAAGCACATGTACACTGAGTGAGAATCTCATGGTGTTGAGTGTCGGGCAACTGACTGATGCGAACCCAATGAACTGAAGCTGGCCAGCTTGCATTGCGAGAACCACAGCCAGCTGTATAGTCGATGTCAGAGTCCGGCCATTTACCATCGCCCTGAAGATCTGCGAGCCTGAAACGGGGTTGACTTTAGCGTAGTCGGGCAGCTTGTCGAGAGCAACGAACCAAGATGATATATTACTCGGGTCGCCTGTGATGCTGTCAATGATTGTATCCAATCTTCGAGAGTGGATGATGGCGATGTCTCGTAAAGCGCTTGAATTTGGTGCTTGGGTTGGATTGCTAGCAGGTGCACTCGTGATAGACGTGAAAGAACTCGTAAATTGAACACCTGGGGCAAAAGCGAGAGAAGCCGAAGGTGTAGTGACCGCTGGAGATCCCGATGCCGATGTTCCGCTGCTACTGGATGCTTGAGAAGTAGAAGACTCGGGTGCATAACTTCGTTTCCACCATTAAACACCACTGAAAGAAGATCCAGCACTTGACTGACCTCGCTGCCTTTGGAGGCTGACCGAATTGCCTTGGCTCTCCTAGATGACGGGCTACATGTCGATGAAAGGGCCCAGGAAGGCCAGGAAGGCCATGAAGCCCTTCTGCTTCCACAAGATTTGCTACACACAGCAGGGAAATGTAAACGAATGAACGAAAGACCACCATGGCCGTCCACGCGCAGAGACTCGCTCTGCTTCTGCTGTCGTAACATCGAGCCCAAACATCTTACTTTATACTTGCGAGTTCTATAGCGCAGTGAATCAAATGCGTAAATCGACCTACTAAGATCAAGATGCATAACTTCTTTTGGAATTATGGCCCGGGTGCAAGCGTACACATCAGTTTCCACCAATCTGAGCGTTCAGTACTCAGCATTAACGTAATGGCTGTAATTACGAAGCTCAGAAGTCAGCACGTAATTCGTCGTTTAGTTGCTTTTGGGAAAAGAATACGTTCACCGTATGTCCAATGATAGGAGGAATATGCAGACAGGTGTGGCTATAAAGGTCACTCATTTGGACATCGATAAGCGGTGGCTAGCGATATGAAGCCCGCCTTAGACCATTCCGGTAGCTTGTCGTAAAATCACGTCTTATGTCGCATCCTTAACTTGTAAAGTTTGGGAAAGCTGCTACTTAACTGCAAGTAAAGGGCTACTCGTGGTGAGTTCATGGTGGTGGTTTTGGGCCATCAGAGTTGCCCCCGCCCTGACCCATAGAGTCCAGCAACGCTTCCATATCCATCAAATTCATATCTGGGGGTCGATGGAAGAAGGTAGGGTCGAAGTTGGCAAGATCAAGAGTAGACAAATCGAAATTGCCGTCCCCACCCGGAGGCTGGTGACTTGTCCCATCTGATTGAGAAGTGGCGAAACTTGCGAGAATCGCACTGGGGGAAGGTGCCACATTTCCAGGGTGAGCACTCTGGACGCCAAGCGTGGAATGCTGTCCAGATTGCAGTCCATTAGAATCTGATGGTCCAAACACGTCATTGCCGTGGTTGCTGTTATCCACTGCTGATAGTGTGCCAAGCATTTCCATGTCAAGACCGCCTTCTTGGGACTCTTTTGCGGGGTTTGAAGCTCCAGAATCAGGGATGATGGGGGAGAATATGCCTTCTACCCCACTGTTCTCTCCCGAACCCGTTTCAGTTCCATCTCCAAAAAGGTCTGTCATGGTTGACATTTCCATGTCGATGGAGTCAAGATCGAGCTCAATTGGCTTGTCTGCTGAATTTCCTAAGGACGCATCGATAGGAGGCAGGGGGGAATCATCGTCGACAGTTAAGTCAATGTCAACGTGTTGCGAAGAACCTGCAGTTGCAGACGCAAATGCAGCCATGAGGTCTAACTCCGTTTGAGCTGAAGGACGAGCTGATTTGGGCGCAAGGGATACCGGAGAAGGTAAACTCTGAGAAAATAAAGCGGCTTCTTCTGCGGACATTCGGAGGGAGGATGAAGAAAGGTCTAGTTTGAGAGGGAATGGGGGGCGGTGTAAGGATGATAGGGAAATGGTTGATCCGCGGCGACTGGGATTCGCAAGACCTTGGGGAGGAGATGCTTGAGCGGGAAGAGCTGGTGGACCCATGACGACATCTGTGTTGACCTCCAGTGGAGGTAAAGGAACTTTGCGTGTGGTTGGAGACTCTGATGTGGATTTAGAACGAGTGCGAGTAGCGATTGCGGCATTCTCGGCTTCGCGAGCACGACGCTGCTCACGAGCTAGGTCTCGTTCTAGCACAGCAATCGCTCGAAGCTTTCGACATTATTGGAAGACGCACCACGATTTGGAGAATGTGGTAACTCACCAAACGCGATTCCATCGCATCATAAAGTTGATCGAATTTTTCGACCTCACGTCCGAGGGAATCCGTCAAAGAACGTGGTGGATATGGAGCATATTTGTTAATACCACTACCGATAGTTAGTACACTGATAGTCGAATATTATTAAGCTACGCACAGTCTTCGGGAATCGGCATGAAAGGAATAAATTTGACCAGTTTTTACCACTGCGTTCTGTCAAAAGGATTTGAGATAGTGTTTGATAGTAACAATTTTAAAGGTTTAAACTTACTTTTAAGCAATCCATGAGTGCATTCATCTCAGGCTCGAGGATAGCCATGGCTTTGAGTGGTACGGGTGGAGGAGGCATGGCAGAGTCTGATGATGGAGCGTCCTTTGACTGTGGTGACTTGACCTGGGAAGATGCGCTCTTAGGCGCCTTTACAGCTTTACGTGGTTTTTGTTTTGGCGGCATGAAGCGCCCTGTGCTATTTCTGATTCTGAAGGGCTAGTGAAACGGGTCAAAGATATGTTACACCCAATTTGGAAAGTCTGCCTAGTGGCAAGTCCTCCGACACCCGACTCATCACAGCGCTCTCATTGACCTTACATACTTACAGGATATGCCACATATTGTTCATGATATAGCGCAAACGACGAGCTCAAACAACGTCCTTGTCGAACTTGAGGTACGTTCATAGATATTTCTTACCCTTGTTCCCTAAACGTCACACAACCAGGAATGCTCCCAAAGACGTTTGCGTCACATAAGTTCTATTCAAGTTCGCAATCTAACACCTTTTCCCGTCCGAGATGCATTTGCTTCGGCTCTCGCTCGCCCAGCTGAACACTCTCAATTTACGCCTCTGGGAAACCTCTCTGACGACCTTGATATAACACTTTCACGAAAACGTTCACGGCGGATCTCCACAAACTCTGTCAATACCCTTCAAAGTGCTCGCTTAGATGATCATGCTTTAATATTGGAAAATGGCGATGAGAGAGGTCGTCGGAGAGCCCAATCTAAGGTAAATTTCTCAGGAGGGAGCGTAGAGCCCACGCAAAGGAGCAGCACCATCTCCCGCACCATTTCAACCAGTGCCACCGCACCTACGATAAAACCAAGTAATCGAGCACGCACCAATTCCGTGGTCTCGTACCTCAGTGTATCCACGACCAATATTAATGCCCCCTCCTCGACCTTCGAATACCGAGCCCCCTTCGACCTTGTCCACCGGTTTATCTTCCTCATTATTCTTCGATTATTCGCAGAGAACCTTGGAGAAAGTTGTCCAATCCCGCCTCGTGGAGACCTTCATTACAATCACTGTTCCGGACACTCCGGATGTTTTTCCGTTCCCGTCTTCATCGTCCACCATGCAACGAACTCGCGCTGAAAGTGCTCCACGCGCACGCTCTTCTACCTGCAATGAACTCATCCTTCCTAATTCGGTGACAAGTGCGCGAAAAGTCTCAAAATTATCACGGCCGAACAGCGTGGAGACCTCTAAGGCTATACCGTTATCTCGACCAGAACCTTCCTCCTCAATCCGCTCTCCCACCTCCCTCATAAAAGGTACGCCGCCAGTCAGAACAGCAGGAGCGTCCCTTGCGCCACGCATGGTTCCTAAAACACATAAGTCCTCAGCTTCTGTTCCACGCAGCTTCACAGCGAACCAACTCCCATCACCTCCAGCTTCCCCACCGTCTCCAGAACCACCTTTGCTTCGTACCGTGCCGAATTATATATCACCTATCCACCGGCCCTCGACGAATCCTTCTTTCGTGATCGAGGCACAGTCAGAATTCGACTTTGCACCTTGGACAGATTTGTGTGCCGATACGGTGAAGATTGAGCTATGGGCGAAGACTTGTCGGCATCCTACCGGTGGAGCTCCACTGGAGGGCAAAGGAAAGCAAAAGGAGATGGTGACTGATCCCACTAGAGAAGGACCCAAATGGACTGTCCTAGAGCAATGGAATGTCAACCTTGCAGACCTTGTCCCATTGAAACCTGAGGTATGCGTAATTGAACTGTTTACTCATAGATTATAATTACACCATCAGCTCGAGGCCCATCCGCCACGCCTCCCATCCAATACCCTTTTCATAACATTTTCTACTTGCACAGAAACATTCTACTTGCCAACTCGTTCAGTCTCGAGAGTCCATTCGCACTCACGCTCTCCTTCTCCGACTGCGTACAACTCTGAACCAGAGACAGGAATTCGGAAGTTCGGAAACTCTACCGACCAGGCTACACCAGCACACTTTCATATCACTCAGACGCCTTCTGAACAGCCTAACAGATCGCGCAGATCACGCAGGACAAATGCTAGAACTGCGAGTTCGCAAGATTTACTTCAGTCAGTGTAACTTATGATGGAAATATTATGCTTCTTTTAACATCGCCGTTTAGGCTCGTTACGCTCCAGTCAAGCATCGTCGACCACGAGGAGTCGCTTGCGGATGTGATGCGGCAAATAGATACAACATTGAACAATGATGTTTTCGCGATATTGGTACGTGCATGATGATCGGATTATTTCCCGCGAACAGTTCTAAATGAGATCCAATAGAACCGGGAGGCTTCGGAACGTGAAGCGCGTATCGACGATCGACAATCTGAAGCGAAAGAGATCTTGGAACGGGCATGTCTGTGTGAGACCCTTACGCTTGCCGATATGTATCCCGTGCTTATTACTTTATAGTACGCGGAGATATTGCTTCTCGCCGAAAGAGGCTAGAACAGCGGAGAGACTTACTTGCGACTGCCGAGTCGATGCATAGAGAAGACCAGGCCGACCTACGGCAGACTGCTGTGGAAGTTGCAGAGCAGAAGTTTGTCCTCCTCCGTATTAACGATAGTAGAAGCTGATTAGCAAATTTATAGGCGGTGTCTTGATGCCCTTCGGGCGCGTCTTTTGGTCATACGAACGTCGTTGATCTCAACGCTATCATGGTTATATCCTATTGAATTGTTCTCTTCCTCGGAGCTACTCTTTACGATTCTCACCGTTCCGTTGCCTATTCCGTTCAACTCTACAGAGCCTGCCCCACCATTGTCGCTAGCCTCCCACAAGGAAGTGACTGAAGATGCTGTAGCCACCGCGCTAGGTTTTGCTGCACAGCTAGTACAGCTCCTTGCCATCTATATGGGCAAAGGCCTCACGTATCCTATCACCTGTATAGGGAGTCGGAGTTTGATCCGAGATGACATCTCGGCCATGGTTGGTCCAAGAATGTAAACTTAACGCCTCGTGCATTACATTTCTATCAGCTGACCAGATGCATTAGGTTTCCTTTATTCTCGAAGGGCGTTGACACATATCGATTCGAGTATGGCGTGTTCCTGCTCAACAAGGATATCGAAATGGTAAGTTCGATTGTGGGCCATGTCCGTTGATATCTGACTCTGCCAATGGTGGCAGCTCATGGCAGATCGCGATTTACGAGCGCTGGATATGCGACATACGCTACCTAATTTGAAAAACTTGCTCCTGACCCTTACTGATGGTGAATGTGCAAGCGTTCAGTGAGTCAAGGCTTGCAACTTGTTCTCACTACCTGATCTGTTTAATAAAGCAATTCTCGAGTTTTTGATTCGCCGGCTTCTTCTGGCCTTGCAACACCCCTACGGGTGAACTCGCTGCCTCCTACCCTAGTGCTTACGCCAGACAGTCCAAAAGCTAATCATAGTTTGCACGAGTTACCTGCGGATGTTGAGGCCGAGAGCACTACCCCATCCGAGAGCGGCTCGACTACGCCCACGGCAACTACATCATTAACTGAGGGTAGTACCTTCTCTCGGTATTCGAAACTATCAATTGGCTTCCCGCCCCTGCCGGGATTTTTACGTTCACGAAACGGTTCTGCTGTCGGTCGGGCGTCGGTGAAACTGGACCCTGAGACCGGCTGTGAGGCGCAAGATGGAGTCCCGGGTGCAACAACAGGGTTACCGGCTCCGAATTTGAGGATGGGGGAGGACGAGGATCGGCGAACTATCCGGGGTTTTGTGATGGATTGCGAGGAAGGTAAGAATGTTAAGCCAGGAGAGGTTAGCATTAGTGAAGGGGCAAAGGAGCCGATGGAGAAAGCTATGGGTGATGCTTCTGCGGCTGCGGCCTGCACTGTTGTTTCGCGTGCTTCGTGATATTAGGGCCTTATGTAGATGGGCCGCGACGTGTTTATATGAATCTTAATGAAAGCGAACTTTTGCAGGACAGATTTCGTTTTGCGAAGCGCGCTGTTTTCAAAAGTTTGACTGACAGCGGACGCTGGACCGAGTTCCGCAAAACAACCGCGGGCGGCAAGCAAGGTTATGAGCTTCTGTTAGTTTATACAACGGCAGAGCCGGTATAAGTTACGTTTAGTCTAGCAAAAGTGCATATTTCGATCGTCGTGAAGGGTCCAACCTGGGTTAATGAAAGAGAATGGAAGTCGAAAGTTCTAGTATCGAGACTGGAACCAAAAAGCACTGAAGCATGTCTAGTACAAGTATATGTGTATGAATGAATGAATGAATGAATGAATTGAAGAAGATTTGTTTTGAAAGGACTCTTGAATAACTTTTGGAGGATCGGCGATTACGGAAGATTGGGTTGTCAGTATCGTAAGTCCTCCCTGAACTCGCGGTTCCAGCGGACTTTTAAAAAAACGGGGTCCTTCCGGGATTTTTGCTCTGCTAATTCACCCACGCCGGCTAGCGAAGTGCCTTAAATACGCTGCTCATAACTACTCAAATCCAAACGTTCTCCCTTTCGAGTTTCAGTCGTTAAAAACTGGAGAATTGAAAAAAAGGTGTGTCTCTCCACCTTGCACGACGTTCCACTTGTTCTCTGACATTTCAATCATTCAGCCCACTAAGCAGCTTTGTACCATCAATCCTAATAGACAGGCTCAAAATTGGCTTGCAGGTCGGTACTTACGACGCGCTTTACTTTTATTAGGTTGGTCTGACTCACATCCTCCGTTCAGGATCTTTGTGTGCAATTAGGCTTATTTTCTAATCCCTCGTCGCTTTCCTCGATCTGTTTTCTGTCGTTCACACCTTTGGAAGAAAAGCTGTCAACCTCTTTTGTTATTCGCAATGATTACCGCTGAAAACCCTAATTCTTCTACCGATAATCGTTCCTCAGATGGGAGAAAGCAGAGTCCTCCTGCTTTCCTCGATCTCGCAGACTCGGTAAGTCTGTTTTTCTTCATTCTACCGTCTCACTTTTCACAATACGTCATCGTTTCTCTAGGCTGCGAGACTGGGTACTAACATGCCTGATATGTCGGCTGTGAGTCTTATTCATAGTCCCCACCCTTCGTTTTTCCTTTTAATTGACCTTCCGTTCCGAAGCGGATTGAGCTGAAGCGCTTGGAGCACGAGCGTCAAAGGTTATTGCAACGGAAAATGTTCGAGGATCAAATGCGCGCACTCGAGCAACAGCAGGCGCAGGAGTTGCTTAGCATTCCTTATGATCCGACTGCTTCAGCCCATCTCGCAGTCTCGGCGCCCACTACCCCTCCAAGAGTGAATGCGGTTTTGAACAGTGACAATCTTGTTAGGGCGGCTCTCTCCCACTCTTCTGTGGACGCGGAGACGCTTTCCAAGGCTGTTGGTTCCGCCGTTGCGGACAAACGAAAGTCGGTCACTTACGCACCTTCTGTTCATCGATCCCCAGAGCTTGGGTCTAGTCATGGAATGAATGGTCACTATGGACGAACTGCTGGAGCTAAAAGCATGCCAGCCAGTCGTCGCACTTCAGCTAGCAGTCACGACGACGAACTTGCTAGTCATTTGCAAGGTATCTCCTTAGTTGGAGAGCGTCCATCTCGAGCGACACCTAGCCCTAGCGCCGTGGTACATTCACTTTTGACACGCGGGAGATACAGTGAGGAGGAGCGCTCTCGCGGCCAACAGTATAATGTGGGAATGATGCTCGATGAGCAATTGGATCAGGAAATGCACAGTAAGTAATATCTACGCCTGCTTTACCCTTCTCATATTTTCTAGACGCAATGAGGCATCTTCCAACTTCTGACGAGGACAAATTTGCATCCTATGCCAACAGGGTACTTAATCTGCGTTCTGTGTTGCTCTAAACTGACACCCAAACGCAAGATTACTACTTCGTCTGCTGCTCTGGATCTCGCTCATCGTTCCCAGACATCCCCACGTAATTCATTCTCTGCAAGAGGTGACAAGCACTCTGAGTGGCCTCAATTCTCCAACAACCCACGCGTACCCGACGGCTTGAGCTCCCGTAACGATCGCCGCACCGTTACCAACCCAACTTTGACGCTGACATCTTCGCCTATTGATTTGTCTACTACCGCCACCCTTGGCGGTGGCGCTGCGACTGCACATGCAGGTCAACATCCGCAAGCGTCCCTCGGTTCAACTGCGCAAGTACCTGGATCCAGACGGGGCTCCCCTGCCATGAGCACGACACGCTCAGTGCCAGCAACGCCTTTGTCTATGGCGAACGGTGGCAACGGGCATCTTCTGCAGACTCCTGGCACTCCCCATACTCCAGATTCTCAGGCTTTGAGCGGACGACTTTCTTCGCAAGGTAGTTATCCGATAATCGAGGACTCCGGCAAGAGTGACATCCAACCATCTCTCTCTCGCATGTCATCCAGTCAGTACGACAATGTTTCAATGGGTTTCGAACAATACGGCGTCGAAGATGTTTATGGGTTGAACGGTCAGATGGACAGCGGTCGGTTTAATTCGTATGACCTGGACTCGAGTACCCGGTCTGGTAATAGCGTCAATGGTGCGAGTGGCTCGACCGCCCTTTACCACCACAACGGGACGCGATATGGACTGCACATTGGTCGTGCTAATGGCGCTGATGGCAAGATGAACGGTTTACACGGTCCAAAGCACAAGAGGGGTGATATGGACAGTAAGGCTTTTTTTCATCTTAAGCTAGTTGTGTTTTACTAATCTTTTATGCAGTGAACCGTTTTGCTGGCACACGCCTAGAAGATCTTCAGGGCGAGATACCCACACTTTGCAAAGACCAGCACGGTTGCCGCTACCTGCAAAAGAAGCTGGAGGAAGGTGTTCCTGAACATAGGGACATGATTTTCCGCGAAACATTCGGTCACTTTGCGGACCTCATGACTGATCCCTTTGGCAACTACCTGTGCCAAAAGCTTCTCGAGTTCTCCACAGATGATCAACGAAACGTCATTTGCGAGTCTGTCGCTCAGGATCTCGTTAACATTTCGTTGAACATGCACGGTACGCGGGCAGTGCAGAAGATGATTGATTTCTTGTCCACCAGACGTCAGGCAAGTCGCTTTTAGCGGATTTTTATCTTCCAGACTTACAGTAGAATGCAGACTGATCATAGATACAACACTCAGATTCATTCTATTATTCTTGCGCTCAGCCTTCATGTTGTTGTGCTCATCAAGGATCTCAATGGAAACCACGTTATTCAAAAATGTCTTAACAAGCTTGCACCAGAAGATAACCAGGTGAGGAGTATGGTGGTTTTGCACCGTAGCGTTGGGAAACTGATTTTGGTTTGGCAGTTCATATACAACGCAGTCGCTGCCAACTGCGTAGAGGTCGCTACCCACCGTCACGGATGCTGCGTGCTGCAGCGCTGCATCGATCATGCTTCGGATCACCAGCGCGTCCAGCTTGTGAATGAAATAACTTACAACGCGCTGACGCTCGTTCAAGACCCTTACGGCAACTATGTTGGTGCCCCATTGCTCATCCGTCTAAATGCCTGACAATTACGTTACCAGGTTGTGCAATATATCTTGGATCTTAACGACAATCGTTTTAGCGACGCTGTTATTCGGCAATTCACAGGAAACGTTTGTGCACTTTCCGTCCAGAAGTTCAGCTCCAATGTCATTGAGAAAGTGAGTATCCTTTTCGTCTTGATGATCATTCTCATGCCAACTGGGACTAGTGCATCCGTGTTGCCGAACATAGTACCAGGAAAATTTTGATCGAAGAGCTACTCAACCGCTCCCGCTTGGAGAAGCTTCTTCGCGACTCGTATGGCAACTATTGCGTGCAGGTACTATTTTTCTTTCGCGCATTTGTAGTTTGGGCTGGACATTCTTGTAGACCGCGTTGGACTATGCCGAGCCTGCACAGCGTATGCTCCTCGTCGAAGGGATTCGACCAGTTCTTCCTTTAATTCGCAACACACCTTACGGCAAGCGGATTCAAAACAAGTTGCAGCGGGAACAGGCCAACGCTGAGAACTTCGGATACCATGCTCCTCAGGGCATGATACCTATGGGCAACCAAGGTCACCATGGTGGCAACTCCGGTCATCATGGTCACGGTCATCACTCCGCAGGGGCCCGGCACATCCCTCAAGGAATACACCCTTCTAGCGTGGCTGATGTATATGCCCAGGGAGGCTTGTATGGCATGCAAGGTCAAGGCTCCTATGCACACTCTCACCTTGGCCCCCAGATGCATGGCATCCAGGCGCGTTCGATCGACGGATATGTCTTACAAGGCACTTCTCCTCATAGCGCGAGTCTGACACCCCCTCATACCCACGCCTCTGGCTACACGGGCGTTGCTGGATATGCTAACGTGAGCCCTTTTGGCACGGTTGGTGTTGCTGGGTCATTGAATGATCCTTATCAGAGCTATGGTTATGGTATGTAGAGCGAACGGGCACATTACATGTTGCTTTGGACGTTTCTGCTCTTTCGTTCTTTGCGCACCTGCGCAGTCACTCTTTTAATGGTTTCAATGTATATTCTATGTCCTTACGTTCGACGCTCAATACCTCACAAGCACGTCGGCTCGATCTCACTATCTTCCAGGAGATTTTTCAATCATGAGCAAGGGCCGACTTTTATCATACCACTGCGCATTTGTACTTCCGCACCGGCATATTCCAAACCCCATTGCTATTAGTTGCTTTCTGATACATCTTTCTTATCTGCCACACCCCATTTGTATAGCCCTAATCTTCCCGTCATCTAAAGCAATGTCTGTTTAATGGTTAAACCGTCGCAGCACTACCTTCTGTACTTATTGTCCAATCTATGACGTCGTGTTCCGGGTTTTATGCTCAAAATGACAGTCCGAGCATTCAAACGAGATTCTTGTGCGACCCTCATAGCACTGAACTACTCAATGCAGCAATGATGGTTCAAACCAGTAAGATGACCCATTTATTTGCTACAACAAGCATCGAACCTGCACCCCTGGTACGTGGTAATGTTTTCGCATTGGATGGTAGGTGCATTTCATGCTAGTCTTGTTGGCATATTATCATAGTGGCATACAAGACGGCCGAATGATCAAGTGTGACGAGAGAATGATGATATAAGATGAAGGTGCACGACTGGATACATTTCACCGGTTCTATTCGTTGAACATGAGCTACTGCAACACGCTCGAACGCCATGACACCCACCTTGACGAAACCGATAGCAGCTGACTTTTCACGGAAGCATTGACGGCACAAGTCAAGGCCGTACTTGCGGATGAGACCAGCCTGGTGCGCACAGAGGCGGCTATGCATCCCCAAACCATCGCTAAACGACTCATGATAGCAGACGATGGCTGCGCGACTCACCACTGGCGGGAACCCTTTCCGTACTTTCTAGGACGAGAGAACCAAACGGCGTCGTGGGTCATTTTTGATTATTTGCTTGAGGCTAAAATGAAGGTTGGACTGCGTAGCGACAAGGCGTAGGATTTGGCTTACCTTGCCGGGCTGTTGCTTGCGTTGAAGGCGTTTGCCAATCCAGAAACCACCCACCATGGCAGAGTTGCCGTGTTTGGAAGAACTGTACAGTGGCTGAGATAAGGTTCAGTGTCTCAGGTGAGGTGGCGCTTTTGATGGTTTGAGTAGACGCCCTGATATCGCCCGCCTAGCTCAATCGGATAGAGCGTCAGACTCTTACTGCTAGGCTGTTGTGATCTGAAGGCTGCGAGTTCGACCCTCGCGGTGGGCTATGCTTTTTGTGTACGGTGGTGCGCTCGAACTGAGTAGCACTAGCGCTAGGTTAGTGTAGTCATCATGGTCAGAATGTGATTCTGATGCCGACACTATCCTTGTGCAACTAGCTAGTTTCTTGAAGCCGCATCCTGCAACTTGTCAATGGAGGTGTCCGATTGTCACGGTAGCTAATGTAGCATTATGCTTATTTGAGTCCGAGTCAGTTCAAACGGTCACCCTATTCAACCACGCGCATGCCCTGACTGGTGCCAGGCACAATGAATCCCACTCCCATATGGTACAATCCTCCCCACTTTGGCCCACCCTTGCTCACTGTGTGCAACTAGTGGCACACGCCACGACGACGCTAAACACACAACCAAGCACGATGCGAGACAGCTTCAACTGATTGGTACGAATTACGGCCATTGGTATCACTCGATTAAACAGCACATATATACAGAGTGTTGCAAGCATATATTTCAAACAGGCACACCGTGTTCTTCAGAAGATTGGTTCCTCACTTGCCGAGTCGGGTGGATGCATTTCATGGAGTGCACAAACCACGATATCTTTATCCATATATCAACCGGAAAAGTTAGCGATGCAGTCGCATCAGGTAGCTGGGGTACGCACTAGTGGAAAATGGCCTGGACACCCCACGCCAGCTCATTTCTATACAGAACCTTCCGCTCTGGTGTAACTTCTTCTTCTTTGCATATCCCCTCTTCCTCCCTCTCTAATATATATGCAAGCGCACGGTCGTCTCCGCTTCACGGGTCCCAACCTGGATCACCGATATGAGGGAGGAGAATGACGAGTTTGTCTAGTACGACTACTACAGCATCTTCTGCACTTACTATTACGCCGAGTCTGTTCACGAGGGGCCAACGTCCGCTTACTCCACCCACTGCACCCCAACTAGACCCAGACTTCCCCCCCACCCTCCCAAAGCTATTCTTCAGATCCGCAAAGACAGAATGGGTGTAAGCGACGCATTTCAGTATATCGTGGTGCGCGTAGTGAAGTGGGAGGATGAAGAGGCTCTAGAGGCGGGGACGTCTCATGTGAGGGATGAAAGTGAGTTAGATTGGGGATGGGAAGAGGAAGGGGAATGCCTCGGGGGTGTGTTGTGGGAAATAGTGGTGGATGCGCTGTGGGCGGGCGACCGAGTGTGTAGTATTTCACTTTTCTTTATTTCGTTCGTTCATTACATGCGTTGACCGGTATTCCGGGCATCCTCACCGGTACGATCGCTTGCAGCTAAGTGCCCCACTTTCCTTGTCCACCAATGACCATCGTCCAGGTCGCCTTCCACAACACGTCAGTCTCAGGAATCATTCAAAATGGGATGCGCTATACCGCCCGCCTAGCTCAATCGGATAGAGCGTCAGACTCTTACTGCTAGGCGATTGTGATCTGAAGGCTGCGAGTTCGACCCTCGCGGTGGGCTATGGTTTTGCTTTTCAGACTGACATGTCATTTAGCAATTTGTTGAAATTCATGCGTCAAGTCATCAAAATTCATTGGCCTAACCATCACATTTTAGTGTTTTGTCTACCCACAGTCATATACCATTGTCAGCATCACCCATAGTCACTCTGTCAATGAAATCTATGGTATTAGCCAATGAATACATTGGTACATTCAGTGTCACACATTGAGGATCATGAGTTCAGCGCTCAAACCACTGGAATTCATTGTTTCTACTTCCCAGTGTCAAGCTACAGTAATAATAGATCTATACAGTCCCCGTTAATAAATACTTATCCAGCCTCTTCCGTAGAGGATGTCCGTCGCGTACACCAGTAACGCGCATTGCGTTTGCAAGTTCTGTCACAAGTCTCCTCCTCTCCTCCACATCCACATCCACATCTTGCTTTTCTAGGAGCTCCCTGACAGCTCTCGAAAGGCGCCCTTTTGGTAAATTGGGAGCGTTCCCTTTATGTGCCCCTGCCTTCCTCCTTTTATTCCCTTTCAATTTGGGGATAGCCAGCAAAGGTTCCAGAAATTCTGTTCTAAACCGTCGAAGCGCCAGCGCAGACAGTGGTACAACACGGTCAAGCGGACTTGCCGCCTCCGCGCACGACTCAGCGTGCGCAAGCTGCTCGCTCGTCCCTCTTTCATCCCACCCCCATTTCTTCAATTCCTCCGTCCGCCTCTCCTTCAACTTATTCGTGATCTTCTCTTTTGTGTCCCCGTCCTGTATAGCCTTCGCAACAGCATCAAAGATATCATTCAGAGTGAGCCAGCCTCTGTCTTCGTCGACGGCGCGTTTCACATAGTGTCGGTTCACATAATTGAGGAGACGGTTCACGGAGTGTGCGCCAGCGGCGTAGCGGTTGAAACACGGGACGATGTAATGGATCAGAGATGAATCGTCCTCGGGAGCACCGAGTAACAGTTCCCGAGCGACTTCCGCATAGTACTTGTCGATATGCTCATACAAATCCGTTCCGCTTGGCGTAAGTCTTTCCCGCTCCTTGTTAGTGCTGACAGCTTCAACTTGCATAGTGAAATAGTTGTAAGTTGCTGTGTGTATCCCCATGTGATATGAAATGTCTATGACGGGCGCCTTTTCAGTTGAGTTTGTCGGCGAGCGGACGATGTGATTTAGTGCTGGGAGTAAATATCCCCAGAGGGAGGATAGAGATGCAGAGGGGTTGGCGCTGCCTGCAGACGGATTAGGCATTGGCGGCAGGAGCACCATAGGCTCAACTTGCTTGCCTTTGCCTTTGGACATGGTCGCAGTGATCTAAAAACTTAAATGACACCCAGCTGTCAGCCGGGAGCCGCTCTGGCCTCTAGTGTCTGAAATCACGTGATTATATTCAAACTGCCTTGACGCGGCAGCGCTCAGGGCCATGGCATCGGGACAAGTCACAAAAAAACAAATAATGATTAACATGAACATTAGCTAGGTGGATGTACTGCCACGCACTATTCCATACTAGACGATGATGCGAACAGGCTGTTAACTTAATACATAGATGATGTGTGATATATCGGCAAATATACAAGTTGATAGCAAATATAGCGATGTACGTGAAACACCAGGGACGACCTGAACTAGACTACGCCCAAAACAATGGTGGCGCGAAGGCTGTTCAATCTTGGGGCTGGAACCGTAGGCTCGGCAGGTTGTCCGTCAGGGCCAACCTCTAGGTACTCAGTTCGCAAAGAGCTCGACTTCCAACCCCAGCTTTGACTGACTGAAAACACGTCCGGAACGCTCGTAAATCGCGTAATAGATGAACCAGTAGAGCTGGCACAAGAGATAGTGAAGTAAGCTGTAATAGCAGGCCGGGGATCGCGATATGGCTGCACTGGAGCAACGGCAGGCGATGTAGCCGGAATGGTGCTCGGTGAAGAGGTAAAGGACGTAGCAATGCCGGATGATGTCGGTGGGGATGAACTGGGCGTCGTGCTTCGTGATGGAGGATGGATGGAGGGGGAATAGTGCGTGGCTACAGAGGGTGAAGACTGCGAGGTAGAAAGTTGTGGTAATGATGGCACTCTGTTGTTGTGTGCGTGTCCTGTACGATTGAGTGACAATGGCGCCGAAGGGGCAGGAATAGGATCAATGTTCGATTGTCGGTGAAGATAGACTCCAAGCTGAATGCCCTTCTTCCGAATAACTTGCACGTATACGTTGAACAAGCTTCCTGCGTACCAAATCGTCTGTGAGTGCAGGCGGGACTTCTCCTTCAGTGCGTCAATATCCCAGAACTCCACTGCAAATCTAAATGGAGGGTAAGGTGACCACCGCACTTTACCCGTCGCGTCAGATGCTATACAGCCTATTGCGGTTTGTCGTTCTGACTTCAGACCAAAGAAATCAGCCTCAGTAGTTGTTGCACGAACAGGCGCCTTGTTGTCTGTGATCGGACTGGACAATGGTGGAGGTGACTCGAAGAGTTGGTCCATAGAAGTACCTTCGATGCTCCCACTATCGCCAATGCGTGTCGATGAATCGTGTCCAACAGGATGATATGATTTATCTACTGTGTTTGCTGAAGAGTTTGAAGCCGGCAATCGAGCAAGGATTTCGGCAGTCGTGATAGACAACCCGAGTTCCTTCTCTCGTGAAGGTGGAGGGCTCGAGGATGGGGACGAAGGAGAGGAGGAGTTTGGTTTGTTTGTAATTTGACATCGCAGTAATGACTGATCCCAATGAGCTTCCTGTAAAACAGAAAGCGGAACAAATGGACGACCCGTGGTAGGAGAGATATGCTGCGATATTGCAATGATATCGTCCACAAGCTTTAAAAGTCATTGTCAGATTTTGCCACAAAGATCGGTTAGAGGAAATATCTTTACTTACCAAATTGGCATAGTAGATGCCTTCACGGAACAACATTTCCCAGTCTTTCTCCTCCTCTTCATCAATACCCTGACGTCTCCTGAGCTCGACGATAGTGCAAGCCATATCGTAACGTTCCTTCTCCCCTTTCACAAACAACAGATCGGAGCCTAAAATATGTCGCACCCACTTCGAATTTAAGCCACCCCTTGCCCAGATGACGGGAGTCACATGCGGTTCTGGTACGGTAGGCTCATTGGAAGGTGAAGGTTTGGCAGGCATCGTATCGGCTCTCTTGCGCGACGACACATTTTGCGCAAAGACGGGAACTGGGGTGGCGGGGAGTGCTGGATTACGAGATGCCTTCTTTTCGTGGATAAGCATATCTGCGCCCCACCGGGCGATCCAGCATGCCGCGGCTTCGCCAATCTTGTCTGATAACAGTCCATAATGGAAATGAGGTTCGCGGATTGGCCCGTCATCCGGCTCAGATTCTACCTCATTAGATTCAGCAGGATCCTCTTTCTGTACATCTAGATCCAATAATTTATCGGACAAATCATCGGCAGGATCCTGCTTGACGCTCGATGTGCGCAAAGGAGAACGCGATGTAATAGATGCGCGACTTTCGGAGGTAACTAACTGTGCAATGTTCTCCAAGCCCACTGCTGCCTCAGCTTTTTGGTCAGGACCAGCTTCGATAGCTTTACCAATAGCAAAATTGAGGTAAGGAATAACGGTATACGGTCCGACTGTGTTCATGATGCAGTTGACGGCTTGCGAGGCCATGGAGGGTATGGAGAGGTAGACTGATGTGGCCAGAAGTGAGAGTAACAGTTGAGGGCTGGCGGTTTGATACCCCTCGGGTGTATCGAAAGGTAATGAAGGACTAGAAAAGGAAGGAGTGAGCGGTTGGGATGTTGTCGGGACGAGGGATGGTGGGACATATAGGGGTGGACCACCACCATATAGTCGTGCGATGCATATCCTGAAAATTATCAATCCAAGCTAACAAGGTTAGCGGTGAATAACCTACTCAAAAGCTAAAACGTCATCAGTGTGGAGCTATCGACATTGGGTCTGGAACACACCTGCACGAGTGATGTTGCGGTCATCGAAAGTTACGTTAATTTCCTCCGGTCCTTGTAGATGGCTACGTAGTTTAGGGGAGGACTCCAGGAAGCCTGACGTGAATAGCGAACTGAAGAACCCCTGCAAGTGCAACTTAGCAGGGAGGCGAGAAACGAGAGCTTTACGAACCGACTGTATGAGAATTACTCTGTGCAACTCGTAGATTGCCTCCCATGTACCATGGACATGTAAAGAGACATCTGCAGTGCGAGACTCTAATAAAGAGTTATAGATGTGTTGCTGCAAATCAATAGAGGAGAGCGCTGCAGCAGTATTCATAGGTGGGCTGCGGCTGCGTCTCAGTCTATGGGAGGAAGAATAAAGGTTTGGTAGAGAAGGAGAGATGTGCAATATACGAGACGAAGATGGAAAATCAGCCTCTGCTGCTGAAGTAGTTAGGAGTGGCATAATTATATTGGGAGGGTGCACTGATCCACTGCCAGGCAGGTTGCTGAGCTCACTTGGCAGACCCGCCAATTAGTAATTGATGTTATTGCAGCCGAAAACTGCAACTTAACCTCATTCCACCATGCAACAGCCTCATCCTCGTTTTTCTGTTCTATCCGGTTCTTCGCTCTCTTCTGCTGAACATCTTTCACCAACTGCAAGCTCAACACGTTTCTCTTTACCTTCTGCGACATCCATAAACGCCGCTCTTGGCACACCAAAACCAGGCCTCAGACCTAATATCTACGACAGGAACCTTAATAAAACACGGACATCAGAAGTTTCCGCTTCCGCTTTCGCCTTCCTTTTTTCTGAGGTCGTTCAATATACCCAGAAACGCGTAAGTGGAATCAATGATCTCGAACGGCGGTGAGTCCACCATGCACTTCAATCATGTTCCTCGAACAAACTTACGTGTGTCGATCAGATTGAACACCCTTGGTTATCGCGCGGGAACACGAGTCCTTGAACTCATGATCTGGCGGGCAGAGTCATCGTCCAAAGCCCCGAAACGAGAAATTCGTTTTCTACCTGCTCTCATGTCCATCCACACTCAGGTGTGGAGAGCAGTCTTTGGACGCCCTGCAGATGCAATAGAAAAGAGCGTTGAGAATGAAGATGAATGTATGATCACTCCATTCGTCTTATTGGACTGCTGAGCGATTTCCGTTTCAAGACATGATCATCGACAATGATCCTCCAATTGAACGTCATATATCTGTCCCTAAAGATATGAATCAACTCAGCTGTTCTTCATTCACTGCTGGGATCGTAGAAGCCGTCTTGGATGGACTAGGACTGGTAAGTATTCCATTCCCGGACAACCTTTGTACTGATATGCGCGCAAAGCCTGCACGAGTGACGGCTCATAATACCCCTACTCAACAATTTCCGTCGCGTACGACCATACTCATTAAACTTGACAAGTCTGTACTAGAAAGGGAAGAAATACTCAAGTGAACGTGTATAACAGTCTTCCCATGTTCCATCCTCTGATCACGAAGCACGATAAGTGTTGGTGTGTAACCAATCACTAGCAATACCTCATACTGAGAGACCTGCAATGATAGCTCATCAATTTCCGTGGATTGTATGCAGAATAAGTTGCTGCCCTTCATGGGCTCAGCTAGAGGAATATATTCAGGTCCATATCGTGACTCGAACTACCTCACAATCAGCAGAGTCCGAGAACATCATTCGTACTGGTTCCTCGGGCATTCAAACTCGCATGAACATCGTCAGAGATCGTCTCTAGGCTGTATCTTATTCAGCATCACGTTCAGGTCCGCTGGGGGCGATCGCCAACAAAATTATCGTTCCAACATCGCTCCGATGGTTCTCGTTCACCACGTCGAGTTTGATTACAGGGTAAAGCATCAGGTACAGATGTAGACAGCTTCGTTCCTGACTTGGCCGGGGGCATTCTTGGATCCAATCATGGTCTTGTATCCCTCGAAATTGATTCACAAAGTGCATAGACGAAGGAGATAATGTGGCAAGATCCATCACTGCCTTTGATGCCTTAGGATGTTGTGCCTTTTCTTGGCACTATATCGAACCGATGTGGGAGAAGGTGAGAGAGATAATCAAAGAAGATGCTCGAGAGACGGCTGGGCAAGACAATTGCGAGTGTGCCATTGCCGGCGGAGAAGAGGCTATCAGTGGAGCTGACTGAATTGATGATCATAGCGGTATAGTCTTATCGAGCCAAGTTGACCACTTAAGGCACAACGTCTGTAATAATAGGGTCTTCTCGACTGATAACACCCGTATCAATATGCTGCCATGGCGGCTCATCCCATTTATCCACTGCTCAAGTGCTCAACGCTCAATCCTCGATGGTTTTGATTCGCAGCATTGATGTGTCACCTTCCATGGTGAACTGCTCGTGTGCATGGGCATCAGATTATCAACAGCTCAGTGGACTGTACCACTGCCCTTACACAGGCGCTGTGATCACGAGAACAGCTACTTTGGACGGTTTTGAAGAAGATGAAAGCCACACTGTACGTACTGCAGACAAGGTTCCAACAATCTTCTATATGTCTGACGAGGTTGATCGCTCAGGTAGCGTTCATGAAGGATTCCCTTTCCTCCCTTAATTCGTACGGATATTCCCCCCATCCGTTGTATGAATATCTTGCATGGATTCGGAAGTTCTTAGAAAAAGGACCAACTTCCAAACCATTCATAATCAGTATCACGGAATCTAGCGCCGAGAGGCTTTCTGAGATGTTGGTTGCGATACAACAAATCCGCTCGTCAAACTCTACATGGCGCTCTTGCATCGCTGTTGAGTTCAATTCTAGCTGCCCAAATATCAAAGGACATCCTCCGCCCTCATATCACCTTCCTTCTCTCAAGCCATATCTCGACGTCTTCGCAAAAGCTTTCCAGGATGACTCCACGCTTACAATCGGGCTCAAGCTCCCACCATACATCATAGCTACCCAATTTCATGATCTCATCGAATGTATCTCATCTTACACCCTCACCGGTTCTGGTAACCCCACAAACCCAATCGCCTACTTCACGTGCACGAACACCCTCGGGAACAGCCTCGTCTTTGCTGATCAGACCCCCACCCCAGATGCTAAGACGGACACGTCTCTGTTCGCCGTGCCTCCGGGTCTGGGTGGCCTCGCAGGCGAGGCTATTCATGCACTCTCCTTGGGGAATGTGCACACCTTTTCACGACTTCTTGCGGAGTCAGATGACCCGGCGATGCGGGAAATTGTCATCATTGGTGCTGGGGGCGTGACATCCCCAGAAGCTGTTCAACGGATGAATCGTGCCGGTGCGAAGATCGTAGGTTGTGCAACGTTGTTGGGAAAAGAGGGCATCAAGGCCTTTGAGACCTTGTCTAGGAACTTGTGAATGGGTTTGTTGTTGGCAAAGGTTATATTTCCGATATCCGTATGTCTATCCACAATGGTTTTGTATGTATACAATGATCGCAGAGTAAAGGTAAAAGGCTACAGATGAATGCGAGGAAGCGAAGTAATAATATTGAATCACAACAAACGTTCAATAGGACGGAAAAGTTGCGTATGAGTGAGATGAATTAGTAGTATAGCATGACGTTGAAAATGTATCCCATGAGAAGGCAGAAAAGTCTGGAGGGGAGGGAGACAATGCGGAGATGTTGTCGTCGTCGTTCTCTGCGTAGTTTATGAACAAGGTTGAGGGCTCGCTATAGAGTGGCACAGGTAGCGGTGAGAGCCGGGCGCGTGGGTACAGAGGATGGAAATCAGGCTGGGTAAGGAGCAATGGATGCGCCGGAGAAGCACTCAATGTTGATTGATTTGTGTCATACGGCGCCTGGTAGAGCTGCTCGCTACATTCGTAAGATTTTGGGATGGTCTTAATCATCGCGAGCTGCATATAGACGATGAGAGGATGCCAGATGTCAAGAGAAAATATGCGTACCGGTGGAGAACGTTGAGTGGCACCTGTAATATCGTGGATCGAAGGACTAGTAGACTTGCTAGTAGGTGGCAAAAGGGGACTGCGGAATGGTTGTATCTCGCATCCATCAAAGTCGCCTTCACAAGATTGCATGCCCTCGGATGCTGACACACTTCTTGAACCAGGGGATGATGTGGAAGTCGTCACTTTCATAGTGTCGTCGATTTCCTTGACTGCGACCTCGAGTTCTTCGCCATGCTTGCCTGCAAGAAGCAGTTCAGCGACTTGCTCGCAGCGTCTCTTGTCTTTTGTGCCGTTCCTCTGAACTCTTCGTTTGGTAGGCTTTTTGGCACGCAAGACAGGATGAAATCTGTAATTTGGGTACTTCATGGCATGGACGGCTTTCTCCGTTGCAGCCTTATTGCGCCAAACCTGTTTCTCTGACTCGGAGAGGCGATTCCAACAGTGCGCGATTATACGCGTGATGTGTCGATTGTCACGCTCGATATTTGTTCCGATTTTCTGCGCGGCGGCAAAGGCGGAGCGGAAGAGCATAAAAGCATTCCGCGGACGTGGGACGTGATCTGGGTCTTTGCTACGCGAGTAGCCACGAGAACATGGTATGGGCATGCTCGCGAGAGCTGCGGAGGAAGGAAAGGATGATGGGAAGGGAAGTTCGGAACCCAATTTTTCGGAATTGATACTTGATGCCGAGGAAGTGGAAGCATACGAGGAGGACACTGATTCTTGGGGAGAACTTGAAGGTATGCGCGTCGATACCAACTCAACTTGGTGCCATTGAAAATCAGGAGGGACTAGAGGACTCTCGAACTGGGGAAGTGATAATAAATCATACGCTGGATCAGTGTCATGATCCAAAAGATCTGATGCATATGCTAAATTGTTAGTTCGGGAGAGCAAAAACCACGACAAGAGTCTATTGTACTCACCATAAGATGAGATAGAGTTCAAATCGAACTCAATGATGTGGGGGTCAGGAACTGTCATCTGAGATGGTGGAATAGAAGAGTAGGGTGCTAAAAATTTTAAAAACCATACTATCGATATCTGCCCTTTATAATCAGGACCTGTTAAATTGGAGGTGGCGGAACTTGGAGGTAAAATTAATGCTCACACTTTCACAATGTCACATCGTGATATCCGAGTCTCCATTTAAACTGTCATCCCTCGTTGTGATCACATTTAGTGTCCGCTTATGGAAATGTGTGATATCGAGTCAAGGCAGTGTCCGCTGGATGCCGGGGGCACGTTGCACATCGAGTGTAAGGGTCATCACCCATTTGGTAAGGGTCGGTGAGAATTTTTGCTCCACATTGAAGAAGTCCGGGAATGGGGCCGGTTACAAGTCATTGCAGCACGTTTGAATCGTGAGGTCCGGAGAATGCCGTATGACTTGTTGCGGTACCGAAAACACGGCGTTTCTAAATTAGGAATATACTCATCTCACGTGATGGGCGGGTGTCGGGATTTGACCATATAAGTCTTTAGGGCGGTGCGTGGTGGCCATGGTACCATTTCCCACAACGCGCTCACCTCCAGTCGGTGATAGGGGCACATTATTTAAACCCCACTCTCATCATTTGTTTCTCTTCCCACTTTTCCATGCCTCGCAAGAAAGCCGTCTCCTCCACCGACGTCACAGGCGTTCCAAAGCCAGTGTCACCTCGGTCTACTAGGGCTGGTACGAAGCAGGCAAACGCTGCACCTGCTTCCACTGCAGCTTCAGTATCCCAACCAGCAAAACCCGTCTCCAAACCAAAATCATCCAAGGCGAAGCGCGTCCGCGACGACGACGACGGCGAAGATGTCGCCCCTTCTAAAATTGCCAAGCTGAATAAGGACGATGACACAAGTGTTAAAAAGGCCGACAACGAAGGGAAGAAGATGGCAAGTATTCCCGTAATTTATATAGCCAGATAGCCTTACCTCTCAACTTCTAGGTCACTGTCGTGAAACGAGGTGCTGCTCCGGTAGATCCAACGTCCGGTTTCACTTGTAAGTGTCCTAGGTATGCGTTCAGAGCGTGGAAATGACCAGAGTGTCTAGTAACACATCAAGTTTACTCGAATGCTGAAAGTGTTTGGGATGCAATGCTCAACCAAACTGAGGTTGGCTCTAACAAGAATAAGTGAGCACTCGCGTGCTTCGAGAAGTTTTCATTCTTATCCAGGCACACAGATTCTATGTGATACAACTGCTGCATCCTATTGGCAATGATACCCAATGCTCCCTCTTTACGCGTTGGGGCCGCGTTGGTGAGAATGGTGCAAGCCAAACCAAGGTTGGTCCCAGCGTTTGAATTCTATACTAAAAACTGATTACATCAAGGGACCGTGGCCATCTGCTTCTGCCATTAACGAGTTTAAGAAGCAGTTCAGGTCGAAATCCGGCGTTGCATGGCCCCAACGCTTTGGCATGGTGGCTGCGAAGGGTAAGTGAATATTTGTCTGCAAGCTCAACCCTCACACATGAACACTGGATAATCAGGGAAATATACATGGCTAGGTAGACGCAGTTCGTAGGTTCAAACGCCAAGGAGAAACCTGATATCCTCTCCCAGAGCGTGTATTTGAGGATGAAGATAGCAAGGCGGAAAGTAGTGGTAGCATTCCCCAAAGAAGATGAACCTGTTCCGGATTCCAAGTTATTACCTGAGTTGCAGGTAATTCGAGAAACCAACTTTCTCATTTGCTCTAATACAATTCTTGGCAGGCATTCTGCAATCTCATCTTCTCATACAAGTAAGTGTCGTAGCCTAAATTCTCATAGTCTCAACTGATCAATCTAGACTCATTGATGCTCACTTGTCATCGATGAATTACGACGCCAATAAGCTTCCCCTTGGTATATCATGTCCTTCAATTGGAGTCGTTCGGCTATTTACAGTCTTGCAGGCAAACTCGCGAAGTCAACTATTCTCAATGGATTTGCGGCATTGAAGGTTCGCTCATCATCAGGCAAACATTGGGACTATCAATTTAACGATTTCAGAAACTTGCGGAAGCGATAGAATATCCGGACGGCGATATGGCGAAGTCTCTGGGTGGCTTTCAAAACGCCTGTGAAACGCTTACTTCGGAATACTATTCGTATGTCAAGTGGAAATGTAATCCTTCATTGCTCTGAGTTCCTGGCAGCATCATCCCTCATGTGTTCGGGCGTACGAGGCCCACTGTAATCAGGGATCAGGACCTTTTGAAAAGGGTAATAAACGTGGCTTCGTACAAATTTGCATGCTTACACTTACACAGGAACTGACCCTTGTCGACGCTCTGGGAGACATGGTATGCGAATCGTATATGTGCATATCCATTTGCTCACTTCATGTCATCTCAGGAAATCGCTCATAAACTCATAAATAACTCCACCAATGTTGATGACGATGGGAAGCCACTTAACCCGCTGGACGCGCACTTCCGTTCGCTGGGTCTCAGTTCAATGGACCCTATCGCTCGAAACAGTTCTGAATTCAAGGCTCTCGCACACTACACATCCGACACACATGGACAGACGCATCACTTCAGGTCGGAGATTTTACATGCATTCAGGGTGGAGAGAGGGACAGAGACTTCTGCATGGCTCGCGAAGGGTTACGATAAGCTTCCTGCTGGTGATCGGATGCTCTTGTGGCACGGTTCCAGGACGACCAACTTCGCTGGTAAGCAATGTGAAATGTATCACAGATCATGGACTCACATCTTTACTTCAGGTATCCTCAAACAGGGCCTTCGGATCGCCCCTCCGGAGGCGCCCGTTACGGGTATGTTACTACAGATTGCTTATACACGTACAGTGTACTGACGTACAACTTAGGCTACATGTTCGGCAAAGGTGTCTACTTTGCAGATGTGCGTACTAGATTGTCCATATTCTTGTTCAATACCGTAAACTAACCTGTTCCTTAGATGATGTCAAAAGTAAGTTCGGAAAGGCATTTCCGAATATTAATTTTTAATATCTGTGCCATTTCAGTCTGCAGGCTACTGCTACGCTAGGTGAGTAATGCGGCATTCTCAAAGGGCGTCTCACTAAACTTGATGGATAGTTTGAGTAACAAAATCGGCGTGTTACTCCTCTGTGAGGTGGCTGTAAAACCGTTCCTCGAGATGAACAATGCAAATTACAATGCAGATGAAGATTGCAAGAAAAGCCAGAAATTGTTAGTGCAATCTTCACCTGCTCCGCCTGCAGGCTTCTCACGTTGTTCGAAACGCCAGGGCGACAAAAGGGGTAGGGATAACACAACCTACCAATTGGCAAGATGCTGGTATAGCGCTTGGCCACAAAGAACTTGAGGGCGTTTACATGCCCAAGGGAGAGGCATCGCAGATCAGCCCCCCTGGTGCATTCCTTATGTACAACGAGGTTCGTGATCGCCATAAAACGTTACTGCTCTGGCTCACATTTCGCTAGTACATCGTTTATGACCCATCCCAGATTCGCTTGAGGTACTTGCTTATGGTAAAGATGGATTGAGTCAGGAGATCTACACGTAGCTCATTTTTCTCTCGTTGAGAAGTTGACAACCACTATACCCGATGGTTTCCATTAGATGTGAATTCATCGATCTCCCCTGTCGAAGGTCGTTCCTTTGTAAAATTCATTTGATGAGATTGTTTGTCCTTATTTACGCGTCCATAATAACTTGAACTTTCCATCATGTCAACTGTACTTGCGACCCAAGTTCGCAAACACACATCAAAGCCAACGCGTGCAGCAGGCAGATATTGGAAGGGTAAAGCACCGAAAGGAGCTGCTGAATTTCCATCCGACTCAGATGAAGACGAAGAGGAGCAGCTCGAGGTTCAGGAAGAAGGAGATGTGCTCATTGGTGGGGAGCAAGACATTGTCAAGGAGGATGAGGATGAGGAAACGACGCTGCCAGTGAAGATGGAACAGGGTAGAGTGGTGAAGACGATGAATCTCACTCTAAAGGATGTCAATATCTCGAAGGACGGCAAGGTTATTGTCGCGGGACGAGAAGAGTCTGGACGGACCAAACTGGAGGAGGGTTCGTGACATTGTTTTTGGTCTGACTCATTTTTCGTGCTCAACGCTGCTATAGATGTCGTGTCGGAAGAGGAGGAGTCGGACGAAGCACCAGATGAAGAAGAGGATGAAGAGGATGAGAGCGAGGTACGTTTACTCAAGGCATGTACCATGTTTTTTTAAAATTATGTCTAGTCTAGCGAATCTGAGGAAGAAACCTCGAAACCATTATATCGACCTGTCTTTGTTCCGAAGTACGTTTCAAACACACTTTCGTTGAGTCATTTATTCACCGACCCTACAGACGAGGTCGGGAGACGATTGCTGAGCGTGATGCAATAGCTCTAGAAGCAGAGGAAGCAGAGAAGCGGAAACAGGAAATTGCTGAAGAACGGAAGAAGCAGAGTCATGACCTTGTCGCAGAAAGTATACGACGAGAACTATTGGAAAGTGCGTTCTCATCCGTCCGCCGCGATTATCATACTTATATACCTTGAAGAGGAGAAGGAAGAGGTAATACCTGATGTTGATGATACGGACGGCGTTGATCCCACTGGGGAATTTGAGGCGTGGCGGTTGCGAGAGCTTGGACGGATCAAGAAGGAAAAGGAGGAAGAACTTAGACGTGAAGAGGAAAGGGAAGAGATTGAGCGGAGACGTGCCCTTCCAGAAGAACAACGCTTGAAAGAAGATCTTGAACGGGCTAACAAGTTACGAGAAGAGAAGCCTAAAGGCCAGCAGAAGTTCCTCCAGAAGTACTGGCATAAGGGTGCTTTCCACCAGGTTTGTCGCACTTGTTTCATATATGTCCTCCCATCATTTTACACGTTGATTAGGATGAGGAAATCCTCAAACGACATGATTACACAGAAGCAACTGAGTCTACGGTAGATGTCTCGATGTTACCCGAAGTCATGCGAGTCAAGAACTTTGGTAAACGCAGTAGAACCAAGTACACCCACCTTGTGGATCAGGACACGACGCAGGGGACCGGAGGTTTTGGAGGCGTTGGTTCTAGTGAAAACAGGAGGTCGATCCACGGAAGGGGGCGGTTGTTTCTTATGTGGCGGTCCGCATCTCAAGAAGGGTGAGGACATGCGTGTTAAGGGACATCCTATTAAACTCAATCTTTTTGGGCAGACTGTCCTCAAAATGATCAATTTCCTCCAGGAGCCCGCAGTTCCTTGGCGTCTGGCGCTAACGCGGCCACTAGCATATCACGCGCATGGGGCGAGCAATCATCATGGCGAGACCGGCCCGACGATAGAGTTGATCGTCGCCGCTCAAAGGAGGGAAGGCCGAGCCGGGGGGACTTCTCCAGCGACGATAGATCGCGAGAGAAGAATCACGATTACCGCAATTCTGGAACTGGGCGTCGAAGATCACGGTCAAGGTCACCTTATCGTACTCGTTTAGACCATGATAACAGACGGAGAGCACCGGATAGAAACCATGATGGTTTTAGGCAGAAAAAACGGCGGCTGGACTAAGCGCACTTCTTTTTCTACCTGATAGCTTCGACCTGGTTATATATCGAGTGGTTGGTAGGAAAGGGTTCCACAGGATTTCACGTGATGGACATGCTGTGATTTATTAATATCCCTGATCAGGGACTTGGACTCACAGCAAAGTACTAGTACTTATATACTAGTACTGCCGATGGCCAGCTGATAGTAATCATCTTTTCCCAATCATATCCCATTGATACCAATCGCACAAGGTGAGTACTGGCCAGTGAGCGATCCCAGCTGGAAATCGCACTCCGTATTGACTTGGACTGTGCTAGATGGAGATTTTTATGAGAAACATCGCCTTTGCAGTTACCCAAGAAGATTTGACGCTCGAATTTGCTAAGATACTTCACAAGCCCCCGTTCCCAACCGATTCCCCTCTTAATTTTGAAGTTCAACTCTTCTACAAGACACACCCGAATGGAAAACGAGGCATCCTTGCTCTCCCCACAACAGATTCTGGCATATCTCTCTTGCGTGCTTATGGTGACGCAGGGATTGTCGTCAAAGGCCGCCAAATCCTCCTCAACAAGAGCACGCAATCGATCAACAATGCCCGTATCATGAGATTGAACACTGTTCCATGGGTCGACCCAGTGAAGCTGCGAGAGGAGAAGGAAAGGCTTCTCCAGCAATCGAGGCCTTTCCCGCTCCTTCGCTACTCATTTGGGCGCTTCAATCGGGATAATTCTTTTTCTTCAGAATTTAGCCTTCCTGGTGTACCCAATGTCTCCTGTGATCTGGAGCGTCGGCAGGTGCGCTTCACTGTCACGCCTCATGAAGATGACAGTGGCGACCTCTTTTGGGGCGCCCTTCGTTCGACGTCTATCGTGTCCTATGCGCAACTGAAAATCGCAGCATTAGTGGGTAACCAGGATGATGATACCCACATTATTTTCATTCGTGCCGACGCGCCCCCGGTGTTCTCCATGGAGAATGAGGTCAATGGAACTAATAATACAAGCCCTCAGCGTCTGGCGGGCTTGACACGTCATCATCCTATGCCTCCCGGCAGCCATAGTCTGATGCTGGAGTTTAGCAGCCAATCAGATGCGGAAACATTCATGTACGCATGTCGCAATCGCCTTCATCTGCGGTACTCCCCAGTGCCCCATGTTCGGATCCACGACCACACTTCTAATAGCAATCCTGTCGAAGAACTCCACGAGTTTCTCTCCGAGATACCATACGAGCTTGCGTTCCAGGTAGAAAAGACCGTTGCGAATTTTGTTTTTACCCCCATGGAAATATTTTCGTTGAAGGAGGCAATCACCTCATTGCACACTGAACATGGCCCTGATGCGCCACAAATCTTCCAGTCCTTTGCATCCGAGTACGAAGAACACAACGCAAATCGTAAACCCCGCCGCAGACGCCGGGCACGATGGGCTGCCAGTCGAGAGGATTTGACTTCTCTTCTTGGCCAAGTCATCCACGAGTTCACTAGAGAGCATCAAAGGCCCCTCCGTCTTCTAGCTCCACCGCCACAGAGCGGTGTATACCAGTCTTACCATCTGATTCTAACGCCGACACGGCACATCTTAGAAGGACCTCTCCCCGACCAGTCCAATAGTGTCTTGCGCAAATACCAACACCATGAATGCTTCCTGCGCGTTACTTTTCAGGATGAGAATAGATCAAAGCTTCGTCGGGACTTGGACTCTTCCATTACCGAACTTCTGAGGGAGCGGTATCGCCCGATTCTGCTCAGAGGCTATCGCGTTGCTGGACGCCAGTTCCAGTTCTTGGGATATTCGATGAGTGGTCTGCGAGATCATTCGGTGTGGTTCATGACACCCTTCACCGATGATAGCGGTACACTGCTGGATGCAGAATCAATCCGGCAGAACCTGGTGAGTCGCTGATTGCCTCGATCGACTCTGACTGAACGCAATTGCTAGGGCGACTTCTCTAAACTAGTCCACCAACCCGCTCGTTTGGCTGCAAGGTGGTCTCAAGCCTTTTCTGGCACCGATCCGTCGATGACACTTCTTCCCGAAGAGATTGATTATAACTATCCCGACAGAAAATCGCCCTCTGGAAACGTTATGACAGATGGGTGTAGCCCCATATCGGTCGGTCTAGCAAAGGACATATGGAGGTCTTTGCAGAAAGGCAAGAAGCGACCCGCCAAGCTACGCAATACTCCATCCGCTTTCCAATTTCGTCTCGGTGGCGCTAAAGGCATGGTCGTCCAGGATCCGACACTCGAAGGCAACCTTGTTCGCCTTCGTCCATCGCAGATTAAATTTGATGCACAGGAGAACCTCACTTTTGACGTCCAATCGACATCAGCGAAACCAAAAGCGATGTTCCTCAATCGTCCGCTCATTGTACTTATGGAGTTCTTGGGAGTGGATACCAGTCGAATCATTGAACTGCAGGACGATGCAATCACCAAAGCTCAATCTGTTCGATCGTCGTCCCTCGATGCCTCGAAAGTTATCCAACAACATGGACTGGGAGCATCGTTTCATCTACCATCTCTCTTCAGAAACTTGGCGACTATTTTGCAGCTAGATGTTGGAAACACGGAAGAAGAACCGTCTCAGTCACAATGGGCAAGCGAGCTCATAGAAAGCTCCCTGCACTGCATCGAAACGCACATCTTGCGGGAGTTGAAGTATCGCGCACATATAGAAGTGCCGGGTTCGTATACCTTGCTCGGTGTTTCAGATGAATGGGACTGCCTCAAGGAAGGAGAAGTTTACGCAGTCGTGTTTGATGAAAGGACAGGATTGAATGAGCAAATCCTGGGCCAGGTCGCCGTAACGCGGAGCCCGCAGATTCATCCAGGCGATCTGCAGGTCGTGATGGCTGTAAACCGCCCAGAGTTGGCACACCTGAAGAATGTTATTGTGTTTTCTTGCGAGTAAGTCCTGTTTGATGGCTTGCGACAGACACATGCTGACTCACATCGTCAACAGGGGTCAGCGAGCGCTTGCGTCATGTCTGGGTGGTGGTGATCTTGATGGCGACGACTTCAACGTGATCCTTGATGTAAGCCCGAGTATTTCAATACACTCTGCACGTCTGAACATTCTGCAGCCGAAACTGCTGCCAACGCATTACAGTCAAGCAGGAGAGTATCAGGCATTACCCATCAAAAGAACAGAAGCCCCATGTGAGATTTCTGATATTGTGGATTTCGTATTTGACTATGTGAGCCCCATTTGGACTTTCAATGTCTGTAAAATGAATTAAGAAATGTAGATCGAGGCGGACCTTGTCGGTGCCATCGCCATACAACACCTCAGGTTTTCTGACCTGGAGGATCCAGGTTGTGCGGAGTGCATGGAACTCGCGAAATTAGCATCGCACGCAGTCGATTTTCCGAAGAGCGGCACACCTGTCAACTTCACCCAACTTCCGAGGTTCAAGTCAAGGAATCAACCAAGGCCTGATTTTCTTGCCAAAGAAGGCGCTGATCTCAACAGCGACCAGTACTATAATAGCAAAAAGCTGCTCGGACAACTCTACCGTCGTGTACCAGTGAAGAGGTGGATTCCTCAAGAATGGAATGAGGACCACTCTCCATCTGATGGAGCTTCTGTGGAGGACGCGCTCTCTGGCGTGGCCCTCCGTAATCTTGGTCTTTCGGGATTAACCGAACCAACTCAAGAGTTAGTAGAGGAGATGACATATCTACTCGAAGCCTATTGTGAACAGCTGCTGGTGATCGGGCAGTCGCACACAATTTTGAAAAACAAGGACAGTCATGTTTCGGAAGCAGAATTGGTGAGCGGGACCATCATGGCAAATTGGTCCGACCATCATCGTCGACGAGACGCAGTCACTGCGATGAACTTGCAGGTAAGCCTAGTGCTCAAACGTGACATGTGCCGCAAATGCCTAAACGATAATCTCAGACGCGTGAGCTCGTCCGTGCGGTCAGGGCAGAGCTCCTAGTTAAAGATTTGGCGGCATCCGAGACAGAGATGTATGATGAAGAGGATGATTACGATGATTGGACCTTCCGCGAAGAATTTGATGACACGGAACAGCGAAGTATGGGAGAAACATTCAAGCGCTCTTGGGCGGCGTGGCGTGTCGCGGAAGATACACTCCAAGAAGAACCGAGGATGTTTGGAGCTCAGAGTTTTGGTTTAATTGCTTTGGGCAAAATGCTCGAGATTGTGAAGGCATCTTATATGATGTGAAGGGTCGAGTACCAGAAGCTGGCCTTAAGTTTGTACCAATTCACTGCGCACAACGGAGTTGTATATCATGAGAATTTATGCGAATAACCAAAGTCGTTTCTGTAAAATTCAAAGCGAGGTCACAGTGGGGGATTGTGACAAGACTCTGAGCGCGTATTCATGATATACTAAAGAATGCAATTAAAAGGACTTCCAATTTTCATTGACACATTACAACTTGAGATATGCATGAGCTGATTTCAAAATATGTAACCTACAATAACAAGAAAAATTACTCGACGAAGCGAAATAATGATTGGCAAAATATGATCACGCATCCAGGAGTTCTCTGGGCATGTCCACGAAAGCAGCAGCACCGTTTCCAATCAGCGCAAGCTGCGTGAGAGACGCCGCAGTATGGCGGTATATCCTCTCCAAGGCCGGATGAGCAGGGCGCCCTTGCGACACTACAAGAAAAATGAGAATATAATCGAATCAACTCGAGGACAAACTCACGCAAAATAGCCTGGTTCACTTCTGTTGCAAGACTTACTCTTGCTCCCTGCCCCGCCACCTCCGCTGCATCCCCACCGGCTTCAAGGGGATCCTCAAAAGCCACAACCACACTTGTACGCTTGAAAATAGCGCGCATCTCCGGGCGGTCTTTGTACTCTGATTGCAACTCCTGTCCGTACGCAACCGCACGCTCGAGAGCGGTCCCATACTTGGCAGCAATCACACCTGACAAATCCGAATGCGAATAAGAGGCGAACGATGCCTTACGCTTGCCTTTGATAGGGATTGCACTGCTGCCGCGACCGAAACCGTTCGTCGCTCCAGTACTGGAGATGTCTGCCTCATCGTCGACGTCCATCCCCATGCCTTCCGAAATTCCTTTGTCTTCTCCATCGGCCTCTACATTCATCTCTGCATCCTCTGCGCACATCCGCTTCTTCAGTTCTGCCGCTTCCAATACAAGCTCCACAAATTTACGGCATCGCAGTTTAAAGAGCACGAGTCCTGCATCCGCATCAAGCGCTCGAGGGAAGTGTGTTCGTGTGTCGGACAGGGCAGTGTCGACATCACCAGTGAGTACGGCACGCACGATACGGGTACGGATCTCGATATCATCCATAGGTGCAGGTGCAATTGTAGGTGTTTGGGGCACGTCGTCCATATCCATGATCTGATCATGGTCAGACACGCGACTCGTGGAAGACGAAGGGAACGTGTTTGACAATCTTAATGTTGACATTCCTCCTCGAGCAGAACACTGCGCCTCAAACGCTCGCGCTGTACGTGCGTATCCGTGATGCGACAAGTACGAAAGAACAAGGTCATTGATCTGGGACTTCACGTGGGTTTCTGCGGTGGATGTCGTTGAAGTAATATCTTTGTCACTGTTAGCTACTGGCCACGTCCAAGGCGCAGACTGAATGCGCGACCATGTGGTGTTTCGTTGTTGAAGCACGTGATCCTCGATGTCAAACTTGAATGGGTCTTGGCCGAAGTTAGCCCGCACTGATTCTCCGGGATGGCAAAGCCCAACTGCTGGATAAATATCACAATCCTTGCCGATATTATCGAAAACAGAGCCTGTGAGAATTCAGAATAAAAGAAGTCCTCGGAGGGAAAGATGCGCACCAAGTAAAGCACCGTTCTTTGTGTAAAATGCGCGGTTCTGACTAAAATCGATACCACAACCAATGACATCTCCGGCTAATTAATACAAAGTGAGTTAATTGTTCAAGTGCATCGTGAAGTAGACAGACCTCCAAACTGGGGACCATATGGTGTGCCAGTCTTCTCCGCCGCAAACGACGACCCGTCATCACCGTGATATCCCCACGAGTTCTTCTCCCACCCCGGTAGGCGAGTCAATTTAAAATCGCGGCTCACAAGACTACAAAGGGATGTCAGCGAAATAATTTTAGAATATCGAATTTAATCGGACCCAACACTAATATGCCTGAATTTGTGTCTGAGTACATAGATACCACATATTTCCGTGCACCAGGCACTCACCCCTTGTTGCTGTTTGTCTTGCTGGTGACCTCTACCTCGTAGTAGTATATGCCGCAGGCAGGAGGAATAGGGAAGATCGTATGCGCAGCTGCGGCATCTTTGTCAGAGTTGCTTGGAGAACCTGTTTCAATGGTTGTAACGTGGTTGGTAACTCTACTGCCTCAGTATTACTGACCTTGATAGGTAAGATCCCTTCCGTCTGCAGAAACACTTAACATAGAACTTCGATATTCCTCACACCACCTAGTTGGAAGACACAAGAGGGCGGATGACATTAAAGGATTATTCTCTTGCTGTTGTCGAGAAGGCATTTCTCCTGGAGGGATAGTGTCTTCTTCATCGGTATCAAAGCTGGGAGATCTCTGTACCCTCCTCCTTCCGCCAGCATACTCAGTACGGGCGACCGCAAGATCAGGCTTCGGTAACGAGAAAAACTGAGAAGGAGTGTCTGTCTGCAAAAGCTGCCGCAGCGCAGAATGGTCAAGGTACGCCGGGCGAGGAAAGGGTGTTGTGTCGGGAGGGAACGGACCTGCACTCGAGTGTGCCATAGCTGGTCTCTGAGCGCTAGGCGCCCTAATACCGGTTGCACTGGATCGACGAGCACGAGAAGGTGGAGAGGTTGGACAAGTGGTGTCGACTCTAATCACGCGCGGTTCATAGTATATGTGCGCTGGTGCAGCTCCTGTGCCTGAAAGGAGTGCAGAACTTGGCTGTGGGAATGATCGAGCTGTCGAACGCATTGGGGCGCTTGATGCCACCGCCATAGAACTGGATCCACGGATGCTGCTGATACCTGTAGTAGGGTTACGTTGTGGCCATCCCGGGTTCACAAGGCGAGGACGGGACTGTGGGGAAGGTGCAAAGGGGATTGATATGACTGACTCGATATTCCGAACGGGTGAAATGCCTCCCCGTGGTGGAACGGGGATGCTAGATGACCTCGCGGGTCTACCACTCATATTGGAGTGTAGATGACGTTCCCAGCACAAATGGAGGGATAAGTAACGGGCCTGGGCTATGCTAAAGTTTTGTATCCGATAACTGTATCAGCGATGCAGTGACAAGTGAATTGGAGAAACACACATATGATGGGCGTTGACGACAGGAAGCTTAATGATTCGTTCGCAAGCTAGCCTACTTATAGGCACTCGAGACCATCGTCACCGACTCTAGTGCATCAAAGGTCACGTTTGTGGGGAACGTCACACAACGTGACATTTAGTTACCCTCGTGATCACTCCCTTGTCACACTGGCTACGCGTCCTTATTATTACTACGCACTTGCTTTCAGACCACTACTATGGTGCGCATTCATATCGTTCAGTTGGCTGATAAAACTAATTTAGCTATAGGAACCTTCATATCGCATTATTCCACCTTCACAAATCAAAACTGCGTCCATAAATGATACTGCAGGCAGTCTAGGCCTCCATGACACCCTCCAGTATGGAATCCGTAGCATTGCAACTGAGACGAGAGGAGGCGAGTTCGAGAACCGCATTACAAATGTGTGCTGTCAGTCTATTATAAAATGTGTTTCTTTCTGATGGCGTTCATAGTGGGAAGAGACGCAGGACAACGCGAGGCTACACATGCTGGCTAATCTCTACGGTCCCAGTGTACCTATGAGGTTGCTTATGGAACGCCAGATTGTGTCTGCCGTGAGTATTGTCGCGTGTGCTGAATATATGCAAATTGAATACCTTTCAGAGCCCTCATATGCCTGGCATGCCGCAGTCAAACATACATCTCGACATCTTGATGGGTCGGGATGAGAGTCTAGACCCCAGCGACTTTTTCCTCGGTGCGTAATTTTCCAGATCCTCAAGCGATCCGATCTGACTGAGAGTATCTCATAGGCATGGAGAGCGGTCCGCCGTTGAGCATTCACAACGAGATGGAAAAGAAACTCCGACTGTGATCTTAGATTGTTGTAATACTCACTATCCCGTAATGTCACAATTTCGAAATCTTGCCTGACAGCGCAGGAGTGATGTCAGTATGAAAGGTGAGTGGGAAGCTCAGATGAATGCTGTCATCTATGCATTGAATATATGTGAGGTGCGTATGATAGGGATACACTGAATGTGGTGTGTAGATAATAGTAATACTAACAGATGTTGTGAAGCACAGAAGAGTACATTTAGTAGTGATAGATGTGCTCCATATGCAATACTATGCAACAGTGAATGACTCTCCACATCCACATGCATCCTTAATATTAGGATTGTTAAAAACGAATTTGGAACTAGGAATCCATCATGTGAGTTCTGCAGCGAAGCATTACCTAAAACAGTGAACGACGCACCTTAGCGCATCCTCCTTCCAGTCCATTTCGCTGCCTATTATTGAGAAAAGTGCCTTGCTGTCTATGAGCACCTTGATCCCATCTTGTTGTACCACCTCGTCAAACTTTTCCGGCTTCTCCACATAGTCAAGGTGGTAAGACAAGCCAGCACAACCCTTGTTTCGCACACTTATACGAATTAATTGTGGTGTCGGACTATTGAGCAAGCCACGCAGCCGCTGTATCGCAGTCGGTGTCTGCAACGAGTGATCAAACTTATTGGTACACATAGAATCCATCATATCAGCACATACCATACTTAATACCGCCTTCGTGGACCGAATAGTTGGCCGCGGTCGTTCTACCTTTGGTATAGGTGGTGGGCGAGCAGCTACCTGCGGAGAAGCTGGTTCGGATGATAGCGACTTTGCAGTGGGTACGACAACAGGTGGTGAATCTTTGAGAGGCTGCTTTGCATCAGAGCTGGAATGCGCTTCCAGTGGTCTCTGAGTTTGAGAGCTTAAGGCGGACATCATTGCACGACGATGAATGGGATAGATGGTGGATGCACGTATTGAGTGAACGACATTGTGTGCTGAACACGAACGACCTAGTGAAGACAGCATCGTGGGCGGACGGTTAGAATGAAGAAGGGCAGTCAGCATCTTTCAGGAAAACCGATGTGCTTGGTCATCTTACATATGTCCAATCACCACAACCCGATTTTACTCTTGTCACGTGTTAGTTGTTCAAGTTGTAATTTAAGTTATCCGACTGGTTGATCAACGTCAACGTCAACACCGAATTCTTTGCCTCATGCGAGTCATGCCCCATCCGTACCCTCATAGTCACGCTTCTCATCGCTATATGAAAAGTATCACACATTTACTATAACTCATGGTTAAATGATATCTCATAATCATTATCAAAGTATGGCCTGGGGTACTGCAGTTTTTTCAAAATTGGCAGGTGCCATCAACGAGAAGCAGGACCGATTCGGCCCAAGTGCGAGACCGACGCCTCGATATGGGGGCTTGGTAACCTATTCCAAGACTGTTGTAAGCCACTTTACCTTCCCCAGCGGGCTCCGCCGCAGAGAATAGGAATATGTAGTATGTGGACAGCCAGCCAGCTGTGTATTCAAGGGCGTTGCCTAATACTCTGTTGATGACCTTGATGCATTTCAGACAGGCTAACAAAACATTGTTAATGTAAACAGCTGTGCCGTATAAAACAGACTTGCATTTTCCCTATAGGATCTTGTGGGTTGCCATGCCTGCTCGGAATACACTGTCTCCAACAGCTGTGCTGTGTGCTGCTCAGCGTAGCAGCACCGAGCTTGTGATTTATTCTCGTGACGCCGGCCAATGTGTCAAGATTGCATAGTATGTACTTTGTCTGTTTCTCTGCATGGATGCCCACCCGTAATCGCCCAGTCCAATCTCCAGAGGCTTCCGCATCGTACCAAGCGGAATCGCAGCACACTTACTGCGACGACGCTGTTTCTGGGAGTGTTTTTGTGGCCTCGCGCACGAACATCCCACTCCAGTACGATTTGTCACTTCGACGATTGGCCACACACAGGTTGTTTGTCACTTTCAAGACCACCGCTGCAGATTTTTTAGTACGTTAATCATGTTTGCTGCTTCCTACTATTTGCTTCATTATTTCCAGTCAATCTCAACAAGACACGACACATGGCACTACTCGAATCATCGTATATTGACTTCCCGACACGAGGTAATTTTTTCACTAGACTCGAAAGGCATGAGTCTCATCCTTCCCTAGTTCAAGGAGACGTTCCGAATATCGTGCTGTTTCTTACTGCATTTCGATCTATCATTGCCAATTCACCACCTGGTCATGCTGAGATCGTGCCATATTTCATGAATTATCTTGGCTCACGCTCCTCGATGCACCCGCGGCCATTTGTCCTAAACGGAAGCCTATCACCTCCCTTTATCGGTGAAGTGGGGGGAAACCGCCGTCGTTCTGGTACGAAACCTCTCTATGTTTTTAGTTTATGCTTAAAGTAAAAATGTACAGCATTTATCCCAAGATCAGAAGATATCCTACATGGCCATGCACGACAATCGATTAGATACGACGCCGATGCGCCCCCGCACGCAATCTCGAGAATCGAGCAAGGACATATGCATGCGCTCGCAGCTGGCATGGGTATTAGTCGTTATGATGCGATGGGACTTACTGAAGAATGTGACGGTTGTGGTAGGTGGTTTATGGCGGGCGCTTTGAGAGGGCACATTGTGAGGGGATGTGGTGAAAGTTTGGAACTACTTCCTTCGCACGCACCCCCATAGTCACTTTATCCTTGTATAATTGTGCGTCCAAGACGGCCGGCGGACTGGCTGGGTAGGCCTCGCACCCTAAAGTGCAGCATGCGGCGGGATACGTCAGAGATTAGGCTGCTCGTGTTGATTTTTTTAAACCGTATCAGTATAACATTAGAATCTGGCTTTATCCATATTCATGTCTTCAAAGAACACCGTTATAAATATACTATCACTGTACGGGACCGATAAGCCTAGCTTTAATCTTGCATACGTACATGATGCCAACGTACCTAATGGACATGGCGAACCAAGCAATATAAGTTATAACTTTGGATCCAAATAACTACGTGACCTCATGACGATGCCTAGAACAGCAAAGACTTCATCGGTTGTTTTGAAATTAGAATCAACAATAAGATCTGCTATAGAGGGGAGTTCACCCATGGACGAATGTCAGCTTGTTCCGGTCGGCATAATTGAACATCGGGAGGATACACCGATGCAATAATTAATAATTCAATTGTTATCGGCGGTTGCGGCAAAAGTAAGTGTCTCAACGCGCCCCTTTCCCTTGCACTCCTTCTGCAACAGTTCATTGATCGTGCGGATTTGCGAGGGCTCGATAAGCATAACCTAAACAATCTCGTCAAAGTTTTCCAATAAGACGATGAAAAACGCATACAGTTTCCCAGGATTCCCCCTTGTCTTCTTTCTCGACTGTCTCAGCCAACGCACGAAGCTGCTCCTGCAACCGTTCTCCTTCAGCAGCCGGGAGAACGATACGTACCCGCATCCTTGCACGTTGAATCGGTAGCGTTGAATGACCCTGGATGAGTCGCAGTGTTTCCGCTACCTGTCACTCCTTGGTGAGAACGCGACGTGCGATGTCAACGAACGATCACCTACTTGACTCTTAGCATTCTTGCCCGCTTTCACACTCACGCCTGCTTCTGCCATAGCCTTTTCAATCATTCCGACAGGATATGGACGTTGAGTAGCCGGATCGACACATTTCTCAGCGACTATTGTAGCAATCTCCTTGCGGAGGGAAGCAAGATCGTGATCACGTTCTTTCTCCGCCACTTGTACTTCCCCTTTCTTTAAGATCTACAACACCGATAAGTAAGGGGCCAAGGACGCTGATAATGACAGACCTCCTTCACGACGTCATCTACCGTCGAGGTACCAAATGCTTTTTGGAGATCATTAGACTTGGCAACCTCGCCTTTGGATACATTCATAAAGACGTTCGAAATTTGGAGGACGTCATCTAAATTCGTCTCACTGCGCATGGATCTTACGTTAGCCACGGAACTGATGATATGGATGTGCTCACATACACTCCGTTTCTCCATTCCTGCACCTTATTTTTGTAGCAGGCAATCTAAAGCTAGGCTGTTAGACGATGTCATTATATGGTATATCTACACCATACCTCAAATCGTTTACCGCCCTTCTTCAAGCGTACGATAGATACATTTGTGAGCCTGTGCTTCACCTTGCGTCAGAGCAAAACCCCAAGACATTGTCAGCTCAACGCTGACTTTATTTGATTTGATGGTTGCTGGATAGGCATCTCGGTTCAAGTAGACACAGTGAATAGATCGATGATGTTTAAGTTGTTGGAGCACTACATAGCAGGCGGAGCGGACCACCGTGACTGACTGAATGACACATTGTGCTCATTTGTTTGTTCGCGAGCCCAACTTGGGATGTTGTCACGCCCGTTACAAGTCATCCTCAGCTGCAGTGATAGGGCACAGCACAACCAACCGCAGTACTTCAATCCGCCTTCGAAGATTCTTCATCTATCCGAAAACGCCCGAATTTCTTAGCCGCATCAGGTCAATTTACGAGCCTGATAATAGTGACATCGCTACTGCAAGATGAAGGGGTTCACCAAAGCAATCAAGCGGTAAGCTCGTCCCTTTTCAGTTTATGCTAACAACTAGTGGCGTTTGTCACATCTTTCTGCCTGAGCAACAGCGTGGAGGAAGACGACTCACGACCATCTCTACAGAACGCCTCACCTTGTCACATCTAAAGTTGGCTTCGCAAAGAGTGAGATCTAATCTTTGCCATCAACCACTCGCTCAAACTATCACTATCTGTCAGAGTCTTCTGATCCCGAATTCGACGACTACAATCGTCATTTCGTCAGCCTCGAGCAAGCCACAGAGAAGTTGCTCAAAGATACCAAGATATTCTCTGAATCTGTTATATGTATGTTGATAATGCTCGTCTCATCTATTCCCCATCCTTACACATACTTTCAGCCCTCTTCACTTCTTCTGTGGGTTTTGCCAACCATTTCAATTTTATATTCTCTCCGCTAGCTAGCGAGTATAACTTGCAAGGCAAGCATCCCTCCTGCGAAGCAACTATCGCAAACACTCCTCCGTACTCGACTTCTCTCGACGAACTTCGTTCTGCGATCTCCCCTGAACTCGAACTCATCGAATCACGAATTGTTGCACCCGTGAAAGAGTTCCAGGGTGTCCTCAAGCTGATCAGGAAGAGCATTACAAAACGAGATCATAAGCTGGTCGATTATGATCGATTCAATAATTCACTTACTAAATTGAGGGACAAGAAAGAGAAGAGTTTGAGTGATGAGAAGAATTTGTTCAAGGTAGGTGCTGGAGTGTCTTCTCGTCAGTGACACGTTTTGACATTTATATGATTAGCTTGAGCAAGACTTCGAGATTGCCACAAATGAGTATGATTACATTAACAACGCGCTCAAGACAGATCTCCCGCGGTTCATGCAACTTGCAACTCATTTCGTCGACCCTCTTTTCCATTCATTCTTTTACATGCAGTATGTCTATGTCTTTGGCTATTCGAAGCATTCTTTGCAAGTGTCTTACAATTCAACAGGCTCAACATTTATTATCTTTTCCTTGAGAAAATGAATTCATTCGCGGAGGGTCGATACGACGTTACCAACGTTCCTGGTGCTCAAATCCAGGCTGACTATGAGGAGAAGCGAACGGATGCATGGAGTCAAATTGAGGATCTCAGCGTCACCAAGCGCTTCATATCAACCTGTACGCTCAACTCTCACCCGTCATCTGCTTCACTTATCATTTTTCACTACCAGCTAAATTCGTGCAAGCTAATCGCGCCGCTGGCGGCAATTCGTTGACTGTCGGTTCTTCCATTGGTCGTTCGCCCAGCGTTACAAGTGCTGGAAGTGGGAGCAGCCGCTCAATGCCACCATCCCGAACAGCGCCTACATCTTCCTTTATCAAGAAGCCACCTCCAGCGCCGCCAGGCCAGACACCTGCTCCTCCTCCTCCATACACTGCCGCTTCAAATGATGTGGGAGCTGGAACTGCAGCTGCAGCAAAAAGACCGCCTCCGCCCCCACCGCTGAAACCTAAACCAAAGCCAGAGCCAGCCGTAGAGTATGTTACAGCCCTATATGATTTCGATGCCCAGGTACGTGTTCGGCTGATCTCTTGAATGCATCGTTGCACACCTCTTCATTTTAGGCTGACGGCGATCTTTCTTTTAAAACCGGTGACCGCATCGAAATTGTGACCAAGACAGAGAGTCAGGAAGATTGGTGGACAGGTCGTCTTAATGGCGACCAGGGTGTGTTCCCAGGCAACTATGTACAGTGATGTGATGGCGGATATTTGATAGTTAGAGTATTGATCGAGCAGCAGCTTTTATTTTTGGGGACATTACATTTTCCTGCTAGCCGCATCAAGGATCTCTTGACTATTGTTGCACAATTATCTGGGGCGTTACGGATTGCATCAGAACTTGATCAGACTTACTATCTCCTTCACACTGACAGTCTTTCCCGTCACCCTAGGTTACCCTTCATCTGCACTTCTGGCAGGGTCTTCTCCTTTAAACAACCGCTCCAGCCAGTCGTCGTTCCGATATTTCTAGCTGCTAAGTCATTACGGAAATAACTTGAACGTTACGATGGCCTGTGAGCTGCTGTTCGGAATGGTTGATTACTATGTGTCAATCACTGTTACTGTGGTCGAGAATTGCCGGTATCTACGACAACAGAAGACGACGACGTGCATGGCAATGTGTCTAGGGACAAGCCGTTCCACGCGTAGCGGTTACCAATGATGAATGAGTGAGGCAACGTTAACACCGTGATTGGATACACTCGCTCCCGCTGCGATCCACGTCTGAAAGTTTGAACCCTTAGATTTCGGCACTAGATGATGATCCCTGCGTCATGAGCTCCTGTGAACACTTGTGGTGCCAGATATTTTAGCAGTGCATTAGTAACTTGCCGTTGTAGCACAAATTTCGGCGTGGAGCAAGATGAAGTTGGCACGTGCGATGACATCAATACTCTCCCGACGTCATAACCTGGTGCAAGTACTGTAGAACGGTTCGGACAAGTTCATTCACCATATCATCATGTTTCGCACCATCATCACCTCCAACGCCCGCATTTGCACTGCACCGTCCACCCGCTCCATTCATGCCACGTCTGCCGCTAGCAAGATCACCGAGAAAGTGTCTGAGATGGCTGACAAGGTATATATCACCGCACACCTGTTTATCCTCACAAGCTTATTTGTTTCAAGGTGAATAAGAAGGTTGGCAAAGGTCTTGCGTCGGCCATTGAGACAGGTGAGAAAGCAGCGGGGAAGACCAAGGAGACGCTTGGTGAGTAAATGTTCAGCGGCGCAGAATTTGTCCATAATATATCGGTACAAGGTTCAACAACGGCTTCGGCAAAACACAAGACAGAAGACGCAAAGCAGACTACCCGGAAAACCATGGAGCAGGCTAAGCAAAAGGCCGATCAGGTGATATATCATTGCAGTGCAAACGGGTTGTTAGTCACTGATCTCAATTCAGGCTGCTGCTAGTGCGCGGGAAACTAGAGATGACGTGAAGGACAGGATGTCGAAATAACTACCGCCGCCCATCGCTGTTCTGTATGCATGATCAGCACATAGTAACCGGGCTAGGTTAAACGTTATTCACACCTTAATTGTATTCATCCACACCGAAGAGCACCCACGTCCACCAGGCGCCGAGTTGTCGTACATCCTAGCAATTTGAATTAATGATCCAGGGTTGCAAACACAGTAGAAGGTTGAAAATTTATTATTTCGTCTTGAGGTTTTGAATTTCCGGTGTGACTAGAGTCCTTCGCATCTGGCATCCATCAAGATGGCAGCGGTCTTCTGAAGAGACCCGAAGATCGCCGCGGCTAGTCTGTCAACGTCCACGATAGCCTCGGGAAGTCTCAAGTTTGAAATTCAAAAGAGCTTGAAGGGTGACGCGTCCCATAACTCGAGCAGAAGCGAGCAGTGTTCACAGTATCATGCGAAAGTCGGAATTCCATTGGACCCACTACAATGGATTCAGCCTGGAGGTATATGGAGGCCTGGGGGTGAAAAGAACTTCAAGAAAGTACTAGTGGAGAGTGTGATGGTCGCCGACCCACGTTCTGACAACGGTATTTTAATGGTGCTCGCGGTTTTGACATGACAAGGATTCGGACTCCGACTTGTGCACAACGCCGGGCACAACTTGTCCAGAATGTCACGGTATGCTAGTAGGATAGACGTCGCGTCGTCGCCTACATAGTATTTTTTGTTGACCGGTCAAGATTAGGTCCATTGATCAAGCCCAAGTCTATATTCGTCATAAACATTTGCAGTCGATCGACCTCTTCCAATCACACCACCCTGGGACCTACACCATTCCCCGCAAACTTGGCACAAAATTGCCAAAAATACCGTGACCAACAGCCCAAATGATTCAGTTGGAAGTAAGTGCCTCCTATTCATCGTCTCGTTCCAAAGTTGATCTGAGTAAACTGCAGAACTTTCGGGTGACAAAATCATGTTCGTTCTGTGTGTTGACTCGGTGGTAAACCAGGGACAAGTTGATACCAGTCGCAGACTCGGATGAGTTCCCTCGGATTTAATTATCCTGAAGAGAAGGTTCACAATTCTTTAGGACTCTCAGGGACTTCAAGTTAGTAGCATAATTAGCTCAAAAGTCGGCCACACCCCAACTAAAAGCCTTCGAGGCTTTAACCAGGCTAAATTCACGAAGAGAAGACTGTCTTCTTTTCATGGTCTCTGCTGCGGCAATTTAGGATACATGATTTGAGGAACTTCTGTCGGTCATCAAGATTCATGCGAACCATTCAGATCTATTCGCAAGAGCTGGATTCTCATTCTGTCGGTACATGCATGCCACACAATATGCGCACGATCGCTTGCTCCTGTTGAGCTATACTGCTTGAGCTCAGGCTGATACCGATGTGATTTCACCCAGTCTCTTTCCAAACGGCGTTATTGCTCTGAAGACCGTACTGACACTCTTGCAGCCTGGTAAGCGCATCATCAACCGAGGGTGTCCCATAGTCTGGCCTCATACAGAGACATAATCGATATCTTTCGGAGTGGCTTGCGGGCACTAGGTGCCTGATTTTAGCTTTCCAGACAGCCTCCGGAGGTCGGAAAGGCCCAGGCCCTCCAAGGGCCCCGTCTGTAGGCGATAACTCTATCCAGGGTCCTCTGACGACGACGACGATACCGTCTTTGGTGTCTGTGACTCTGTACGACGTGCAAAAATAAATAAAAAGTCCGGGGATATCTATCTTATTACGGTAAGCTATACTCAAGGCAACCGGGACAGACGATGTATGCATCTATCTCTCGGTGCCGATTGTGAGCTTGCTGGAAACTAAATGTATAGTTCGCGCACTTTAGTGAGCCAGTAGTATGGGTTGTGGGGACGTTCGGGAGAATTATATATCAAAAGCCGCCCTCTCTTTAGGTTCGGCTCGGCTCCGCCCTTGGTGATGGCTTTGTGGGAGCACTAGAACAGTGGTTGGCAGACAAAGTAACTTTGGTGATTCATTTATTGGTCGCCGCGATGCCAAGGCTAGATGGACAAAAAAGCACTCACGTCAGGTTGAACCCACACTGGAGAACCTAGACAGCAAGTACACAGCGCCTGCCTTACCGTTGTTTCCCAAGACGTGCACCCTAAGGCACACTGAAATGTAATCCAACACAGCACCGTTACTCCATGATTCAGAAACCTCAGGCTGAGTGGCGGGCCAAACAGACTTCAATATCATCTGAACGACCCGTGGAATTGCTCATATGTGGCACGCTGAGCGCACCATGTGATCTGCTGGGCAACGCCAAAACACTTACCGGAGTCCTCGCTCTCCACGGTTTTGACATCGAGTCCCGGTCTCAAGTCAGGTGGCTAGCTTGACAGCGACGATGAAAACACACACACGCAAATAAATATATATTAACACAGCGATTGTGAGGGTTCATTCGGCAAAACTTGGGTAAAATCCCGGCTATATATGTGGTGTGGGGAAATAGGGTTTGTCGGCGATATCATGTCAATATTATGTAATGCAGAATGCTGCGGTGGCAATATTAGTACAATCCAGCTATGTAGGGTCCGTGACTGAGGTAATTATAGCGGGACTAGACAAAACTGTGGCGAATAAGAGAGTATGGAAGGCGAGGTTGGAATCGACCCCAGATTGACGGGCTTGGCTAAAGTTACCTGACCGTGTTGGAAACCCGCCTGTATATCATTAGACAATGGATCATTCGAGTGCCTTGCGAACGTTTGCCGTCACTGGTCAGAGGACCCTGATAATTCCTATTAAGGATGGGTCCACAGGGGTGAAATTCGTTGCCAGGCCTGCCCCCTGCCAGACTGTGGCTACTAGTACTAGATTCATAGAAAAAGATCCGTCAGAATTAGCCCCAAATATCTTTCAACTTTGTATCAAAAAAGGGAAAATTGTTGTTGTCAAGTACGACTCAGATCAAGCTTCTCGAGCGCACAATCTTAGCAACATGTTGACATCACCCTGAAGCGGGGCGTAAAACTACATTTAGTCGCATGCGGCCGGACGAAAATTTCCATCGGAGGCCTCCAGGCCACCCTAAAATTGACCGCTCATAATTCAGGGCAGGGATTATCAGGGGTCCTCTGGTCAGGCGACAAGAACAGAAAGGTACATACTATTCTGTTGCACTAGATATTTAGATATGGAGTACTACGAGAATATACTTGAGGCGTAAGCGGTGAGAAGGAGCTCAGGATAAACGTGACTTGCCGATTATACTACGAATGGTAAGTAAGACTAGTCAGCTTCCTCGGAATGTATGATTTTGGACACGGTCTGTCCAATATCCACCTACTAAGTAGGCCATGGCGATGCGTTATTCCCCGTGCTTAGAATGGGGATCCGGACTTGACTATGCCAAGCGGCGCTCCGGGCCAATGCGGAACATAAACCAAAAGGTTGCCTCACCACCGCCAGATCTTTGCGAAGGGCCATTAGATCCGAAGCATGATGACATGATGGGATTCAATGCGGAAATGATTCCGTTTCATTAACGTGGTGCCAGCGGTTCGTGGTATAAAAGCAGGCTGCCAAAGCCCTGTCAAACCATTCATACCTCCTCCGCTAAACACTCCAAACACTTCAAACACTTCAAAACCTCTCTTCTTCTGAAAAAAAATGTCGCCTTTCGAATCATTGAAGAGAATGTCCATAAGCAGCAAGGTTTGTGGTTCATCAACTCGCCGATGTACGGTCCGCCAATGACATTCCGCCCATTTGCCAGAAATCTCGTCGTAGCTCCCAGAGTTCAAAGTTAACTCGTGACTCAATTCAGGGACATCCATCACCCATCGACATCACATACGCTGTCGTACGTTTTGTATAATCCCTCTTCGCTATCATTTCTGATGAGCACATCAGGCATTTTCTCCTTCGATGCCGCCTCCTCCGTACCCAACTGCTGAGGGGATCCCTGCTGTGGGCGGTTATGTAAGTTCTATATCTAAACTTCGAGAAAATTAACTTGACGATTTTGTTATAATCAAGGCTGAAATGCTCGGCGATGACAACATGTCATGGGGCACACGCCCGTCAGGGCGCCGGTCTCTTTTCTAAAGAGATGCGACTTTTTACGGATCGGCCAATACCCGACTGCATATAACTTAACGTATCTTATGTACACTAAATTGACGAGGAAATGTTGTACGATCAAACAAGCAGTGGAATACAAGAAATCTTATTGGTACACAACTGATTCGTGAGAGACTTGGTGGAGAATGACGTTCCGTGCGGCGGCAAGAACGGGAATAACAAGATTCTCGCTGACATAGCACGCGTCCGAGGGACACCTACAGCGATTCAATTAGCACGTACACTAATAACAGGAAATGTTATACGATCAAATAAGCTGCGGAATACAAGAATTTTGTTATTGGTACACCACTGATCTGTAAGATACTCGGTGGAGAATGACGCGGACGTGCCGTGCGGCGGCAAGAACGGGAATAACAAGATCCTCGCTGACATATCACGCGATACCTACAAAGATTTGGCTAGCGTGTACACTAATGACGGGGGAATGTTGTAACGATCAAACAAGCTGCGGAATACTCTGTGAGGTACTTGGTGGAGAATGACGTTCCGTGCGGCGGCAAAAACGAGAATAACAAGATCCTCGCTGACATAGCATGCGTCCGAGGGACACCTACAAAAAGTCAGCTAGCCGAATTGCTGCTGTAATCCAGGGAGGAACAAGCTTGTGACCTGTAGCGGATAGTTATCCGACATACCCTATTGTTCACTGCTACAAAAATATGTTAGTAGCTAGTATAACACTCACTGCGTTTGACGTCAAGACGTTGACTTAGCGGTCCATATTAATGATTTCGAGACCCATACTATGATATCGGCCGAATCTGCATTTTCAGCTCTCAGATAATTCAAATGAATGGGATTGGTTCCTAAAGAGTTTTGCTTGATGAGATCGAGACTTCGTTAGCGCACGAGATGGTCTAATGGAAATTTGCACAGCAATCCAGAAATACGCACCACTTTACGAGAATGCTCCGAAGCGGGCGAGATTATGGGATTCCGCTTCGCATCTACATGGTGTCCGAGGGATTATTGTCAGCATGGTTCGCGACCCCAAGACATGTACACGAACTCGCATAACTGAGCATATGAGGGAATAAGATCAGCTTGCAAACTCGCTGCATGTAGCGTATTCAGATTGCCACGAGGCACCGAGGAAGAATGCAATTACGAGGGCCACTGCCTGGGCCAGTGACATCAGTAGAGCGCGATGGGAAAAAAGCGGAGATAATACTGTAGCCTGAGACGGCGCAGTTGTTTGCTATACACCCACTCATCTATTATAGGTCACAGAAGCCTGTGGATCCCGGCATTCAGTTTTTTTTGATGGGATATAAGGTGACACGTCTTTGAACTTGGATGTTGCAGATCAGAATTCTCTTCACGAACCGAGTTGAGAGTGTGACTTACTTGCACTCGCACTCCACGCCGTCAAGCTCACGTCTAACTTACGCATCTCTTTGATTCATTGTCAACTTTCCATCTGTACCAACTTTCATGCAACGCAAAGATGTGCGTAGTAGCCTGGGCTTGTCGATAATGGGCTGACATCTAATCGTCGACAGAATAACGATTTCCATGCTAGCCTTGCTGAACATGGAGTAAAAACGAAAGATCCCCGCTTCTTCAATAAAATCGCACGAGCCTTCAAGTCTTGTTTTGGACACGGCTTCAATGGTGCCGATGCTGTTTGTCCAGCCATACTAGCCGGCTAGTGACTTTACTGACATGGACTATACTTACAGCCTTCCAGAAAAGACTACGTCAAAAGTAGAGATGCTGCAACTGGATTTGAAGATAAAGACATTTACGGCGTACGCTGCATTTTATGATTGTATGACTTGCCTTGACTAACTATCCATTAGGTCGAAGCAGAATATCTTGATGAGGAAGACATGGCTTGGGGAAGCACCAGCCGCAAAAAAACGCCCAGATGGCAGAAGATGGGCTAGGCTATGCAGATCTATACACAGTCACTCGTTCCTTCCGTGTGAAGGCTTGGTCCGCCCGAGGCCTTGGACAATTAATAAATTAGCATTAATCATTGAATATACTCACGACCACCATAGTTCATTACCACCACGTTACAGATCATAGGTATTTAAACATTAGGACAAAAGGACTAGGAATGACAGCGTTGGGTACCCGTACGTAGGGTGGAACATTTGAGACAGTTTCCTTCGGTGTTGGCGTTTGAGTTAGCTTGAGTATTTACCAATGTTTTGCTCGGTCACGTGTACGTTAACGACTCAAATGATCTGAGATCTAATAGTAGTTGAGTTCTACTCGATGCCCTTACTACCACCCGTCTTATATCACTACTTCCGCACACCGCTACCATATACGCGAACTCTCCTCCTCCAAGAAAAGATACATCAACTCCAGCTCGCTGCTCGTCGTTCATCATCTCATCATGACATCCTGCTTCTACTCGAGCACCGCCCAGTGTACACATCTGGGCGCCGGCAAACAGAACAAGAACTATACGCAGAACGCGCACGCCTGACATCGATTGGCGCAGAATTCTCCATAGCAGCGCGCGGTGGACAATTGACATATCATGGACCTGGCCAGCTCGTCGGTTACCCACTTCTAGACCTCGCTCGCACATCTCCGCCGATTGGCATCCGTGATTACATTTGCAAAATGCAAAAAATGATTCAGTCTTATTTGCTGCGGACGCATGGGATTACTCATGTACCATCAGATCATACTGGTGTATTTTTGGACCCTGTGACGAAGATAGCAAGTATCGGCGTTCAAGTACGCCATCGACTCACAACACACGGATTTGCAATGAACGTCACAAAGGAGCCTTTGGAGTGGTTTGCACAAGTTGTGGCGTGTGGGTTAGTTGACGTCAAGGCTGGATGCATAACGGAAGCGAATGGAAGAGATGTGCGGGTGGAGGATGTTGTACCAGGTATTGTTGATGCATTCGGTACCTTATATGGGAGGGATATGGTAAAATTATACCCCCAGAGCGCGGGTGAGCTTGGAGAGGCTATTCTTGCACTAGAGGAAGATGCACTTGCTGCTGGGGAATGGTTGAGGGCACCTTCCCTGACCTAATAGAAGCAGTAGTGTTCATTACAGACGGCTGGCACTAGGATCTTTTGATCATTTCCATTCACTATGCACTATGACGTCTGCAGGTGCGTGATAAAGCTTATGTGCTGTTAAAAACCTCATCTTAAGAGGCCCACCCGCTGACGCTGAATGAATTGGTTTTGTAATTCATCCGTGCCGCACAGCGAGCACTCATTACATAATTATAAGATGGCATTATCAAATAACTGGGGCCCCAGAAACCGTTGTTGAGCAGAAGTCGAATATTTGCTCGTGAAATCATGTATCCAATGGATTAATTCTTGTTTTGAAATGTCGATGATGAGGTGGAGCTGCGGTGACGACACTGCTGTCTAGCCCACTCCGCACCGCGACTGGTCTACCCTGGGCAGACCTTTATAAACGAAGGTCATTCTTACCCCAGCCTACATTTACAGCTATCTCCACCATAGTGAATTAACCTTCCTGCCGAAAGGTACGTCAATATGAGAACTTGAACTCAGTGATACTCGATGGTAACTTGGGCGCTCAGTTTATCCAAAAATCGGACCATTCAAGAAGTAGACTGCATGCCCGTCTTAATTCTGGGAGCAACAGGCGCCGCGGGTGTGCTTCTCATCCAGGAAGCACTGGCAGCATCGCACACCGTGGTCATATACGCGCGCACGCCAGAGAAACTCGCCGAGGAAATCAGGCATGATCCCCGCGTCACAGTCCACAAAGGGGAGCTCGATGACAGAGAAGCGCTTTCATCCGCCATGGAGGGCGTATACGCCGTGCTTTCTGCTCTGGGGCCATCGGTTTCGCGCGGACCCATGCACCCAAAGGGCACACCTCTTGCGCGGGCATATTCTCTTATCATTGAACTTATGATAAGCCATGGCGTGCGTCGGCTGCTGGCACTTGGGACACCAAGCATAACAGATCCGAACGACAAATTCAGTCTGCGGATGTCTATAATAGTTAAAGGCGTGGCCACCCTCGCACGCACGGCATATGAAGATGTTGTAGCCATCGGTGAAACGATTCGGACCCAAGGAAATGATCTAGATTGGACAATTGTCCGTGTACCCCTGCTAAGCGGGGCAAATGACAAGAAATTCGTTGCAGGTTATGTGGGAGACGGGAAAACAGGAATATGGTTAACAAGAGCAGGATTCGCACTGTTCGTTGTGCAAGAATTGAAGAACAATGAGTGGGTGAAGAAGGCACCGTTAATCACATTGCCTTGACCCTAGGAATCTTCAATCTTTGCATAATCAACGCAGGACTATCCCGATGATCGCCTATCTTTGTAGATTGCCCAGATATGCTATTGCTCTACCATGATCCAAATCTCCGCGCGACATTAGCACAGATAAAGACATTCTAGGAGGTAAGACGGGCATGTTCAAGCAGATCTGCCCAGTTGAACTCATCGGGCTGCTCGTGGAACTGCCTGAGTAATCTTTCAGCGGTCTGATCCCCATTCTGACTATTACCTTCACTCTCATTGCCCCACAAATAAAACTTTTGGACGCCCATTGCGAGCAGCTGAGCATCGATCTGACTCAGCAAAAAACGAGCGGTTGACGTGTCTTGACTTGGGATCGCGGCCGCCGTAGCTGCTGTTGGCGTGATCTCGCCGCGAAGTAGCACTATTCCGTGTGTCTGGGCGAAGTCGGGGTAGAATGTTAGAATGAGATATGGGGTAGCGAATGACTGCCGAAGCTTGTACTCTTGGAGCGGTGTAAACAAGACTGTCGCTGTCTGGGGCAGGGAAGCTGCGTTACTAGGAGGGGCGCGAGAGAATGGGTCGGGACCGGTGGCAGATGGAGGCAGTGGGGGAGCGTGAAAATTCCATTGTAGAAAATAGAATTCGTGGGCGACCGCACTTTCTTGGCCTTCAGGTGATACAGCTGGAGAGCCCTCCCGAGGGACAGGCATGACAAACATGGGATATTGTTTTCCTATGATAAGCATTTTGTTATAGAGTTTGATCGGTACTGATGCACAGATAAAACCCCTTCCCGTGCCACCTGTGCGAGAGGCATGATAAGTCGTCCATAAGGCCGAAATTTGCTCTGCGGTATGAGGGGTTGACATCAATCTTGGAACGTTTATGATCGATTCTAGTGCCTGAAAGCAGCGATAAATCAGTCCCGCCCAGGAAATTATTACACAGGTGACACTTACTTTCACCGGAGAGCTATCTTTGCGGGTACTTGAAATTCCTGATACCTTGCTTCGATATTCTGAAGGTGACTTGTCCAACCTTTGCGGATGCGCCTGCGACAGTCGCGCTGACTTGACATTGGCTACCTCCTTACGACGAGCTGCTTCTTTTGCTCGCGTTCTCAGTTCAGATAATTCTAATCCCTGCCTGGTGATGCCAACGAGTGGTGACGATGACCCAGAGTCAAAAATTCATGTGCAGGTAGACCGAAGAATAAAAGTTAGATCACTTGTCAGTACAATGTCATGCAGTTGGCCACAAAGGAGGACACATCTCACTCTTGTGCTTTTTGCTGAAGCTTTTCTGCATATTTAGATTCGTATGGAGAAGTTGAAGGTCCTGCGTGAATCCATCTAGCCACAGCAAGATACCTGCTAGCTGATGGACGACAAACAATGGCACGAAGGTGCAAGGTGGTTGGAGAACTCTGAAGCCATAGCATGGTGTATTGTAATCGGACTTGTAAAGTTTTATGGTTGGAAAGACGCTCGATGCCACGTAATTGCCAGATGGGGATTAGGCACAATAGGTATGCAACCACAACTTGCCTGCAACCGCATATGGGACAAATAATTGCGATAGGCGTGTGCATTGTCTGGCAACTGGCGTTACAACCACCTCCACATCTTTTGTTTTTTTTACTATCATCATCTAACGATACCGGCTCATCTATAAGATACCCCACTCATTCATTCTTCACTAACACATCAACACCATGAACACCTCCCCAACACACGATTGCAAAAGCGGCTTCCTCACGCAACTCTTTACGCTGCGCCGCAGGAATCGAAACATGCATGTCGAGCCCTACATTATCCATGATCCCGCAGATGATGCACCACCACCACCACCTCCCAAAGATTACAGGCGTGCATCAGCGTCTACGCGGCACACTTTTCTAGGAGAAGAATACAGTAGCAGGAAGCCCCTTCTATTCGATGTCGACCTTGACGTCCTAGCGCGGCCACCGCAACACGCATCGCAGCCAATCCCCGTCATCCAGCAAATGCCGCCCCGGGTTCCTATCAAGGCATATTCACCTCCTACCATACCATTGACGCCCGAAGAGAAAGAGCGCCGTAGATTGGTAGCGCAACGCCAATCCCAGCTGGAAAAAGAAGCCATGCTGAGGGAAGAACATGAACGCCAAGAGACGAAACGACGTGAGAAAGCGGAGCAAGAACGCCTACAGCGCGAGGAAGAAGAGGAAAGGAAAGCAATGCTGCAAGAGGAACTGCGGGCTGCAGCACTAAGAAAAGCGAGAATAGAGAGAGAGAGGATAGAAACAGAAGAACGGCAATTGCAAGAGCTACGAGAGAGGAAACGACTAGAGAAAGAGCGGCGGCTGCAATACACGAAGGAAATGGAACAGTGGCGAGCAGAGCAGATGCGGCGCGTCGAGTCTCAGTGCAGTGAGAAGGAAGAGGAGCGTAGACGATCAGCGGAAGGGAGACGTATGAGAGTTGCTCGCATGAACGAGGAATTATTCTCCGCCAGTGGGACAGACAAGATGGCAGGGTGGGTCACGGTACAACCGCCCAACACGCTGGCGTGGAAGAGGCGATATTACACATTTGAACTGGGCCACGCAGAGTCCAAGATGTTGCTATACGGAAATCCAAGGGTGAGCCTAATTCATCCCCATTTCGTTCGAGTTTCACGAATGTCTAGGAGGTTGTGAATCCCTTGGACGTCCTCCCTCTACACGGACGGATCGATTCACTTGCAGAGTGGTACGAGGGCTTCGAGGAACTAGAAGCAATCCCCCACTCATTTGCTCTGCGCTTTGTCGATGGCGTCGAATGGCGGATGTTCGCAGATTCGGCAGAAGAAAAGGTACTAATCCATACTATTCAAGCTCTATTTTGACTTACATAATGATTAGGATCGACTGCTGGTGCTGTTGAGTGAGGCGGCGGGAATAATCTTGTGAATTATCTGTGAAGTTTTTATTCGTTAACTTACAAGACACGGCGAGGGATGATATAAATGTGTATTCCTAGTAGCAGAGTCCATATGTAGCTTGTTCTAGTCCTTCAGCTGAATATAGAGGTCAAACCACACATTTAATAATAGCAAAAGTGAGCACTGACATACCAGTTGTCTGTACAAGTACTACTTGCAAGCAAATACGGGGACAAGACACAAAAGCTCTGGCGTTTAGTCGTCAAAGCATGACTTTGCCCAAGAGAAATAGATACATACTGAAATAAGCTCTCCTCAAAGTGACACTTGACAGTCAACGCCAGGCCTTCGACGCGTAAGTATCGCTGTCACTGTGCTCTTGAAGCTGGACACTGGCATAGTTGAAACGTCCTATATTAGTGGCTTGGTCTACCAAACATAACCAAACAGTGGTATTCATTCCTTTCTGCAGTGCCAGCTAAAAAGTACTTCACGTTCTTGCTAGTGGAATGTTTTCAGTGATCCTGCGCAGCGCAGCTCAACGACGCGCACTCCCAGCACTCCGTCACTTCTCAACACCACCTCCATCACCTTCTCAAAACCCACCTTCTCCATCTCCAACGTCACTCCCAAGCCTTGACTTTCAGCCTACGGAACCAGAACCAGAAAAGACTCAGCGCACCGGTGCAAAGTCATCCAAGGACTCGCTCTCGAGTATAGAGCGAAAAAGACAGTTTTTAGGACGTCTATCTCTTGGTGTACTCGCAGTTGCTCTCGGTGTGCAAGTCGTATATCTTGGTAGGGATTGGGAGACGGATGAGTTAAAGGAACGGAAACAGGTGCGTCTATAGTTGAGACTCTCGTTCCGTGTTTACTGATTTTTAAAAAGACGCTTGAGGAGGCTCCGTCAGGAAGGTGGGAACGAACGAAGTCGAGGTTTTGGGAACTGTTCGACGTACGTGACACAACTAATCCTACGGCACACCAGCTCATAGATTTATTAATTGCGTTGATAGTACTTCAACAAACCCCAATGGACAGAGCTACTCCCGCCACCTCTCCCAGCTCCTCATCAAAAACCGTACACCCTCCTGCTGTCTATGGATGATCTCATTATCACGTCAACGTGGGATGTAGGTTAGCTCGTTCAAAGTCAGGAGCGTCGCTGATGCTATATATCTCCTCAGCGACAGCAAGGATGGCGGACAGCCAAACGCCCTGGCGTTGATTATTTCCTTGCCTACTTGTCCCAGTTCTACGAAATTGTGATATTTACAACCCAGCACCATTATGTACGTATGATCCCTATTATGACGATAGTTGATGCTCAGAACCAACAGACCGCCATGCCCGTAATTGAGAAACTCGACCCATATAATTTCTTCATCGCCTATAAGCTTTTCCGCGAAGCCACACGATCAGTGGACGGTAAAATTGTCAAGGTAGGTATCTTCATCTGTTAAACTTCCACTTTATTTCCTTCGTCAACTATGCGTTAAAACCTTGCCTTCTCCCAGGACCTTTCTTATCTCAATCGTGACCTCTCGAAAGTTATCCTCCTTGATACGCATCCGGAACATGTAAGCTCGCATCCCGAGAACGCCATTGTCATCCCCAAATGGACTGGTGCGCCCGGAGACAAGGGCTTGATTGCCATGATCCCCTTCTTGGAGTGTATGTTCACACCTTTAAACTTCTCAACCAACCTTAATCGAATTTTCCTGTATAGCCATTGCGATTTACAAGTCCCCTGACGTGCGGCCCATCCTCCAAGCGTATGCAGGAAAAGATATTCCTATCGAATACGCGGAGAAGGAGGCGGAGGCAAAGCAAAAGCATATCGAGGAGTGGAAAACCAAGGCGCGTGGATTATCCAAAGGCGGGTTTACGCTGAGCGGCATGTTTGGCGGCCCAAGTGAAGTCAGTTTGTTCTCACCCCTTGCCCATGCAACGACTGACCCTACCATTCTGCAGTCTTCGCACTCGCCTATTCCTTTGACATATCTCGAGCAGAAACGCCTTGAGGCGCAGCGGCAGTATAAAGAGGAGCAGTTGTACATTGCGACGCACAAGCATGAGTTTGAACGGCTGTTGGAGGAAGATAGGAAGGCAATGGCGCAGGAGATGAGTGGGAGTTTGTGGGGCATGATGGATGCGATGACAGGGAGGAAGGCGGATGCAGCGAAGTCAGCGAAGGCAGACGCAGATACAGCAGTGAAGGCGAATGCGGAGGGATCGAAAGTGCAGGTACAATAGACGGACTGTGATGCACACAACCAGACAGGAGTTATTTACATCTAGGCATACATATCTGTTATTGTCATTATTGCTCTCCGCTCTCGCACTAGTCCTCAGCACCTGCTCAAATGCACTTTGTTCCGACTTAAGTGATGCTACATGTACAAATGTGTTGAAAGTAGTATCGTCGATTGGAGAGATTCGAGGCACACTTTAGCAGATACATTCAAGTGAGCCTTCGAGCAACTGTCAGACCATCGTGATTCTGGTAGAGAACTGTTGAAATTAAAGCGAAACAACATATTCGAAACTTGTTCCTCATGATTGCGTGTAGGAGGCACACGAACGGTGTGGGGAGTCTATTGTGCCTAGTTATCTTCTGCAACAACGTCCTTCTTTTTCTTCTTTTTCGACTTCGCCGTCCCATCGTCGCCATCCACTTCTGTATGCCGTCGCTTTCGCTTCTCTTCAACTGTAGGGGCTGCTTCTTCTTTGGGAGCAACATATACCTCTGCCCGCTCTGCTCGTCGTTTAAGCGTTGCCTCAGCTTGCTGTAGATCAAGTAAATTTATGTTGTGGACCGCACAATAAGACACGCACTTTTTGTTTTCTTTTTTGAACTTCCTGGGCCTCCCGCTCATGGGGCTTAAGGAAATACTCTCCCGACTCAAGCTGAAGGTCAACCTGAACATAATTTCAGCGCCAATTACTAAACAGCGACAGAGGAAATTACCTTCCGCGGTTGCTGTGGCGGGGGGAAAGGTGTGTACACTTTCTTTGCTGGTTTCTCCTTTTTGGTGCTTGCTTCGTCCTTAGCTGAGAGTTTCTCGTTCTTCTTGCTCGTCTTTTCAGATGTTTTTAGATGTCGTTTCCTGAACTTGGGCAGGAAGCGGTCCCAGGACTCCGTTGCTAACTTTGGATCCTTTGCAAGTTCCCTTCTTATCATGAGCTCCTGCGAATGATTCATTAAAGCTGCGGAAACAACAAATGTCCATTGGCACACCTTGATGCGGTAGATAGGATGAATGTTTTTCATGCAATCGATGACTATTCGTCGAACTTCCTTTAGTGACTTGTACGGACCCATGACGCTGACGGTATTTCCTTGTACGAGTACATAACACTGAGTCAATAGCTCGATAGCCTATAAAAGGTTAATGCTTATGCAGACCGTCGAGGTTATGCGATGCGGCTCACCTTCAGCGTACTCCCATCAGGTCCAATAATCCGCTGTCTCCGTTTCACAAACCGATCCTTATTGCGAACTAGATTGCCAATTTTGATGATGTCGCATGCCATGTCGTCCTGCATTACCTTCTGAGCCTGAGTGATCGCAACGCCTCTGGCGAGCAGTTTTATGACATCTCTCGCTTTGAGTATAATGTAAGGATCGAATGTTTTACGTGTCGTTCGGACGGACATGGACCCATGAACCAAGTCCAATGTGCACGCGATACCCTGGATGCCGAATCAATGGCGTAGTATGGTGGATTCTGATGCAACCACTCACATGTGAGTCCAAAACCTTGCTCACGGCGCTCCAAACTTCCCTCAGGTACTTCTCCCTATATTTTGGGAAAAGGGTTGCGAAAGAAGATTCCTCGGAAAATACACCGCCTTTGTTGTCATCTGGTTGAAACGGATCTACTTTCCACTAAAGTAAAAGTGGATTTGAGCACGCGTCGACAGTACATGCCATCACGGTGCTTACACTGGAGAGGAGATGCAATGAGAAGTGATTTGACTGACATGCAGATAATGCTCACTGGTCGATGTCATCGGTGTCCCATGCTGAAACACAATGTCACGGTTGCCTTCATAGATTGTTAAGATTGAACAACTTACGTTTCTCCTTGCGATGTCTCTTGTTTTTGTTGACGACCGGTTGCTCCCCTGAAGTAGCTGCCATTGTTGCAAGCAAAATAGTATTGCTTGAAAGTTGTCGCGGTAAAAAGAGTACTGGACACCACCGGCCTAGAAATTACCCAATTTGGTAACAGGTGCGGTATACACCTCGTGTATAATTAGCATCCTGAAGTTCGGCTCCTAGCAACTCGTTTTGTCTCGAACGCCATGGATAATTTTCCTGACGGGGTCTCTGCGCCGGATCTCACTACATTGTCATACGATGAAGCTGTTCCATATGAATCACAAGTTCCCACTCATCCATCCAATGATCGAGAACGATGTACATTGCTCAACCGCATAGGGAATACAAAAGTGTACCTTCCCTCTGACACTGCCCAGGCAAGAATTGCCAAGGTGCGCTAACAGTATGTCAATTTCAGCTTTCAGAAAGTGACTCTGACACGGGAGTCTGTCTCTGTTTGACCCTGAAGCGCAAGCACACAGATGGGGACGATGATAGTGACGTAGATATGGAAGAAGGTGAAGACGAACATTTAGCTTTCGTGTTTGTCGTGTAACTCACTTTCTGCTGCTCATCAGAAAAGACCTCGACTCTAAGAGCAAATGCTTTGCTACTCACCGGTACCCCCATTTCCCACCTGCCCACTGCCCGCATCTTTGCATATGCTGCGCATTTCGACACGCCCCCCATAGGCCTTGAATGGCTTGACGACAATAGCTGCATCCTCGTTTATGAATCAACTGCCGCTGCGCGCACTGCACATCGGTATCTCCAAAAATCTGCGACAGAGGATATGGATGCAGATGGCTTCATCACGGCAAAACCCATTCCAATTACCTTATGGCCACCAGAAGAGCGAATCACCAAGAGTCTGGGTAAAGGCCAAGGGCTAAAAGGTGTCGTACGCATGCGTTGGGCTAAGGACGATGATGTAAAGAAGAAGGGCGCAAAGAAAGAAAGCAACTTTTATAAGAAATATGGAGAAACCGCCGGGAAAGAGGATGAGGGAGGGGAAGTATCGCAGAAGAGAAGAAGGAGAGATGATTCAATTGTACGACGTCGGTTGGATGATGATCTTGATGCGTTTCTTGGAGACGATAAACCTTCCAAAATGCGCTCCGACTATGTGGGTGGATCACGCAAAACTGTGGAGTGCACTTCTGCGTCCAATTCTTCGGAGCTAAAAAATCGTATTTCTGCGCCGTTGCCGCGCCGCGCGAGGGGTCAGCTTTCGCACCGACTAGCTGACCCGTCAATTGACGCTGAAGAAGACTGGCGCAGAGCGAGGGGTCGAGGGAGGAGAACACCACGTCCACAAAGAACGCAGCAAGACCTCGATGATGAGCTAGACGCTTTCCTGAACGAGAGGGAATAATACCTTCTATGTGGGTCATTATCTGTCGTACGCACATTTGGTTATCACGCCCTTGCTTCCCTGCAAAGGACGATCCGCCTCTCATCTTCTTACCGCTCTTCACATATTCCCAGTGATGTAAAATATTTGCTCACATTGCGTATTGACTGCGTATAATTCATTCTGTTGCCACAGGGTTCATGTGGAGCGTATTCTGTGCAGTGGTGCACAGTTGGATCCCATCAGCTTCCAACTTGGTGTAGCGCTGTGCCACCGCTCCATTCCACGTCACCGGAGATCGCTGACACCCAGTCTGGCCTCTCGTTTCTAGGGAACCGCACGGGGTAGTAACACCGCGATTCTATTCTGACGGGTTTTGAGGGCACGGGTACGTCACAGTGTGATAATCATATACACTGTGGAAAGGAAAACCCACGAATTTAAGTAGGAGAAAACATTGAAAGCCACTGAAACTAATAAGATAGTACAATGAATCGACGGCCATTGAATCCCCAATATATATCAGTGGCTTTAACCACTGATTGTTGATGACATGGCCACTGAATTCAATGCAGTAAATCACTGGCTTTTAATGGCACGGCCACTGATTATTGACAACATAACCACTGAATTTGATTGAGTGGTATTTAGCATGAATACCAAAAGAATCACCACCACTACGGGCCATCAGTACTTCAGGATTGAACCCAAGACCAGTAACAATTATAGTTCCATTATTGTTACCACTTTGTTAGCGGTTGTGAGTGTCAAGCTCCTCGACTCAGGAGGATTCCAGAATGTCTCAAGGATGTCCCGAACGTGATGGAGACCTCTCAATGCTGGCCGAAACCGATCTCAATTGCTCTGTGGACTCTGGTTTTATTGACATTACCAAATGTCTTTCTGCAGCCTGTACCACCTGTAATTATGCTGTCGCGGCCATTCAACGTTGCAAGAATGACTTCTACTAGCTGAAATTGTCGGGGAACAATGGCTGTAGCTGTGAGGATGCTACACGAGAAGGCAAGCGCATAACACGTCCGTCTCAGTTTGGCTACTCCAGATTCACCAATCTTAAGTGACGCGTACCATAGTACGTCGTTGTAGCTCTGTTGTCAAATCACGTGACTGTATTTACGTCATAGTCCATCTGACCTTAATTTCAGACTTAGCCGAAACTCCGCTAATATCCTGACCCAAGGAAAGTTAACCACCGACACACAGTTTATTTCGCCAGTTTATTTTTTTGAGCGCGCAGGGCTAAATACACTGTCAAGGTTTATTGTGTACCTGCTGGCACGGGCGGAGAGTGAATCACAAACGGCCGAACGACTTGCCGACACTCTGCGGTGAAGACTCGGAAACACCTACAATCATCACGGTGCGCAATAACTCAGTAATCAGTATGTCAGCGCCGACTGAGCAGCAAGACAACGAATCTCTTGGAAACTCTCGCAGCTGCACTCCTCGCTGAGGCAAAAGACTCTGGGGGTCAGCTCACTGCTATTTCACTCGCATTGGTGGCCTTGGCCCGCCGCCGAAGAGACAGATGCAGTAAGAGCTTCTGCTGTCCACCTTCGTTCCAGTAGTCACTTATACTCGATATCAGTAGGTTTTTCCCTGCAATTTTCGCACTTCGGCAACTCGGCACACAATCAGACTCAAGTCTACCGTATCCAACATCTGCCATACCTGAAATAAACTATTATTTGAGTAGGGTTACTAGTTAGCTCTTACTATCTTACAATTAGACTGTCACGGTCTTGTTCTACTTCAGTTCAGATGTCGACGATCTCTGCTACCGTGATGCCAACGAATGGTAACAATGGCAACATTCCCAATCCATCCATGTCCACTGGCAGCAGTGGACTCCTTAAAGGAAGATACAAAAGAATACGATTGGTCGGAACATTCTACATTGTCACGAAATTAGACACTAATATCACTTTTTACTTGAGCATTCATGCGGAGGAGCTGACGCGCCCTGCACGAGTCCCTTTAACCACAGCAAGAATCTACCAGGTGACAATAGCACGAAGGTATGAGCTGGCTCAAGAACTCTGACAGCTCCGAGAAATTCAAAACCATAATCATTTACCATGATCGATGGAACGATCGCACTTTTATGTATGCTGCCACATGCATGCCACGACAGATTGCAATCATGTCATGACACGTACCTCCATTGTCCCCGGTAGTGGCATCCCACAGTGTGATGCGAGCAGACGATCGTAACTCATCAGCTGCAACCAGCTGCCACGTCAGATCTCAATCGCCCATCCCCGCATCCCTTTGGCTGGAGATCGTGACCACCACTGTTCACACGCTGTGTCATTCATTTTTTTCCTCGGCAATGAAATTCGGACTAGATATATGCTTGCAAGGCGCTGTGACTATAAAATGATTCTTGGGCTGTGGAATAATACCCACTCGTGACTCTCTAGACAATCAACCAAGCGTCTCCCGTCACTCATTCAGCGTGATGGCACTAACGAGCATCATCGAGGCGTCAAATGCTATCATGAAAAAGAGTGCGTCCCCACCAGCAAATACTTAGCAGAGACACTGATGTAAAACTCGTCATCTCGCTTTACCTATAGGAAGTGGTGACACACCGTGAGGCAATAGCGATTCTGCCAACAGGTCTCCAAAGCCAATATATCTCATATCTCACAGGTTCGACGGTGGAGATGTCTCTTTCATTATTTTGGCATCTACTTTGGTATTTTTCATGATACCTGGTCTCGGTTTGCATTTTTTTCCTCCTTACATTTGGTTATATTCACTCACTTTATGCCCATGTTATTCTCAGCTTTTCTGTATTCTGGATTATCTAGAAGAAAATCCGCATTATCGCTTATCTGGGTAGTTTCTGCCAGCAATGCAGTCTGTATCTTTCAGTGGTACTTCTGGGGTTATTCCTTGGCATTTTCGCCAACTGCAACCAACGGATTCTTGGGCAACCTATCGAACTTTGGCCTGATCAACGTCCTTAACCAACCTTCCCCGGGTTCCCCTCTAATTCCCGCGCTATTGTACGCATTGTACCAAATGGAATTCGCATGCGTCACAGTAGGAATATTGGTGGGCGGGATCGCCGAGCGAGGTCGGGTACTCCCAGCCATGGTCATCACATTCCTTTGGATGACCTTGGTTTATTGCCCCCTTGCTTGCTGGGCGTGGAACGTAAACGGCTGGGGTTTCAAATTCGGTGTTCTTGATTTTGCAGGTTAATTTGTCGTGTCTCACTGTTGTCCATATTTTCTGATATTCTGTGATCTACACAGGTGGAGGTCCCGTGGAAATCGGAAGCGGGGTAGGAGGTCTTGCCTATGCCTGGGTGCTTGGCTGTAGACAGGACAAGGAGCTCCAGAACTTCAGACCGCACAATGTATCCATGGTCAACCTGGGCACCTTTATCCTCTGGTTTGGTTGGTTAGGTTTCAACGGTGGGAGCGCTTTTGGTGCAAACTTGCGCGCTGTCATGGCCATGTGGAACTCTATGCTCGCTGCTGCGTTTGGCGGTATCGTTTGGTGCCTTATCGATTTCCGCCTGCAGCGGAAGTATAGTATGGTCGGATTCTGTTCAGGAACCATCGCTGGTCTCGTTGCGGCCACGCCTGCTTCAGGATACATCGAGCCCTGGGCGGCAGTCATTATGGGCATAATCACCGGCGCTGTGTGTAACTTCGCAACTAAATGTGAGACTACTGCATCACTCTGGAGTGCGGATGCTAACGCAACCCTTTAGTGAAGTTCCTTCTCGCAATAGATGATTCACTTGATCTTTTTGCCGAGCACGCTATTGGCGGAATCTTGGGTCTCATGACAAACGCATTTTTTGCTACTGAAAAAGTTATTGGCCTAGATGGCGTCAACACGAACGTCGTTGGTGGCTGGGTCGACCACAATTGGAAGCAGCTTTACATTCAGTTCGCCTATGTCCTCGCGACATGCATATATACATTCGTTGTCACTGCTTTAATCGTCCATTATGTCGACACAGTCCCTGGCCTCCACATACGCGTAGCAGCTGCGAACGAGGCACTCGGTCTTGACGAGGTCGAGGTAGGCATGGATATACTCTTGAATATTCCCTCAGCCTAAAAAAATAACCCAGATCGGTGAATACGCTAACGACTATATCGAAGTATGGCGTGACGTTCTGGAGCCGAACCCCGCTGTCTCCTGTTATCCACGCGAATCAACGCTCGAAACGATAGCTTGTGCTGTACGCAGCCAACCAATTTCGCAAGAAATTTCAGCGCGCAATCTGCAAGTTCATGACAGTCGTGACTCGAATGTGCTTGAAAAGCCCGTTGAACTGGAAGTGCTGAACGGGCGGGGGAATAGAATCTCCGTGATTGCATGAAGATATGGGCTTGGTCTTTGGATTACTCACTGAGCGAGCACATCCCTGGTCTACCTTCCCCTATCGCGTTTATTACACGCATTGTACGACTCGTTTCATCTTCTTTTTTTTTACCACATCTAGGGTCGGTGACCCTATGACGAATGAATACTATCATGCCTCACGTCACCTCAAAATAATCTGTATGCATCGTACACCTGCAATGTGCAACTTCAAATAATATTATTGTCTACACTATCTGCAAGCTCGAATGTCCCGTTTCTCAAGGTTCTTTGAAACTCAAATTCACGCAGGCAACAGCCAAGGGTGAACTTATATACATGCGTAAGCAGCGTAACGGCTCGTCAGTACTTATTAGGGCTAACCACACGGCTCGATAAAATTGCCATCATCCTGACGCGATTCGTTTGCACCCGTTATGCTGAGGGATTAGGATTTTGCTAACTTTCCGTTCTGTACTCACTTGGCTATGGCACATCCACAAGAAAAGGGATTATCAAATGGGCAGTGTACAAATTTATTATGAACCAAGTTATGTACGTCAGCTGGCAGTCCTCACAACACTGGTACAGGATATATCTCATGGTGGTAGCATGTTCAACGACGCCTGGACAATCTAACAATCCCAGCCGAGCACAAAGTCAACTGGCGTTGCGGTTTGAGTTGTGTTTTCGGTTCCTGAGATTTGAGCGCCACAAATGCCAATTCCAAATACTTCATGCAAGAGTAGATCGACAACGTTACGCGAGGCTATGGTTTCTGTTTCCATAGTCGAGATGAACCTATGCCGAGGTTGACGTCAGTATGGAAGCAAAAGAAATAGCATCATTCCAAACGTACGGCTCAAAAGCATTCACATAATAAAAGCCTTGATCGAGCTTGACAGGAGGAAACTTTGATGTAGGAAGCAACACAGGGTATGCCTGCCACTGATCACGTCATGAGTATCCCAGCTTGTCCATGTGGATAGTGATGATTTACCAATTTCCTATATACCCAACTGACATCACCAAATACTGTCTCGAGCCATTCATCGGAGACACGCTCTTCGGAGAAAATTTTCACGGTCGACTCAGGGTTTGCGACTGCATCTCCTGCTGCTCCGTCCACCCTTCGGACTTTCCCGTGGTAAGAAATCGAGTTAAACTCGGGCTCCACCCCGCCCGCTCGAGCACCCTCGTAGGTAGACAAAATTGTTGCTGGTACCCGAGCATTGGAGGCGAGGCCAAAATACTCCGGTTTGGGGTGTTCGGAAGGCGTCGTTAGCAACGTGACGTGCAAATTCACATATGGCTGCGGAGGGATGAGTTCGGCCAGATCAGATGGTAGGGTGATATCAGTCTGGTGGAAAGGCGCAGCAAGGATAACTCCTTGGTATGTCTGGGAACCAGCTGATGTGTAGACAGTCCACAAAGAAGTGCCAGTTTTCCGTCGAATCTCCTTGACCTGGAATATTGTCAGTGGTAAAACGCGACTCTAAGAAAAAGAAACTCTAACATTCGTATTCAAAAAGACCTTTGCTGTCGAGTTCTCGAGAAAATGTTCAAATATCAGGAAATTTCCTGCCACAACACCAGATGCGCCAGTTGCTGCCATTGAAGCGGCGCCTCCGAGGGCGTGGATCTTGTCCACGTTCTGATGCAGCGTCAGTTAATTGATATTGCAGTAAACTGCTTGGAAAGTATGGCACACCTGCCCATAGTTGACCCGCGTCGCTGCCTCAACAAGCTCTCGTGCAAAGAGCGGGGCGACGCCATTGCCTTCCAAAAAAACCGAGGTAGTTTGGTTGGTCATGGGGACCCACTGGAACCTCTCTGTGAAGACTGATAAATCATCCCAACGAGGAGACTCGGGGGTGTAGAATTCGAGGAAACGGTCTATCACTGACTGAACACTGTACTTCTTAATCCCGCGGTAAATATTAAACGAGCGAAAGAGACTTACATTGATTTTGCTCTAGTGGGTGCGGTGTAGCCGTACCTCCATAATATCTTCAAGGTTGCCCACCAGCTTTTGAGATAACTGCCGCTTTCCATCTTCGATTCCGCATGAATTTGTGGTAGATTTTGTTTAGACTAAAAAGCAGCTCACCACAAGCACAAAATTCTGGCCATCCCAAATACCAGTGTCTGCATCATCATCTTCGAAGGCTGTCAGAGTCAAGTTGAATTCCTTGGAAGCTCTCATTAAATTCTTGTTTGCGTCGACAAATATAGAAGCTCCTAGTTCCAACGGAGCAAAGGTAATGTCATCGTAAGGATGTACTACGGTGCTGCCTACAAGCGGAATTGATCAATAAAGATAAGCACTGCTCGACAGACAGGAAGCTAGAAACTTACGACCTCCGATATAATCTGAACGTTCATATAGGTCAATTTCGACGTCAATTCCGAACCTTTCCTTCGCTTTAGATATCCAGAATGCAGCTGAGGAGCCGCCTGCGCCTGCGCCAATGATGGCTATTCTTGGAGAAGCATGATCCTGTTCTACGTGGGGAGAGTCTTTTGATTTAAAAAGAGGGATACTAAAGGGAAATTGAAAAGCAAGGCTGGTGCAGATGAAAAGCGAGTATATGAGGAGACGATGCATGACTTGTGATCTGAGCAGAAAGTACAAACGAAGTAGTACTACGTACTAGTACGTGGTTCTTGCAAATATGTACAAACACAACTTCATCATACACTGATCATCATAGATCAAGTGACTTCGCGTCGAGGCCACCACCAAGTACGTATAGACGGAGAGTGTATAGGCTTGCTTCAGATTCGCGGAGTCGGGACTTCCCCTGACAGTAGTCAGTAGAAGGAGGCAGTACATACGTACGTATGCCACCCATGCAATATATATAGAAGAGCTGCGACATGCAAGTGCATGGCATGTTCCCACTGTTCCTACTAGCATCATATCAACGACCAACTCGTGTCGACAATGGCAGCGACAACGCGGCTGGGTCGCGTTCTCCAAATACCGTCAGAGATAACCGAACAGGCTCTTACACTTTGCCATCCTTACGACGTTGAGTCGTTCTCTCAGACTTGCCGAAAAGCACGCCACCTAGTTTATGGGAACCCAGATCAATATCTTTGGCGCCAATTATTCCTTCTGTTCCCCTTCGATGACCCTAGGCTGATCTCATCCCCATTTCAGGAAGACGGTCAATTCAACTGGAGGAAGCAACTACACCGGCGATTGGCGGCGCAGTTAATCGCCTGTCGCACAAATCCAACCCTTGAAGACCTCTTGACGGCCATCGAAACCTTTATTTCTGTGGTGTGCACTGCAGCCCCCGTCACATGGGGACATGAACGCATTTCATCCCCCAATTTATTGTGGGTTGTTGAAGTGTTGCAATCCACAAACATGCTTCGCCGCTCTCCATTACTCTTCCAAGAAGGGAGTAACCAATCGTTGGCTCGTCTGCGAGCATACCTTGCACTGACGTTGGACGAGTACGACGATGACGATGACGAGGGGATGGAAAGATTGAAATTGATAAGGACGAGGAGTCGCTGTCAGGTTTATGATCTACGGAATTACCATCAAGACAACGACTGGGGTCCATTCAATGTCATAGCAGGAGAAGTGGATTGGACTCACATAGAGTCAATTATCAACGTTGTATCTATGAACCTTTCTGACCGTCCATGTGATTGGCCGGATGCAAGGCCGCGTTATGGGCTCGAAGCTACCCGAGCATATTCAGCTCCTGGCACTACAGGACTAGCAACAGGTGATTGGGCTGGTGTTGAGGGTCACTGGAGGAGATACGTCTGCTTCATGGATTATCGGTATGACTTTTGTTTACCTTTTATTCGCCCAGTACTCAAGTGTCTCACTGTACCACCAGAGACTTGTTTGGTGAGTATACTTGTATTCTAAGCTCTAACATTCATTCACATGCTTATCAGCATTCAATGTAATGATTTTCTTTGTGAGGCTTACCCTGATGTTCAAACATTCCGCAGTACGGCAACAGAGGACGCGGTCAACGAGATAGCACCTATTTTGACCCTCCAGATTTTGAAGAGGCTGTGCGGCTTGTTGAGCTCAAGCTGACGCTCATAGACGCTCAGGAAATCCCAGAAGTCTACACACTCAACCGCTTCCCTGATTCCCCATGCAAGCACTACCCAACCTTGTATTTCACTGGAACATCTTGGGGCATAAATGGCAACGAGGCGACCATCGTCGGCTCTGTAGCCATGTCGGAAGGTGGCGTAGTACGATGGCGATTTGTGAGTCCTGTTATCATTAGTCATTCCACAAGATACGAAACCCAAGCGGCATGAGTCACTTCAGGCGTCTATTGCCAATTCGCACATTCAATGGGGGTGAGTCGTAGGGTGTTGCAATGTCAAAATGCTTATAATCTACAATACTTAGTTCCGAAGGGGTACAAATCGGCGGCATCGCCAGTGCATTCGGAGTAATAGGAACGTGGACAGGGACTCATCATGATCATGGTAAGTACCTATCGGTTAACTTTTAATATGATGTTATACAAGTTTTTTTTTACAGGCGATCCTGTCGGTATGCAATCATCTGTCCATCACGCACCCTCAAACTCATAAGCTCTTTTGCACCATAGGTCCTTTTTGGCTTTACAAAGTAGAGGCTGATGATCCCGTTTACATGCGAACCGTCGTAAACAACCAAGTCAATGCTTGAACCACTTCATGATCATCTACGTTACCCACATAGAAACTGTCTTGCGTTGTTTTGAATATTGCTCTCGTTATATAGACGGTAACCGGTAATCGGTTGTACAGTTTCGTAGAACGACGTTAGGCCAATCACGATCGCTTATGTCATCAATATGCGAGACTAGCGAACGCATTTTTTTCTCTTCTTTTTCAAACTTAACAACCTTCAGCTAGCTTTGCCTTTGCAGAGTAACTCTTAGCCAGCCAGCCTTGGCTTTGGGTATTAGGCTGGATGGGAGAAGAAAAGGCATACCAGGAGTTCAATTAAGCCGGAGCGCCTCCCAGACTTTGCCACTGCCTTTCGAGGCAGCTTGGGAAGTGCTTGACTATGCAACTCTGACATCTTCGAGTGTAGCCACTAGAGCCTAGTAATAAAAGAATCATTCAATCATCATTTCCAAGGACCGTACTTTCAATTTTGGACAACTCAAATCGCTGGTCAAGTGATCCAATAACCTGACCCGTTCGAGTTTCCTTCGTGACCAGTCGTCAGCAGCAAATATCTGGAACTGGTTCTCTTGATTGTTACGGCGCGCGCAATCGACTCGGAACAACCTTGAACAACCAAGGCGGCACCGCGAGCATGGCAACCCACGCGTAAATGATGAGACATCAATGTATCACCTTTGAACGCCTCGACGTCGTCCAAAAGTCCAAGCCTACTTAGCTGGAGATGCGTTCGAGAGAGAAACCATAAACTAATATAGAGGTATATCTGGGCTTGGAAATTTAGAGATCAAAAGTAGTAAAATTTTATAAAAATACGAAAATGCATGCTATATCATGTATTAACGAGAATGAAAGGTGAAGGAAAAGTAAGTAAAAATGGCATGTACTTGTGAAAGGTACGAGACAAAGGCTGAAAGCATGGCGTCGTAAAGTCCAAAAATGAGTCCAAGTTGCCTCGAAAGTGCAGTGATAGTGGCATCAACGAGGCATGAGAGCAACTTGCGCATTGTTCTGATGCATTAGTTGGCCACCACCCTCAGCCGGATCCTTGATCGTCAACAACATTTCTTTGTGATCCTGCACAAGAAATCAACTCCGGATACACCTTGATTACACCAAAATTAGATGATTCATCAGGATGATACCATCATATTTATCAGACCAACTTACTACTTCGCAATCAAACACGACCGGCGCTTCGATTTTCACCATCAAGACCCATTCAAGAGAAGCACATCATCACTCAAGTCTGGAGCTTTGAAATCTTGGTCTAGAGGCAGTACGAAGGCTGAGATTGTGTATATGATCACAATCACATACTCTGTGACCATATCCATTACGAGGAAGATTTCCCAGTTGCCCGTGACCAAGTCGAACACTGCCAGGCTGCTAGCATTGGATGAGGTCGCTGAACCAGTAAATGTGTCCGTAGTGATTATGGACAGTACGCCGTATACCGTCCGAACGGCCAGGAATGGAAGTGCGAAAGAGATTGCCTTTAGGAGCTGAAGATAGAGCGTAACAACATTAGTCGGATATATGCCGGTGCTCTGGAAAGCTTACCTGCTTACGGTATTTCATGATATTGCGGAGTTGGGTCCACAGAAAGATGCAAATGCCGACAAGGGCAATGTATTGCACAGAAAACAGGAGGAAACCTGCCTTGCGCATGGTGCTCGCACTTGAGCTGGAATGTGACACGATGGCGAAACCAATAACGGTTAGGAGTACAGCTGCAGCGTTGAAGAGTCGAAAAGAATGGAAAATCGTTTCATCTGTTGGTTCGCCATCAGGCCCCTCAAATCTATGATAGTGTCAGCTCATCCTATCCATAAATAAAAACATGATGGCCCACATCGAGCGCAACAGACTAAGCATGCAAAGCAACAGTGGAGCTAGGCCAAGTACTTCTAGCATGTAACCTGCAATGTATAATCCGTTGTTCAAGGGAGTAACCTTTTGAGCTGCGACAAGGAAAGCGCCACCCAATACTCGCGCTAAAGAATTAAAGCTACAAGTACGACCAGAATACCAAACGACTTACTGATGCAGAAAACCAGCAACGAGGTCCACCGACCTTGCCATATACCGCACCTGGACGCCACCTTGAACGAAGTAAATAGGAAGGGAATATACATCACAATCGTCGCCGCCGCCAAGATTCCCTGGGTGTCCAAGTCGAGAGCCATAGAAACTGAAGTGGGAAAAGAGTATCAAACTGAGGGAGAGTATGCGAATGCTGCATTTATTTATATGGACCAGAATGGGGAAGCACTATCTATCGCCTCTAATCTGCTCTGACCACTGCGAGGTGCTGTGACTGGGAGGCACACTGCACTGGATGTCACATTTTGATGGAACCGCATGCTTACATGTAAAATCGCGGGTTTGCAGACGTGTTTCAATACGGCACGATCGATCATCGGACCTCCTTGAAACACGTCGGTAAAAACACCTATAGGACCGACATGTGTTCCATACAGCACGGTCCTCCACTATCGCCGACCACGATATGCTATAAAAGTCAAGTCAATATCATGTGCATTGTGCAAACCACCGTGACGGGGGTAGGGCGTGTGATGGTGCTTTCACAACTGCTCGGGGATGCTAGAAATGTGACAGTAGTAATTGAAAATCTGAGTAGTTGAGCGTGAGCTGGAACCTGGCACAACGGAGAGAGCAATTGTGCCGAGGAGTCAAGAAAAGCGGAATCGGTTGTCATATGTTGATTGACCATCAGGCGTCTGGAATCTGTGGCAGTATTCAGCTCATCCCATGGCAACTTGATGGACGCACACTGAGCGCAACAAATCCAGCGTGCAAATCAACAGTGGGGATAGGCCAGATGCCTGTAGGGCGTAAATAACGTTGTATAATCCGGTGCTCGCGGGCGTAATCACGTCCCCAGCTGAAAGCACCATCCAATACTCGGGCTGAAAGGTTAAAAGCTATGACTGGGAGAATAACGACCAACTCAGTGAAACAGAACGCCAGCAACATGATCCCATCATGCATCACAGCTCGCGATATGCGACTTGAACAGAAAACTATTGTGTAAATTCATTTGAGGAAAATTTGATGTTCGAAGTTTGAATCAAGATTCAACTTCGCACCGCCACTACATCATTAGCCTCTCCAGGCCTCTCTGCAGACAAATCATCCACAAATTTTTATTTTTCCGCGTCGGCACTGAAAATGAAACTGCCACGACGTGTGCCATGGGCAAATATTAATGAGCTTGATCAGCTCTGTTCTTGGGTTTTCATGGACGAAGGTGATCTCGAGGCGAAACAGTTCGCAATCAACAGAGTGAGAGGCTTCAATCAATATTCTTGATGGTTGTCTGACAGAGTCTAGTTGTCGGCATGGAGAGCTGTGACTGCATTGCCTCACGCGCTGGAATCCACTCTATCTATTCTAGCGGCCCGATTGATTGATACTTCTGAAACACAACAGAATCCCTTTTGGTTGAGTGTAAGGCAGAACTATGCCGCTGCAATCATCCGAATGGTAAATGGTCTCGTGGATCCTTTACAAGCGGGAGCATATGCGAGATCTATAGCGTCTATCGCCGCCCAACTAGGATTACCTTCATGGTTAGTGGAATTGAGGCATTCAGCCACGCACGAAGATCTTCCCAGTCTTGAAATGCTCAGGGAAGCAGCACGAGAGGTAAGCCTTTTTATGAGGTATTGCCAGGATTCTCATCATGGTTCATATTTGTTGGGCGCGGTCAGTCGCTGACGTGGTTATTGCACAATTACTTTCTTCCCACTATAAATCCTTCAGCTCCTAGGCCGAGTACGGCACCACCTTTACGACCGGTTACTCCACTTTTAAAGCAATACAAGACACTGTCGAAGATTATCGCGCGTGACGCTTCCCTTCGCAAACAAAATCAGCCTGACATCGATGCTATCATGCGAGATATCGAGCGATGGCTCGCAGAAGCCAAACTAGCTGCAGATTTTGCAGCTGATGCGTACGGGTGGGGCACCATCGATGACAATGACGTCGAACAAGAGGATTTCAGAGAAAAGTGGGCTCTGGAAAGACTTTGTGATGCCTTGCTTGAGAAAGGTGCTCTCGTATCTCTCTCGCAAAAGTATGTGTTTTCACATATTCAGGGTTTCCTATTGACTAGAACACTTAGGAGGAGAAACCTTCCGTCTGACGAATTTGTACCTCATCACTCGTCGCTTGTATTATGGACTCCGTTGTTGGCACACACACACACATATCATCCTACCTTCCCATCTGTTCTAACCACTCGGATTGTGGAAAACCTTCTTTATGACCAGCCAAACACAGAATTTGACATGGATGTCGTTTTGTTGGAGGCAGACGAATCTCGAAATGACCCCTCGTATCATCTTGCTCTCGCGAAATGGGCTGCATGGGTTATCAAGGCATATGACAATGGTCAAGAAAATGGGGAGTTGAGCCTCAGAAAGAATCTAATTCTTCAACTAGCTTCCACCCTTGCTCCGGGTAAGACACAAGGGGCAAAGAAGATCGATGTGTGAGTACAAATTTGATATTCGGCTATTACATTGATGCGAACAGCATACAACAGGTTGGCCGCTCTCCTTGGGGCGGTGAGCTCGGGTTTCACGGAATTGCAGAAAGCATCTGATATGCTTCTCTCTACCACGCATCCATTACAACCGCATGTGAGTAAATCGAGGGCCAGTTTCATCTCCTTTCTTGATGGATTTCAGCATTGGGATGCGGGTGATCTGACAGTGATGAATGAGCGGCTTCATTCTTTAATGTCTCTTGATGATGAATGTCAAAAATACACAAATGATTCAGAGTCAGCGCCGACTACATCATTGCCACCAGCGCAGAGTTCAAATATGGGCGGTTGGAGATTGCTAGACCATCACAGCGGCTGGAAGTCGTGTCCTATAGGCGTTTATTATCCAAGTCATGCATTGTCAACAGCGTAGACAATCAAATGTTCGCAGCTATGTTTTTGTGTTCACATGGGTCTGAGTCACGGTCACGCCACATCATGCTGCGTAATACTACGTATTAGTATCACTCAGTTTCCCCATTCCAGCAAGTGCATGATTGAGTTGCACTGGAGCACAGGCGCTCCAAGTCCTTACTTCTCTCCTCTGTTTTAGTAGTGAACTATGAAGTTCAATACGCCGCTACCACAGACGCTACCTAAAGAATGCACCAAGGCAGCAAAGATTTGTAAGTATTTGCCAGCTTCTTTGTGGGCGTGCTGACGCTTTGCCCAGTTTCCTCATTCGTGGACAACAAGAATAACGGTCTTGACGGCGTGAGTATAGCTGTTAGCAGCACAGGGGGCAAAATCTCAATCGACGTACCACCAGGTCATTCCTCGGGGTGTGTTAGAGAACGCCAAGGGATTTGCCATCTTCACTGTTTTCAAAGCAGGCTTCCTCTTCTCGGCAAGAGCGGGAACGGGGATCGTAATAGCGAAGCTTGATGACGGATGTGGGTACTTCGCATATTACGTGTGACCAGTACTGCTCACAACTTATCAACGATTAGCATGGTCAGCTCCAAGTGCTATAGGTTCAGCTGGTGTAGGGGTTGGTGGACAGCTTGGTGCGGAGATGACAGATTTCTTGATTATTCTTAATTCAACTTCGGTTGGTCTATGTTTCCTGAATTGATGAGTGTCTTCGCTAACATGTCATTCTAGGCTGTTGTATGTCAATCTTTATTCAATCTTGGTATTCATTAGGCACTTATTCGTGTTCTTGTGGTTTAGAGATCCTTTATGTCTGCTGGCAACCTCACTTTGGGAGGCAACATGAGTGTCGCGGTAGGCCCTCTCGGGCGGAATGGTGAAGCGATTGGATCCCTGAATTCCAGTGGCAAGGTTGCTGCCATGTAAGCCCACCCTTTGACATCCACCATACAGCAATATACTAATTAATAACTCAAACTTGAATTATGCAGGTACAGCTATTCTAAAACGCGAGGCTTATTTGGTGGAGTTTCCATAGAGGGCTCTGTCATCGTTGAACGTCATGATGCAAATACGTTGGCATACAAACAAGACGTCACTGCGAAGATGCTTCTCAGCGGAGCCGTCCCTTGTCCAGAGTGGGCTTCGCCTCTTGTGAAGACACTCGAATCATGCACCGGTTTGCCAGGAACTCGGAAGTGGGTCGACGAAGGATCACGGGAACAGTCTGGTTACGCATTTGCGTCCCCAAAGAGTGAAGGCAGCACCCCTTCCTTTTTGAGCAGGAAGAAAAAAGGTGTGGATTTTCCCCCGGAACACTGGGGAAAGAGAAGTGGATCTAGATCGTATTTTACGAGCGGGGGATCGGACGTCGATGTTGGCTCTACTCCATGGGATGATCGCGCCCCACAGTCAGGGCTTGATTTTAATACAAAGTTCGAATCTGACCCTGCGCCTCCTTCGCAGAGTTACCACCGGTCCTTTAACAGTGTCTCTGCACCACCAGGTGTAAAGGAGCGATATGACCCCGCATCGCCATTCAACTCCCTACCACCATTTAGTTCTGCACACTCGGGCTTGAGCGACAATAGTGGTTCTCATTCGCGCTCAACGAGCGTACCATTTGTCAAACAATCTTCTAATCGGCATTCCTTTGCGGACTATACAAACCCTTTTGCTTCCAGCTCACCACCGGACGACAATTTCTTCGAATCAGACAATCACACGAGCTATCGCGCGGCGCCATTCATAAAAACTAAAGCAGAATTGGCCTCGTCTGTTGCTCCCGGTGAAGGTATCAGTCGTGCGATAGCACTCTACGATTTCAACGCGGTTGAAGTATGAATTTTTCTCTCTTATGATGAGCCACTGCTCACCGGATCACATGTAGGCTGGCGACCTTTCTTTCTCTAAAGGGGATGTAATTATTATAACAAAGAAGAGTGATAGTACTGATGACTGGTGAGTTTCTTCACCTTCTTTCCGCGGCGATTTCATGACTCGAATCAGGTGGACCGGAAAGGTCGGTGCCAAGGAGGGAATATTTCCGGCCAATTTTGTGGAAACTGTATAAGTACAATGGCAGCGCATCCCCATTGATCAAGGTATCATTCTGATGTATTGAGTATCTCGTTGTACTTTTAGACCATTGCCAACTGTATTTGTTGCAACAAGTATTAATTGACCATTATGTACATCTGTGTTTGGATACTTATGCATATGTTTGGACACTTCTTCGGAGTGCAACTTATTCTCCTATCCACATGTTCAAAACCAGGTTGGAATTGCTCTCGAGAGAATGAAAGAGACAATGCCAAAGGTAGCAAAGAAGTACTATGCTGTGAGGGTTGGCCGCGAAGGACCACAAATATACGACTCCTGGCCTGAGGTGAGTTTTCTCTTAGGTTCAGCTGAAGCGCGTCCCTCTCCTTAATGTCCATTTCAGTGCAACGCGAACGTGAGCTATGATAAAGCAGACCATGACTGATACATACCAACATATAATGCGAAAACAGGTTTCGCGTTGGCCCGGTGCCGTTCACAAGAGCTTCCGGTCTCGCCTTGAGGCTGAAGAGTGGCTTGCGTTAACTAGACCAAGTGAGTAATTCATCGACTAATGGTGATGCTACTAAATCTCGGAAGTTTTATCACCAGCTTCGAGTATGGAACCTACTATGTCGTCTATTAGACACAGTGTGTCATCGACCTTCAAGCCAAGAGTGGCAAGACCCAATCAAGCGAAAGCAGAGAAGCAACCACCAACAGGCTTTGAAGGACGCGAGACTCCCATTGAGACATGTACACCTGGACCTTCAACGGAGAGTATTGTTCTTTCAGAGGAGCAAAAAAACGTGCTTCGAAAAGTCGAGCGTGGCGAGAATGTGTTCTTTACCGGGTCTGCAGGTGCGTAATTCTAGCTGACTTGACTACATCATCAATGACTCTGTCCAGGCACCGGTAAATCTGTTCTCTTGCGGGAAATAATTCGAGTGCGTGGTGGGCGGGGCCACCCAGGTCTCGCTATAACGGCCTCGACGGGAATAGCATCAGTTAACATTGGCGGAACTACCGTGCATTCATGGGCGGGTATCGGGCTCGGTCTAGAAGACGCAAAGAAGCTCGGAGGTAAATTTCTTGGCCAGCCCAAGTTTGAACGGGTCAAGCAACGGTGGCAATGCGTCCAAACTCTCATAATAGATGAAGGTTTGTGGCATACGAGTTTTAATGGTTGTCTCATGAAAAGGCTGACTGTATCATTACACAGTGTCCATGATCGACGGAAAGCTCTTTGATAAACTGGTATGGTGCTACCAAAGCATTGTATTCTCATACAGTTGACGCTATCTTTGAACAATAGGATGCCATTGCTCGCATTGTAAGGCGATCAGACAAACCTTTTGGTGGCATACAAGTACAATCCAAACTATTTCTTCTTAATTTCTGACTTCTGATATGTTTGTAACCTGTAGCTGGTACTTTCGGGAGACTTCTGCCAGCTTCCTCCAGTGCCGGATCGTGGCAAGGACGGAAACCAAATACCATCAACGTTCGCATTTGAGGCGGAAAGTTGGACTCGTTGCATCAAGCAGCCTATAGTGCTAACGCAAGTTTTTCGGCAAAAAGAGCAAAGTAAGCGATACTTTACGATTCTGCGTTCACCTACCTACATAAATTTAGAATTCGTCGACATGCTCAACGCGATGCGTTTTGGAAAGTTGGATAAGACTTCTGTTCAAGCTTTCCTAAGTCTTTCGCGCCCAGTCGGGTATGAGGATGGTATCGGGCCAACACAACTGTACGAGGTTTGCATATGTTTGCGTTATCAGCCTCAAAATTTCTCATAGGTACCCCACTCGCTCAGAGGTTGATTCAGCAAACCAAAGAAAGCTTACTTCACTGCCTGGTGATGGAATCAGATACCCGGCAACCGACACACCTGGACGTGATTCGAATGACAATATTGTTTCATTCGAACAGATGGGCCGCTTGTTGGAAAGGCTTGTGGCACAACGAGTCATCCATTTAAAAGTAATTTGTACTCCTTTTTTGCATGTCCTGATTTCACACATCGCAGGTCGGCGCACAAGTCATGCTGATCAAGGTAATGTGAGCTTCTTCCAACATGAGCTCCTGAGTTTAACAAAACTCTATAGAACATGGTGCAGGGCGAGCTTGTAAACGGGTCTGTGGGACAAGTGGTCAGATTTAGTACATCTGAGGAGGCTATGCGCACCGCTACTCCAATTGCCACGGAAGAAGGTCTTAAAGGTGGTCTCTCCACCAAGTCAGAGGTCCCTGCCAACTATGACAACTCGCAATGGCCCGTTGTCCGATTCACGTGTGGCAGAGAAATACTTTGTGTGCCAACTGACTTCACCGTCGATAATGCAGATGGTGGTATAGAGGCGAGAAGACGACAGGTGAGCCGTTTGACGTTCGCTTTAAGTTGGCGAATGAACAAGATTAGGTTCCTTTGATATTGGCTTGGGCACTGAGCGTCCACAAGTCTCAGGGGCAAACTCTTGAGAGGGTGAAAGTAGACCTTGGGCGAACTTTTGAGAAAGGCCAAGGTAAACATTTCTTGAAATGTCATAATGCGTGTTCATGATGACGCGTCCTCAGCATATGTTGCGCTTTCTCGTGCTACTAGTATGAGCACCTTAGAAGTATTAAATTTTCATCCAAACAAGTGAGCTTCTCGTTCAAAATCTGCTTTTTCGTGTTTGAACTGACCACGCTTCGCTGCAAGAGTAATGGTGCACCCTCGGGTGTTGGAGTGGCATAACAATATGGAATGTGAAATGCTGAGTGACCAGATGTACGTGGATGACGAGTCTGAGGCCATGGACAGAGACGAGTCTCGGGAAGCCTATTGGACTTGATATCTACCGGTTATTTACAATCATAGGATTAGTATCTATCTAATAACTCATCAATATCATGCTGAACATATTTATGATGGCAAAAGAAATGCAGGAGTAAATGATAATCGTATTCTTCTTGCGGAAGGAATCAGTCAACATCAGAGTTTCCCAAGATGTGACGGTTTGGTATAGTACCCGGAAGGGCATCACAGGGAGCCGTCTATGATATCGTGTATGGACACACATGTACAGGAACTCGATATGAGAATTAACCACGCGGACCGGGGGATCAAATCGATCAGGCCTAGGCCTCAAGCACAGATCAGTGCGGGCCCCCTGGAACCGTTCCATCGCTAAAATCCCGCTGCCCCGGCGGGGAATGCTTAAGTAAGCTTGTACAGGTTCATCATTTTCTTCGTGATCGTTAGCACTGACTTAATGCGCCTACTAGCAACGTTTAACGCGTCAAGGTTCTCATGTCCTCAACGCACATCTCCATCAGTCGGGCTGAGACGAGTCCTCGCTTCCCGTGCTAATAGCTCTACAACCGATGCACGAACAGTCAACCATAGTATATCCTTACTCGACTCTATAATGGGGTCTTCATCAACCCTCGACTTGAAAACTTCGTCATTATCAAATATATTATCTCCTCCCACACCCCCAACCCAGAAAATGCTCATTCCGCCAGTATCTGATCCCCTTCTTCATTTCCTCGCATCTATCCTACTTAATCACGGAAAACGGGCAAGGGCAGAGCGCATCGTTTCCCGCACTCTTCTTTATATTCACGCTCTTACCCGCGCGCCGCCGCTGCCTATCCTCCGACATGCTCTCATCACCGCTTCCCCCGCTGTCAAGTGTATCTCACAGAAACGCTCAGGAAAGAGCGTCGTGAGACCTGCCGCGCTTACAGAAAAACAGCGCGTAAGAGCAGGCATTCACGCTGTATTGTCCGCCAGCAAAAACAAGAGTGGCAAGACGGTGGAGGAACGTTTAGCCCGAGAGATAATTGCTGTCGTCAACGGAGACAGCAAAGCTATCGCTGACAAGGAGCTGGCTCATAAACAGGCTATGGTCAATAGGTATGTACTATATTGACATCAACTAACTTTCATTGACATATCGTACAGGGGAAACGCACTCGTAAGATGAGGACGAAACCTAGAAAATAGTGGCAAAATCCGCGTGTAAAGACTTTCTGCTGAAGCGCGAAATACATGGATTAATGTTCTCGCTCACCCAGTAACAATATATTGACCCTCGCTCGCTGAGCGAATACCGTCGTTCTTCACAAGTAGGGCAACCGCTAGCCATCAGGTGAACAACAATATATATTTATTCTCGCTCACAAAACGACATACATTTATTCTCTGTAAGTTACTCGGTAAACAAGCCATCGTTCTCTGGAAGGTACTCGCTTTCACTCTTGGCTTCAAAATTATGGACCTTAAATTACACATGTCGGTTGCGAATCGTCAAGCTTTCAAGACTGATCATTAACTTCTTCCCTTCAAGTTCAAGTTTGACCGACGTGAGAGTCTGAACGTTCTCGATCACAAACTTGGGCGGCTTGCCTCGGCTGATATTTCTATCACGTGACATGGAGTTGTAGACGCGTTTAGCGCGAACACGAGTCACGACGCAACCAGCCAGCCTACTTAAGTTTGACTTGTAACCTACTTCAAGTGTTCGCCGCCAAAAATTCCTGCGAAACTTTCGAGCAGTCTGTTGGTGATCATGCCAGCGCGATACTACGCTGTGCGCATTGGCCGCGAAGGCCCAAAAATTTATTCAGACTTCAATGATGTAAGTCCCTTGAAACTATCGATGTGTAACTTAGGTCGAGTGTTGACGGGCGGTGATAGTTTCGCATCGCAGTAAGTTTACCCTTGCCGAGTCAGCCCAACCTTCGTCGTTTGATTATTGTTTGAGACCCTTGGTCTTAGCGGTGCTAGCGGGAAGGGATTCGACACGTTGGAGGAAGCAAACAATTGGCTTATCATAGCAGGCATACCGACATCTGCCAGTGTGTCTGTAACTCAAACAACCACCAGTAGTAGGTGTATATTCTTACTTCCGGTCCTTCGAATGTGGTAACATGCTGCACTATTCGACAGCCACAGTTACATGGGATGTAAGGCATGAAGCCAATCAATCAGCCTCAACGTCTATGCACACAATTTCTCGCGAGTCTGTGAGACGGTATCCAGAACCTCAACTAGATCCTCTTTGGATGGAGTACGACGAATTGCCCTCGAATACGCTACGAGCGCCACCAAATAGCGACAGACTTACGCCTCCTCCACCATATATTCCTCTTCAAGAGGCTGAACCTCCCCTGCCGCCTCCACCTCCGCCAGAAATTGAGTTGTCTGAAGAACAGCAACGCGTTCTTCGACTCGTTGAAAATGGCAAAAACATATTTTTCACAGGTCCAGCTGGTAAGCTTACATGTACACTTTCAAAGATAAGCAATCAACGCATAACTTTCCAGGAACAGGAAAATCAGTTCTATTGAGGGAAATAATAGAGTCGCTGCGACGTAAAGTCGGTGGGGTTGCCATCACCGCACCCACAGGCATTGCAGGCATGAACATCGGTGGCTCAACCATTCACTCCTGGGCGGGTATAGGCTTGGGCAAGGAAACTGTCGAGGAGTTGGTGGATATTCTAAGTGACAGGGCGGTCCAACGATGGACAGACACTCGTGCCCTTATAATTGATGAAAGTATGTTTGATCTACAGTGTTAGATAACTGTACTAACATGCGGCAGTTTCGATGCTGGATGGCCGTTTATTTGACAAGCTTGTATGATTTCATGCCTGCACTTCATCTTCATTTGACTGACTTATTGAGTAGGAAGAAATTGGTCGGATTCTCCGGGAAAGCGACCGACCTTTTGGGGGTATACAGGTAAATAGTTGTCTCTTGGTCCTTGTGTTACCCTCTAGTTTCTGACAGGTTGAATAGCTTATCATATCTGGTGATTTCTTCCAGCTTCCACCTGTCCCCGAGCAAGATTCCACGACAATGATACCACCTACCTTTACTTTCGATTCGCTATCTTGGTCTCGATGCATTGACGAGCCAGTTGTGCTGACAAAAGTTTTCCGCCAGAAGGATACTAGTAGGTATTTCAGATTCCATACAGCTTTCCGGACATCTTACAGAAATGCAGAGTTTGTTGATATGCTCTCTGCGACGAGGTCAGGACAATTGGAAGATTGGCACGTTGAAGAGTTCTTCAAGTTGAGCCGTGCGGTCGAGTACTCCGATGGCATATGTCCAACTCAATTGTAAGTTTCTAGCTTACCTCGCTGTGATATATCAGTAGTCATTATCGTCCACAGGTTTCCACTAAAGGGCCAGGTTGAGTCGTGTAATAAAGAACACCTCGACGTCTTACCAGGAGAAGTAATGACCTACACCGCCATGGAGTCTATGGGCTTTAACATGTATGGAAAGCGAATATCAGCTGATGATGCAGAGCGGCAGTTAGAAAGACTAGTTGTTCCTCGGGAAATATCGCTAAAGGTTGGTTGCGATTATACTCTTGCTGATTTCTAAGTATGTTGCCTGATTCATTACACATTCAGGTTGACGCACAAGTAATGCTTCTAAGAGTGAGTGTCTCGAAATGACTATATTGATTAAGCCTGACTATACTTCAAAGAACCTTTTGAAAGGCAGCCTGGTCAATGGCTCACTCGGCAAAGTGGTTGACTTCATCACCACACATGAAGCGATTAAGCGCCTTATCGAGATCGCTAATGTTGATTCAAAAGCGCAAGGCCTAATATCTCTCAACAAACACACGTTCGAAAAACGCCAGAAATTTCCGCTCGTCAAGTTCACGAACGGGTTGCACCTTCTCTGTGCGCCCTTACCATTCGACGTCCAGGGCCTGAAAGGCAACTACGAAGCACAACGAGTACAGGTGCCTCTCGTGCTTTCCTGGGCAATGTCCATTCACAAGGCTCAGGGCCAAACCATGAGTCGAGTCAAGGTTGATCTGAGGAGGATCTTTGAGAAGGGGCAAGGTGAATGATTGAGCCCATGTCTTGTTGTCTATGGAAGCTGATTTGCCTTTTGGGAAGCATATGTCGCCCTCTCGAGAGCCACAAGCTTGGAAGGACTGGAGGTCATCGGGTTTGACCCTTCAAGGTTTGGGATTAATTTGGGAATTCTTATTCGGCGTATCAACTGACCATGCATAACGTTGTCCTTTCAGAGTATTGGCTCACTCACGCGTCATAGAATGGCAGGCATCCTGGCAAGCCCAGCGAGCTCGAGAGGAGGAAATGGATATGGACTGGGCGATTGAACAATATCACTCATTAACAGATATAACTTTGTAATGTTTAGCGATGTCATGGATATGTGGATACACAAAAGTCGTCGATCACAACTAACAACATGTAACAGTATATTTCAATTTCAACATGCCTAATATAATTATGGTAGACGTCAATTATCCGCAGAGAAACGCACAATTACCCCGAGAGTGTGTTTGTTAAAAAGTTCTATCTTGGAAACAAAAGAGAGGTAATCCTATTGTATTCGTTCAGTTGCCACTTCGCCCACAGGAGAGATGTGAGGTGATGAGTGTGGCGATGTGTCTATCTCCCATTCTGTGCGCTTTGACACAGAACCAGCAGGCGACGACAATGACTCATCGTCTCCGCCCTGAGTAGTTCGTGATGGTATCATAGGAATTTCCATGTTAATGCGTGTCGGCGAGGCCGGGTTTGCACGGAGCGAAGGATGTATGCTACCTGTCGGTCGTGTAGGGAGACGGGGAGTGAAGTCTTCTGGGCTTCTCGGAGATTGAGGCCTCAAAGGAACGCTACCAATCTTCGTGTACGATGAACCATACGAGTACACAGGTATGGGTTCACCGAGTGGTGCAGCAGGCAGAGGAGGGGAGTTGCCGGCAAGCGGGATGTCCTCGAAAATATCTCGGGCATTGTTAATCATGTCCTCCATCAGCGTGTCCTGAACTCAGCAAGATTACCTCAGGCAATCCGAGCGATAAATGATGACTCACTTTCCATGACTGAACACTCAAAAGGTCACCACCCTTTGGGATTTCATCTTCACCAAAGATGACGGCGCCAAATACAATCGCCAGGTTTTTTGCGTCCATCTTGTTCTTATCCGCATTAGATGCTACCCGGGTGAGATGCTCAACCAGAGCGCGTAGAGTCGCACGGTGGACGGCAGGTAGCCGCCGTATCTTCGAACGTAGCAAGGCAAAGTGATTCGACTGGTGTTCGGCTGTTATAAGATCAGATTATTTTCTGGATTACACTCCCGAGTGCTTGCCTCGGTCCCCCGTATGCTCTATACGATCTTGCAGTGGAAATCTAAACAACGGTTCCGGAAGCTCGCGCAAATACAGCTAGAAATGAAACGTCAATGTCATAACAATACATAATCGCTAGAAGATCACAATACCTTCAATAGTGAGGATACGGCATAAATATCGTCAGTAAGGGCATTAAACTTGAAACTGGCTTCATTTCGCTCTATCTTATGTTGCAGCTGCGGAATGCTGATGAAAAGCATGTGATTTGCAAAAGCTGATAGACTTACATCCTGTACAACAGCATGCCTGCCCGATACCTTGCTATGACTATCAATATCTGAAGCCAAAAATCGCACCAGAGCTTACCCTGTAAATGCCTTCGGCATCTAATCCCCTCTGATCTACTTCTTCTACACAGATACGCACAATTTTTGGAACATCGCATTCCCCAAGGCCTTGAGCAGTGGCATAATCCACCAGACTAAAGCCGAAGATGAGGTCGTTGCATTCGCCAACATTGTAGTTATAATAAAGTATTGGTTTGGCTATTGCCGACGCCAATGAACGAGGAATGAAGGTCGTTACAAGTGATACATCTTTTTCTGGTGAAATCTTGTCAACCACAGAGCGTCCATGTGATGATAGCTGTGTCTGTGTTGTGGTAGTTGCACTACTGAAAAAATCAGAACTGCGAATGCAAGTAATGTGATCAAAATACACGCACATCATGTTATCAAGATATTTCTCCAAGACATTCTTGACTGTATTCGAATATTCATACACAAAGGTCTCCAGACTCTGAACGGTGTCTTCCAGTCAGCTGCCAGTGGATAATGCCAGCTACTTGATAAAATTACCTTGTAACCACTTGCAAGAATCTTAGTGCGCCTGAGTCTAAGGGTCTCTAGCCAATGAACGCCTCTTCGGTACTCCCTATCTGTGCTAAGATTAGCTTTTCACAGCTTGCGTACACCGACACTTCACTTACCAGCCTCATCAGCCTCTCGTTTCGCGCGGACTGCACGGAGCGCGCTATTTTCTGAGCGTACACCCAAGCTCTCCTTCACGGTACCACTCTTATCTAAGAATGTGATGAGTTGATTGAGCTGTTTCTTTCCTAATAGGTGCTTGGTTGAGTCAAGTCAGAATCAGTATCTGGCATATTGACGTCATACCATGCTGAGCAAAATCAGAAAAAGTGCCCGAAGTAGATGGTGAGCGATTACGTGGTCCAGGCGCGCTTCCAGAGGGTCGTCTATCAAGGGGGCGTAATGGCTGAGGGGTAGTAACAACAGGTCGGGACGGCAAACTAGGATTAGACCGCGAAGTGCTCAAAGTAGTTCCGCTTTGTTCTGAATATGGCGTAGTACTAGTAGTAGAAATTGATTGTGGGGGCGCGGCGGCTGCGGCAGCTTTGTGATCCTTAAAAACACATAATAGGTGATTGCAAAAAATCGCTGCTTCAGTACTGACCTCGACTTCTTGGCATTTTTTCAGGTATGCGCGCTTCAGCTTTGGTAATGTATTCTCAGCATAGTCATTGTAGGCACTGCCAGACTCTTTCAAATCTTCTTTGATACGTTTGCGTGTACGCTCCTGCGTCTCCTAGCATTCAGCGATTAGAGATTCAACAAGACGCTAGAGGAGGTGACAGACGTACCCTGAGTGATGTCAAGGCATTAACAACATCTACCGTAAGTGTTGCGAGAAATGCTTGTCTGATCTGTGCTTCTGTATCGCTTATGAGGGACTACAGATCCGAGATTGAGGTGCGACTAACCTCTCTCGACGTTATCCCGAATCTCACTCCACGCTCTCCTGGAAGTGCTAAGATCTGTCCGATCGTCTAGATAGTTGTCGATGGATTTCACTTTCCGGTGAAGTTTGAGCAAGGATTCGATACTAAAACGAGTGTCAGAACGTGTCGCGGAATACTATATACCAGATATTGCTCACTATACTTCTTCAATACGTTTTCTGGGGGAATCATGTCAGTGTTAGACAGTGTCACATATCGGGATGACTGAGTGGACGAACCTTTCTTGGAAGAAGCTTAAATATGAGTCTGTCAAGACCTTAAGGTGATGTTCAAACAGGAGAATTGGTCCGTGTTGCAAGAATGGCTCTGAGGAGGCGGGCTTAGGTGTAAATGAATCCGCGGTTGGAGCAGCCATGACAGTGTCGAGCAAGTTGCAACAGTCTATGCTCCTGATTTCCCCACAACATCCAAACAGGGATACACAAGGACCCTCGGTACTGTTTGGCATGATAAATTGAAATTCGCACGACCACAACTGTTGAACCATGTGGACATCCTAATTACGTGCCCGTTATAAAGCTGTTGATTTCCGCCAGGTCCGCTTTAGCTTCTACTGCGCAACTTGATCAAGCCCGTCTCCCAGGAAATGTCGCTCTGGAGTC